GTCAATGGTATTTTTGTGTTGTTGTTGGTGGTGGTGGTGGTTTTTTATTTTTATTTTTTTGTTTTATAGTTTTTGAGATTGCTTTCCCCAGGCGAAACCCCAACCATCCCAATAAGTTCACCCTTGCCTAATGTTCACTACCCCGTATAAGAATGTCTTTGTCTTTGTTAAAAACAAATGAATATTGAAGATTTTGTTTTGATTTGCCAAATTCAATAAATTTCTGTATGTTTCATTAACACGCATTCAGCATAGCAGTCCAACCCCCCCCCCCCCCCCAGATTAAAATAGGGTTTGGGAAGTGATTCTTGATGCAAGGCATCATTTATGTCCAAACAAAATCTAATCTGACGGGAAAATGATGGAAAAAAATATTTAGGGTAGTAATTGAAATTGGCGTGGAAAACCCATACAAGTTGGAAAAGTTTAACATGTTATATATTATTTGTTGAAAGAATGGTTGTCTTTTTCGTGGTGGATGTCTAACTATACCCCAAACGCAAATCAGTACAACTCCCCCGCACAGTTACAATGCAATGTGCGATACAATCCTTTATTCAGAAGTGATTAAGATTGTCCCAAAAAATTGGTGTTCTTCAACTTTATTAGACTGCTCATTATGCAGCCTTTGCGGGAGAGTTATTTAAGTTCCCTTCTGTCAGACATGACTTCATACTGGAGCTCTGGAAAGATATCCCATAACTCCTTACAAATTCGTTGGACCCCCCCCCCCCCCCCCTCTACCGCCAAATCTAGCTGGTTCACATCTGCCTATGACAAAACCATAAGCAAAATGTTTTGTAAAAGATTCAGACGATCTTTTTCTAAAAATTAAGCGAACGACTAGGCTGAGACATACTGACAGAAGAACAAAAAGTCGTTAGTAATTTTTTTTTTTTCCCAAATCGCATAAACATCCCAGGCTTTAGCACGCCGGAATCTGCCCCAGGCTGTTGAAAAAGAAGTGTAATAGGCTTAACTCGAAATAAATAACAATTTTACCGATACTGAAAATACGTTTTATTTCGTGTCCGGATTCACTATGGATTCGTGCAATAGGCTTTGCTGAGTGTGGCCCGCTAAGGCCAAATAAAAGAAAACATGTTTAGTATCCCCGCCCGCTTCCTTATTATAAATTTTAAACAGTGACATCATTTGGCCTCTTCGTCTGTTGCATCTAGCCCATATAAAGCTGGTATGTCATTTCCTGAGTCCAAGTGGCGGCCACTTAAAAAAAAGCTGGCGGCCATCTTGAAAAATAGCTCGGTCGGGCGACCATTTTGGAAGGGGAAAAAAGGCCTCCTCCTTCCTTTTTTCAAAAAGGCAGGACGCTAAACATGTTTTTTTTTTAATTTGGCCTAAACCCTACTGAGGTTTGAAACAAGAGCGTTGGGTTAGCGTGTTCTTTTAGTAAATAAACAGGATGGTATATCAATTCATTGGAAAATCTGCATTCACCACAAACAACCGGCCTTAATTCCTTGAAATTCTCGTGCCTCGGCTATTATTAACCTGGTTGTGTTCGATGAGTTCCCGGTCGGCATCGAAGTTCAGTTCCACTGGGCAAGTTGCAATGTGGTAGTACATGTACGGTGGATGGTTTATCACTCTTGCTCGCTTCCTCGGTACCAAGAATTTGGTTAACTTGTAAATCGACACTGTTTCCTTCTTGGAAACTGCATGAGGCTTCGCAAACGTCGGGGGAAAGCAGGTCATTCATGCAACTCTCCAACATTCGCGGGGCACACACAACAGTCACGTAAACATCGGCAATAAAACGACTGTTTTCCTGTTTAGTAATAAATTTCTTTCTGTATGCTATTAAATCTGTCACATTTGGTTTTGGCTCAAAATCCCAACAGCCGTCTGATGTCTAGAAAAAGTAAGAGGCTGAGAACTTTCAATATCACGTTAAACTTGGGCTGGAAAAAACATTAAGCAACCGTTTTATAAACTCTATTACATATTATTTTCCGACGTTTTTGAGATTATTTTCGTTAATATAAACCATATGAGAATTAGTCTGTCAAGTTGATACCAAACAATTTGAGTGAACATGGACTTTCTGCGCTTCAGTACTGCATTAACAAAATAGAAACACACGTGACCCCCTCTTACAGATTAGGGTTGGGGGAAAATCATTAGAAATACTTGCGAACCCCCTTTCAGAATTTAGGGGTCGGGGAAACAAATCGTCATTAGAAATACATATAGTCCGAATATTCAGGAGGTCTGGAAATTCATCATTAGACAATACCTGACGCCGATTTTTTTTTTCAAACTAAAGAAAGGCCATCGCGACTTAAAAAGGTATCAGAAATACGCAAGACCCCGCTTTTCAGAATTTCGGCGGTCGGTTAAAAGTATTCATAGAAACACCTGGGACCCTATTTTTAGGGTTTAGGGGTCGGGGAATTATGACATGAAATACACGCGACCCCCCTTTCAATATTCTAGGGCCGGACAATATCATAACAAATATTTGCGACCCCACTATTCGGAATTAGAGGGTTGGACAATCGGAATTCGTTGACCCTCAAAACATGGGTTTAGATATCTCGTTTTATACAATTTGACAAAGTCCTGAGAAGAAAAAGATATAAGTTAAATTTCTGATAATGGCAGATGCTCATTTGCATATTATGCATAAAATACACACATTATCATGGTAAAAAAAAACTTTCATGAATTCGTGTACCCTAAAAACACGAGTTAAGACACCTCGTTGGATATGATTGGACAAATTCCTGCGGAGAAAATACATAGATGTCATTATTATTTCTGATAATAGCGAGTGCTAATTGGCAAAGGCTTATATGTTTAAAATATGTACATAAGCAGTGTAGTAGTGGCTTTCATGCATTAGTTGACCCCAACTGAAGAACATGCATGGTTTAGACACCTCGTTTGATGTAATCTTTTTGGACACATTCTTGCGGAGATATAGATTGAAGTTAAATGTAAGATAACGGCTGCTAATTCGCATAATATGCATAAAAGGCTTTTAAAAAATGGCTTTTATGTATTTGTTGACACCACAACTTGGTCTAGGCACCCCGATTGATAAGTTTGGACGAAATCCTGCAGATATTATATATACAAAACGTATATTTTACCATATAGAGGTTATTTGCATATTTAATTGCTATAAAAAATGCTCAAGGGTGCCAATTTGTTGAAACATGGAACCGTGATCAGCAGTTGCGTAAATCTGTGCCGCCGATTGGGGGGATATAGGGGGATGATCAAAATCCAAAAATATTACTTGCCCTGCCGTGGAAATTTGAAAAGTAGGGGGGGGGGGGACACCGCATTACGCCTCGGGCGCTCTTGGGATAGTTAAGCTGCGTATTTTAAAAGCTGTTGTACTTTTTCTACACTTTTCAGTGCTATTGAATAAATATTTGTTGTACAAGTAAAGTACAAATCGATTAGTGATCCGGATCTGCGTGTGGATGCAGAATTTTTTTTAAAGGATTCTTCACCACATTTTTGTGTGCTGAAAATTATTGCCATGTGTGTGGGTGAACATGTAGGCCTACACACTGCACACTGCGTTTAATATATACCCACACAAGGTGTGTATTTGCCTGCAACCGAGGACCACTTATTGTCCCTCTTTTGTTTGTACACTAACTTTTTAGAAAGACCTCCCATATTTTTTGTACACATCGCCAAATTGGGGACCTTTTGGAATTGGAGACCCTATTGCCCTCTTTTGTTCAACGTCCCCTAGTGAATGCAGAAACAACTTGAAACTCACTATTACACCTATAAGATTTTCTATTGTTCCTCTTACCTTTTCCTTTGTTTATACTAACCTTTTGCAACAGCACTCATTGGTTTTGTAAACGTTTTCTTACCGAGGAGTCCTCGGTTCCTGTCCTCAACTGATTCATCGATGCACGTGTGTGTCCTCGAGTGACACCATAAACTACGGAAGCCCGCTAGGGCCAGGGCGGTGCGTTTCTCTTTCACGGCAGCTAGCCTCGCTTTCATAACAAGTAACTCGCCGCCACATAATGATCTCGCAGCCGCGACATACTAACTGGCGGCCGCGAGTTACATGTTATGAAAGCGAGGCTAGCTGCCGTGAAAGAGAAACGCACCACCGTGAAAGAGAAAGAGGTACCTGGCCCTAACGGGCTTCCGTAATAAACAACGCATACATATGAGCGCATAAATAACACACAGTATGGATTGGACCATTTGATACAATAGGGATCCAGGAGGCCCAGGGAATGCGTACACACATAACCGGTCAATGTGTTTGACCCGTTGACCTGTGCAGTAGGTCGCACACAGTTAAAGTTAAAAGGTGCAGTCGCCACAGTGTAAAATAATCAGTAAAACACAAACTGATGTATTTTTTCAGTTATGGTTTACAATATGGAAGTCCACTGGATATGCGAGTATATTGCTTTTGGGTGTACTGACAATATGGTGGGGAAGTGTTAGCCTGACGGAGGTTTGCGCTCCCTGTGAGTGCTTTCTAGTTTGCACTATAATTGTTTTGATATATTGCTACCTATTTTTAATGATTTCACCCTGTACAAGGGTTTACACTTTTTCGCAAGGTTTAACGTTGAACATCTGTACCATGAATATCTGTATCATGAACAGCGCCTCCTAGTGTAATGTGGTGTCCAGCAATCCCCCCCCCCCCCCCGCTACGTAGAAAATTCCATTCAAATAGGATCACCCCTAGTTATTCCTGAAGCCCATCGCCATTTTGAAAAAGGATGCCTACGCTCCATTGCCAAATAGGGCAGTTTTAGGGTCTAATTTCATCCGAATTTCACTGAAATACGAGCTCGCAGCCATTTCCCAGGCTTCTACCTTTCTTTGTTACAAACCTTCAAGTTCATGGCCCTTAGAATGCTCTAACACCCGAAAATTTGAGGGCATGCAAATCGTGATTTGGCCGGCGTAGGCTAATTCGGGCCTATTCACTGACCTACACCCACCAGAACGCAAAAAACATTGAAGGTTACCAGTCAGGGCAGTGGGGACGAGCGAACATCCTTGCAGCGCGTGAACATCGTTGGTACCCAGGCTCAGCGTTCAAAGGCCAACTCTGAAGTGCATCTGAGCAATCATCATACCTGTGCCGTTCAAAGCGGTAACAACCCACAAATAGGCTACTGGCGGGCAGGGCACGGCAGACGAAACCAACTTGCTGAACAACATAAACTCACAGTCAACAACATCTAAAAACAATATGGAGTATCAGGACAAGGGCGGCTACCCGGCTCCACCGGCCCAGGGCTACCCGGCTCCACCGGCCCAGGGCTACTCGGACTACCCGCCCCCTCAGCAGGGATATCGTGAGTATACGATACAACTTGATTCTATGGAAAATCAATTCGCTTGAGTCGGGTAAATCTCGCCTAGATAAATCATACCGGAGGGCAGAATTCAGTCCGAGGTTTGAAACACTGAAGAACGACCATACAGGGACCATTTGTCGGGACCATTTTTGTAGTGAAGTTGTGCAAAGAGCACTTTCAAAATGTGGGATATGAAAGCCCAATATATAAGCTTTTTTTAGAACAAGAATCATGCATTCAAATTACTCACAAAGTTTTCAGGTTACGGAATTTGTAACGCAAACACCGTTTTGAAGTTCTGTCCACGGATCACAAAAAAAGGTAAAAACGTTCTTTCAGCAAAAAGAAACCAATTCAATTTTTTACTCACCGTGTACATGCGAAAGATCAAATATTACAGTTGCCCGGTCATTTTCTACATAATACGAATCACAAACTCTCACACAAGATGAAAAAAGCGGAAGTCACCGAAAAACGGGGGGGGGGGGCTTTCAGGTTTGTTATACCACTTTTTAAAAAATTTTTTTTTTTTCAAATTGTAATGAGGATCCTTAATGCAATCCTTGAAAGTGCAAATTGTCTCTCTGTCTGTCTTTAACCCTAGTTCAAGTTTCGTTTTGCCATTTTCAAGGGGAATTTGGTGCCTTTTTTGTATTCATGCTAATACGAGTTTCCATATTCATCAGCAAAATTGTGATATCATTAATTTTCAGGCAGAAACCTCAATGTTACAGCTATTGCTGCACCAAAAGTTGCCAGAGTTCGGGATATTTCGCTGTTGTAGATTTTCTTTTTTTTTGGTGATTCGTTGTTGTGCAGAGTTGTAATGACTCCAGTCAGTCACAACTTTTGGTGACTCGACTCCACTCGAGTCCGTAGGTAACTGACCCGACTCGAATCCACTCGACTCGAGCGAAGGCTAATAAGTAACTTGTGGTGTTTTGTGTGTGTATGTATATTATGTACAAGGTTAGTATAGGAAGTATTTCAATTTCGTTAAATGCAATTTCACCCTGTCTAATAATGTTTAAACTTTTTTTAGTTGTAAAAATTGATGCAATTTAGCTATTGGCTACAATATCAATTTGAAATAAAAGCGAAACTTTGCGAACAATATTTGCAATGACTCAGCGGCCGCTTGTCGTGTACAAACATACAACGTGCCACAGACTCCCACCTTGTCAGTGGTTCTGTAAAGCACAAAATACAATCCCGGAACCAGACTTTAAACACATTTCCAACTCGCAGTTTTATAACTGGCTTTAGACAATTTCGTATTAGGGATTTGAACGCAATTTGGTTTTGATTTTGTCACCGATCAGCAAAACACATTCTATAGACCAGAAGCCAAACTAGATAGTGACATAAGATCGAAGTTTTAATTCTTGTTAACTACAAATGCCTTTCTCTCTTGTCTTTATTTGTTAAATAGTGTTAGAATACATAAACATGTATTGTGTAATATAGTGACTCGAATTGATTCAAGCTAAATATTTTGACGCGACTCGACTGGACTACACAATGTGTCTCAACTCCATTCGACTCGACCTCCTTGACTTAATGACACGACTCGACTCGAGTCACTTCTTTAATATAATGACTTGACTCGACTCGACTCGACTCACAAAAGCAGTGACTCGTTTATACATGTCTATTGTTGTCAGTACACGGACAGTAAGCCAGTCAGCAAACTTTTCGCACAAATGTTTTCTATGAGCAATTTTTTGGGTTCACAATTTAACAGAAAACACATAAACTGAATAGTACGTGTCTTCCAGAAACGACATCAAAACAATAGTGGCCTCAGTTGTCCGGAAAAGCATGGAAAATTTAAAAGACGTGCACTTTTCAATAATTAACCGAAAGGGGATGTCAAATAGTTTTTACACATTTAAGAGCCTGTATAAAATTGCACAAAATATGTCCCTCAGAAAAAGTGTACAGCAGCCGAACATAGGCAGTTGTTGCCTGCTCACTGATAAAAACAACCAAAACATTGACAGTTGATGTTGGTACATCATTTTGAAGAGGTCAAACATGTCTTTAAACATCATCCTCGAATGAAAAAAAAACGATATACAAACGTTAGTCCACATCTTACTCATGGATTCATATAAAAAACCCGCAGCCAATGTGTTGCAAATGCTTTCGTTTTGTTGTTGTGCAAATGAGCTCAGATTTATTTGCTCGCTCTGAGCCAAAGTTGCTGGTAGCAGCAAAGGAAACGCATGGCACCTACTATCACACCCCGTGAGCCTAAAATTTTGAATATGAATTGGAAGTTTCGAGTGGAAATTATGGGAAAACAGAAATATGTGTTAAACAAAGATAGACGCATACTTAGCAGTGATGTCACGAGATCGAAACGGTGATTATTTTCAAAGAGGTCAGCTTCCCTGTAGAATTTGACCTTGTTTGATATCATAGGTCAAGAAAGTCATTTTGTGCGAGGTATGGTGGGACACGCGAACATTTGTGTTCCAATTTACTGTATAAATAATGCACTTGAACTATGGACATGGTTGGCATGACAGTCTCTGGTACGTACGCACGATTCTGTTCACTGATATATAGCGATTACCATTCAGCATGTGACTCCAATGAACCACTGAACTCCACACTTCGGAAAAATATCAAGCAGTGCGTTTTGCAATCAGCTCGGGTGGCTGTCGATAAATCACGTGCTGTTTTTATGACGTCAACACCGATTGGAGGAGGTTTTCTTTTGTCAAAAGTAACCTTGACGTTCGTTTTCACAATGAAGACGGAGTGACCTCACGCAAACTTTATTCTCGGAAAGAAGGCCCCTTGAGTGTCATTCCTTCCCCTCGCTGCAAACGGGACCCTAGTTGCTACACTGCATAGATTCCCAATAGACCTTTATGCGTAGTGGACATATTAGAGTGCATTCTTTGTTACTTTAATTCAGTAACAATGAATTCACAAAATGGTTCACTCCTGCATATCACAGCAAACCAAATTGAGGCATTGCCCTCGAAGATGGCTGCCACGCATAAGGTCTATTTATTACAACCAACATTTTTTTAAATTATGGCTAGCCATTGGTGACATCCTAAAGTTTTTTTTTTTCTGACTCTCTTTACCGTACAGCCGCCCAGCCTCCACCCGCTACCCAGGTCACCGTGACCCAGCCAACTACACAAGTGGTGGTGGTGGGCAACTGTCCCGTCTGCCACGCCGGCACCATGGTGGATGAGTTCACCACATGCGGGATTCTCTTGGCCATTTTCTGCTTCCCGCTGGGCGTCATCTGCTGCCTGATGATGAAGGAGAGAGTCTGTACCCACTGCGGTGCACACTTCGGCGGCTAAGGTAGCTAACTACCCTGCTGTGCATTGATGGCGTCACGATGATGTCACAAACACCCCGACCAAAAGATCAAAACAGGAGAATCATAATGCCTGGGACAATATCATCCAATGTTCTACATATTATTACCGGTGTCATATGAAATTTGGACTCTTATGAAAGTGGTTTCTTCAAACTTATACGGATTCTCACACTCCGCTCTAATTATGTCTGCGTAGGCATGCGCAATAAGTTCAATGAGTCCGTATTTCAGAGAGTCCAAATTTTGCACACCACTGGGTCATTGCAATGAGGGCCTACTACAACGAGGATACATATATCGACTTAATCCTTAATTTCGATTGACTTGCAACAACCTTGCTCACAGGGAAGATAATTTTGAAATTCAAGAGGGAGGGCACAATTGGATTGACCAGAAGATTATATAACTTTAAATTATACTAAATGCGCTACTCTTTTACTAATTATGTGTATTATACATTTTGTTCATGCTATGCATAACAAGTTATTTTTTTCGCACATAGGATGACTTGTGTGTTTTTTTTTTAAATCGTATGAAACATGTACTATCAAATTGTATGATCTATTTTTGTGACAAAATATTGCATCTGAAATCTAGAGCACTCTTTTTTACAAATTTAAAAAGAGGGTTGAAAGTGACCTCTTTATTTTAGTACAGTACTGATTCACATTGTGACTATCAACTGGGCTTATAGTTTGGACGCGAGTTAAACATCTTAACATTCCGTGTTTATTCTACAAAATATTTGAAATGAACGTCGCAAATGTTTTAGTGTGCTTATTTTGATGTAAAGGAACCTCACCAAAGGTTAATTCAGCGTGTTGATTTTAATGTACATTGTATGTTCATGGAATTTGATAAAGATCACTTAGAGCGACACCATACAGTGCCAAGATATAATATGTAGCTTTTGTTGATCTCGTGTGACAATAAGTCTTGGTTCAAGTGGATAGTGATCGATAGTGAATAGCCTCGCGCGTAGTCTGGTTCCCTGACCCCATTGTCCTTCATACTTCAAAAATGGGTTCCGGTACCTATAGCTGTGAATATTCCATACATTACACAGAAATCCGTGTAATATATGCAAATTATATGCATGACGTCATAGGTCTGAATCCCGCCTGCTTATTTCAAAATCACAACGGTAATGTTTGCCGGCAACCAGCCTATTGCCACGAATTTAGGATTTTTGGGGTACTGACCTTCGATTTTTGCTGAATTTGAAAGTATCTCTGGCAAATATCAATAAAGAGAGATATTGATGATCATTGTTTACAACCTATTCAGTCGAAATGCTTGAAGGTTGCTTTCATGGAGACACTGGTGATTGTGTGTACTTTCTGTGCTAAGATAAGCGTGAGTTTCTTGATAATCGTGTGTTCAATGACCGGCGTCCATGCAGAAAGTTGAACAGCGATCATCAAAAATAAACAATCGTGCTCCGCGCACACAGAGGTGATCCAATCAAGGGCTTTTAAATGAGAGCTAGTTACCTGTCCCCATATTTTGAGGGGGAGGAGGGGGGGGGGGTTCGCTCGTACCCCCGCCCTGCAAACAGGCCGCTGGGAAGGGCTGATCTGTTTGAGCTCTCATTTGATAGATTTTGCGTGACCTGTGACGTAATGCAGCTGCAGCTGTTTATCATGCGTAGCGCGCGCTAATAGCTGCATGCGAAGGTCATGATAAGTTATCCATAATGCCAACCGTATTTCCTTCACAAGATTCTGTGAAGCGGCCCTTCCCAGCGCCCTGTTTGCTTGGCGGGGGTACGAGCGAAGCCGGGAAACAGTCTACCTCGCGCCGAGATGGATGTGAGGGCGCACTACTATTATCGATCACTAACGTATTTGACCAAGACCAGTGAACAAACTATGTCTAGTATTTGGACAGCAGGCTTTGAATACTGACATGACAGTCATGTCGTAAAGGTTTGAGCCTGAAATCGGAAGTAAAACAGTTAGGTAACCTGAAGGATCATGCCTTTACTAGACTGATAGCAAAAATTCTTTTTCTCTCTCTTAACGCTGTGTTTTTATATAAACTAATTATTTTAAATGTAATTACCATTTCTTATTAAGTCCAAAGGCTAAAATTAACATTTGTCTATCTAAGGATTTATGCCACAATTAATGTTAGTAATTCATTTTGTTATTGAACATAATGTTAAAAAAAAAAAAAAAAAAAAAAACAATCATGTTCTAGTATGCTAAATCATTTTTGACATTTTCCGCAAAAGTAAATGATTGGGAAAGTGTCCATATTTGATGAAGATTAGCCAATTTAATATGATCATCACCGCAATTCTTTAATAGGACGTCAAAGAATTTGACTTCTAATTTCCTTAATTTGTGTAAATACTCCTGCACTGTTTGATGACCACCTGTTATCAGTTTTAAAAATTCAGAATAAATTCACTTCTCTCATGTCAATTTTGTGTACTGTTGCTCCTCTGTACATTTCGAAAAGTTCTTTTCTACGCATTGTGAAAATGAGTCACGTTTCGCCCTGTCTTTTCCAGTTCATGTTTTGTGTATGTACTAATATTCTACACTGAAGAGTGTGTATACCGGAAGTGAAAGTGCAACAACAACGCCCTCAATTGTCAGGAACAGCATGGGACATTTTAAATATATATTTTAAAAGGGCCATTACAAAAGATACCCCAAATTCTATATTTTGGAGGAAACAATATTTTGCGTCTTATGTAATATGACAGTCCAGAACCACAAATTGCAGATTTATTTAACTGAATAACGTTCATGAAGATGATGCCATTTTCAGTTGTATTTGCAACAACCCTTTAAAAAAAACCACCGTGTTTACTTTTGGCTCATGCAATATTAAGTTTTTATTTTTAAAAAGACAGATCGGAACACTGAGATCATATATACCTTTTGGTGTAAAATCACTGTTTATACTTGTTTGTCCCTGTCAAATTTATTTTGTTTTCATTCTTACAATGTTTGAGCCACTTTTCCTTCACACTTTTCCAGAAAAAACAAACGCGGTGAAATCAGCGTCCAAAGACAAACTTTCAGTAGGCCTACGCAGCTAATTGCATGGAAACTATTATACTTATTGCTTTAGAAAACTTAATATCACTTCTAACCCCAATTGATTTATTAACTAACTCTTGCAAAATCCAACACCATAGGGCAAACTCAACACCCAAACTGTTGGACTCTGATTACGGTGGTATGCCTAACCACATGTAAAGCTCCTATAGTTTACTAAAGCAGTACTCACTCCTAACCAACAGATTCCAACAAAACATGCAGTTGGATTTGGACGGGTTGGGGTGGTTAGGGTTCTAGCCAGCGCTTCAGACCATTATGTGCTTTCGACTATCAAAACCGTGAGATTTCCATCTTTCATTCTATCGTTGATTCGTTGTTAGTGTACTGTATCAACAAATGGCATTATTCATATTTATGAATTATGTGCATTTTATGTGCACGGTAACTGAATATTGCGCATAAAATAAATAATGCATTACGTTAAAATGCGCATTAACATACATTGTATTCTTCTACCGAAGAAGACGCATCAGCGCCAGTCCTTAACCGGTCTGAAATAAGGTTTGTTTCTTTATATTTTCCTCCTTTATTTAACTGTTTCTGCTATTTTTGGTTCATTTTTGGAGCGACAAATTAGGGCCATTTCTTCAAATGCCATTTCCTCGTTTTGTGTGTGTTACTATCCCAGAGTCGTTTCATTGATGGTATCACACGAGACGATGCGGCTGAGTGGCGCGTATTTATGCACATTATGGTACCTTAGATGCAGTATAATTCTATTTCGTTTTGAGGCATAAGCAATCAGCCTGAAACCCGTTCCACCTTCTTTCATTCGACTAGACTTCAATAAACGGCAGTTATCAGATGCGAGTATGAACGTTTTTTGATATTTTTTTCCAGTCAACTCTTATCCAGACTCCTTTCTTTGAGTAGGCTAAAACTATTTCAACCCGGGAGAGAATTATTGCCTTGTCATTCATGCGACATGTAAATAAAGGCGGTAAAGAATATATCTTAATGATGTACTGTATAGAGTCAGTGCTAATTTCGGATTCACCCAACCTTCGAAGCACTGGATATCATTCGGGGCACACGTAGTTCAGTTTTTACGTTTTCGTGTGGGTTCTATCAACAAAACGAAAACAATTCACACACATCCCCATGTGATTTGACTTCGTTTTGCTGAAAGAACACTTACCTTTTTGTGATCCGTAGACAGAACTTTAAAACGGTGCTTGTGTTTAAAAGTCCATAACTTGAAAAGTACATAAGTGATTTGAATGATTCTTGTACTAAAAGAAAGCTTAGGAACTGATCCTTTATATACTAGAGTGCTACCTTTATAACATCATTAAAACAATGGTCCCGACATTTGGGTCTCTTTTTTTTTTACTCACCCTGTTTATATTGGCGCACTGGTTTAGCAGGAAGCTTGATATTAATACTTACTTGCAATCAAGATGTTTATAATATTGGCAGTAAATACTATACGTGTGAAATAAAATGTTCTACATTAGATCCTAAAGAACTCTGTTGTTTATCAATGGAATTAAACCAAAATTTCAGATCATGTAAACAAGGCATGACCAATTTTATGGAGCGAGTTTCATCAGCTGGTGCGAGAGGGTGGGATTTAAACGCCATGAAAAAAAAATACTCACTTTCAGAATCTTCCACTTTCGACTTGACGTCCTTGAATGTCACTACAGCGCTGGAGACGGTGCATAGTTGAAGGCGCGTGCTACTGCTAGCTGTGGCCGAAGGCTGAAGGAATGCAGGATCATCCCTGATGTCATTGCACACCTCCTCGATCGTTTAGCGCAACACACGATCGAGGAGGTGTGCAATGACATCAGGGGTTAACCTGCATTCATTCAGAAGCTTTCGGCCGCAGCACGCGCCATCCGCCACCGTCTCCAGCGCTGTATCAACTTTCTAAAAGTGAGTATTTGTTTCGTAGGCGTTAAAATTTCACCCTTTTACCCAAGTGCCCCTTTTGCGGACAAAAATGTGCCCCCTCGACCAAAAATGTGGCCCCTCCAGAAAAAAAGTTCCTAAAAGTTTGCTGCAATTTGTTTTAAGTAACTTATTTCCAAAATGGTATATTGATATTATTGATATGAACGAGGAATATGAAAACCCAGCCCCAAAACCCTTTCAATGCGTCCTGAATTTGGCACATAATGCGTATTTTGCATAATAATAGGCCCCCCCCCCCCACACACACACCCACCCACCCACGTGTGTAAATGTCGGCAATCGTGGACGCCCCATTGTCCCTAATCCTCTTTATTTGTTTGTACTCAACTTTTTAGCGACAGCTCTCATTGGTTTTGTACACGATTTGAGATCGTGGACGTTCGGTCAATCGTGGACGTATTGTTTGCGCCCCAATTCTTTTGTCCTACGTCCACGTTTGCCGGTGTTTACATACTCATACACACACACACACTATTCGAATTTACGGAGGCCAAGTGTCGGGTAAAAAATGTGTCGACCTTTCAGCATGGCTGTATCAAAAAAAATACTGAGCAAGTCCCCCTTTTTGGTGATGCCCCCTCCCCCCCCCCCCCCCCCCCCAGTTTGAAAACTGTTCCGCCGCCGCTGCCTCTTGCACAAAGCTAATGAAACTCGCTCCATAACAGTTTTCACGCCTTGTTTACATGATCTGAAATTTCGGTTTAATTCTATTGGTAAACAACAGAGTTATTGAGGATCAAAAGTGAGACATTTTTTTACCCGTTGTACCTTTAAGTAAACCAATCCAGGAAAAAAAACAGATGAAGCTGATGGGTATTAAAAGTAGTAACTTCGTATTTGACATTCAGCACAATGCTTTCGTCGGACTCTGAAGCTCGCCATTGGCCCGTCGTATTAGCCGGCTTTCTCACCGTCACTTTGACTGCAGGACTGGGTAGCTCCATTGGTATATTCTACCTAGAATGGTTGCACGAGTTCCCGCAGAGTTCCGCGCTAGTGGGCTGGCTGTCGTCTTCCGTCATGGCGATGATATTAGGCTTTTGTAAGTAGCATGGGTGATATTTTGCTCATTTTTATGACAACAAATTCACCGTTAATTTAAAACTATATAGGATCATTTGCTTTTCATGCATTTTGTTCGTTTCCAATTATAACACCACTCAAAATCCAAAGAAGAAGTTCAAAACCTGACCTGTTGAAGTTTCAGCTCAGTGGATAATACAATTTTCGAGAAAACTGCGGAGGGGAGTGGGCAACCTTTTTTTTTATCACGGAACACGAAAGCACTTTATTTTTCCCCAAATCAGCTAGTTGACTGATAACTCACAGTAAGTCAGACGCAATAATTTTATGGGGGATTTAATTCCAGTGCAATCTATAATCCAAATAAGGTTTTTTGTTTTTATTCGGTAGGTTACTTTAGGGATAAATGCAAACGATCCTGTAGATCTATGCCTTGGATAGTCCTAATATTTCTTCAGCGATTTTTGTCTGCTTCTACCCTCAGCATCAGTTGCTGCAGCATTGGGCAAATACTTCGGGATTCGGCGTGTAGTCGTGGCCGGAGCTGGACTTTCGTTCATAGGATTTGTGGGCGCATCATTTGCTTGGGAATTCTACCTGCTGGTTATAACAATACCATTTATGACAGGTAATATGAGATGTGGTGCGCTGTCAATGAAGTTTTAGCAAAACTATGGAGTGCAACTTTAACATTCAATCCCGAGGTAGGGATATCTCATGGAGATCTCTATTTCGAAACGTGCCAGATAAAATGTAATACGCAAAATAGAGATATATCTATTTTAAATAGAAATAGCAGTATTAGATAATATAGAGATATCTCTATTTTGGGATTAAAAGTTAAATTTGCATGCCATAGCTGACTGAAGACAATATAAAGCCCAAGTCACACATTCACGGTTGGAGCTACGAATATCCACGGTTTATCCAAGAATCAATCGATAGCTCGATGAACCGTCGAGATTCGTGTGGAGAAATCGACTTTCTAAGAATGCACTGTGCGGTTTCAGGACGGATAGCCACGACTGTCCTAATTAAGGTTTCTTTACGAATACACCACAGTTTGCCAAGAATATAGACGGATTGATGAAGAATACCTACGGTATTACTAAGAATAATGACGTTAACGCCACGGTTGTCTGCGATTGGGCCACGGATGACAAAGGTTCTCCTACGGCATATGTGTAGTACAACCTTAGCAGAACCGTCATCCGGGCATATCCGCAGGCGCGGTTCTACGGGGGGCTAGGGGGGGGGGGGGGGCTGTAGCCCCCCCCCAAAAAAAATTTGTCTAGCCCCGCCCCCCCCCCAAATAAATTCCGTAAAAAAAAAATTGCATCAGCAAAAAGAAGGATTGTGATGTACATGCGAACGGTCTCCCCCTAAAGAAGAAATAGCCGTGACAAGGGTGCATTAGTTAATATATTGTGAATGATTTTAGGATTTTATTGGCGCTCCCCATTGAAAATATGGCATGAGCCCCCCCCCCCCCCCAAATAAATTCCGTAAAAAAAAAATTGCATCAGCAAAAAGAAGGATTGTGATGTACATGCGAACGGTCTCCCCCTAAAGAAGAAATAGCCGTGACAAGGGTGCATTAGTTAATATATTGTGAATGATTTTAGGATTTTATTGGCGCTCCCCATTGAAAATATGGCATGAGCCCCCCCCCCCCCCCCCCCCCCCCCACCCACCCACCCACCCACCCACCCACCCACCTATTGATTTTCGGAGGCCTAAGTGTCTGGAAAAAAATAACCGGTCAACATTTCAGCACGCCTCCCTGAAAACAATTCTGGATCCACCGTGCTAGCCCCCCCCCCAAAAAAAATATTGGTTCTAGAACCGCGCCTGCATATCCGTAGGACATTCGTAGCGAATTCGTAGAGATTTCTACCACGGATGAGCTACGAATCTCCAAGAATATGCACGAATAGCCACGAATAAATACGGTTGTCCTACGGATGTCTCACGGTTGCACTACGGATTAATTTCATGACGGTTCACCACGGAAGTTATGAACAATTTAAAACTTCCGAAGCCCCTCCACGATGTACTAAGGATGACTACGGTACTCCTACGGTGTATCACGAATTTCAAACCGAGAAGATCCGTAGCTCCAAACCGTGAATGTGTGACTTGGGCTTAAGTGTCTTATCATATCATTTGGACTGGTTGTACACTGGTAAAGAGAGCTGACCAATGCTTTCGTATACTATTACCAAAAAGTAGTGCCAATTCATGGGCTTAAGCCGGCTCACTTTGTAAACTAGATGCATGGAAAGACTTCCAGAGAAGAGCCACTCGGAATCATTTATTGAAATCATCGTTGTGTGCGCTACATGGCCTTGCCTTGTCATGTAACTAATTATCCTCCTTATCATTAAAAAGAGTACATTCGGGGTTTTTTGTGGGCACTGAGAGATTTATTAAGTTGGACATTTTGACATGCACATTTTCGATGTTTCGATCGGGTCCGATCAGCTTTTGATACCACATTATTTAAGAAAATCCGAATGGACTGTTGATGAGTCGACAGAATCACACCACTTTTTGGTAACCTTTTTATGCTCTATAGGAATTGGTTGCAGTATGTGCTACACAAGCGTCATGACAATAATCGGCGACTGTTTCCACCGACATTTTGCTCTGGCTTTTGGAATATCGATGTCAGGAGTTAGTGTCGGAATGGTGTCTTTTCCTGTCTTGGGTGGCTTTCTGATCGAGCAGTACGGGTGGAGAGGGGCTCTGGTCATCATAGGTGCGATACAGGCCAATATCGTCGTGTGTGCGAAGTTCATGAAACCTTTTGGTCACACCCAGACAAGACTGATCAAGAGTGAAGTTGCAGGTGGAGCAGGTTACGGCAGCCTGACTGATCCGCCAAGTCTTGACTCGGCAGCCGGTGGAGAAGATTACGAAGGGGATGATGACGATGATCGTCCTGCAAGTTTATCTCCGAATCGTTTCAGATTCAGCCGTGGCTATAGAAACACCGATGCTAAGGGTGAAGAAACGAAGGCGGCTCAAGAGAGAAAGTGGTCCAGGAAACTCATGCAATTCTTGGATCGCGCTGGTGTGTCACTCATCTGGACCAATCGGGTCTTCGCAGGTATTCTTCTCATACCATTACCCATGTCGGCAGGTAACGGTATCACCTTACCCTTTATCGCTGCGCGTGCCGAGTCGGTCGGCGTCCCCAGGCTGCGAGCCACGTCGCTGTTATCCATCATCGGAGTGGCCAACGTCATCGGTAGTTGGATGTACGGTCCTCTGGTCGATGCCAATGTGATTGAACCGACTTTCATCTTGACGTTCGCGGCGGGCATGACAGTCGTCTCTGGATTTATCACTGCCGTTAACGAGAGCTATGGTGGTTTTGTGGTCTGCGCCGCGCTGTTTGGCTTTGCGTCTGGTGTGTACGTCCCCCTGAGCGGGGTCCTGGTGCGTCGCATCATCGGACAAGAAAGGTTTCCTGGAGGAATGGGTATTGTACTTGCTTTGGTGGCAATTGGCTACATTATCTTTTCATCTGTTGGCGGTAAGATCAAGTACAAATTGTCTTATATCGTTTCCCCTTAATGTTGTAACTGTAATATATCCGCGTATAACTCAGGAAGGATTTTCCTCAATTATACATACTCATTTGAGGTTCTTGAAGAGTCATACACTCATAATACCTTTTGCTGGTCCCATCCTAGTCTGAGTATCACCCGTTGTCTAACGGAGCTGTTATCCGACGTCTGATATGTCTGAGCAATGAACATGATATGCGACCCAGCGCGCCAGCCAATCGAAGTCGACTTTAGAAATTGTGACGTCATTTCGATCAGATATGTGGACTAATTTGGCTGACTTAGTTTGTAATAAACAACGGGTTATGGAAGACCGATAGATGGCGCCAGCTGAACGGTCAGAATCTCGAGGTCAAGACACAGTCTTGTTTTACATAATTACATAATCTGCTCGCATATCATAGATCCCTGCAGTGCAAAGGTCTATTCCATAGACTAGTCCCAGCCAACCTGTAGTTCTCTTTGTACCTGACCGACTCACTGACTGTCATAGACTTGCTTACGTCTCCCTGGGCCCAAAATTAGATTATCACATAGGCTTACGCCAATGAATGGGCTAAATCCGGCACATAATGGGCTGGCCACTTGCACCAGAAGACTTCCGATGAATAGATAATGATTAGAATTATGTGAGCTCTGGGACCAGCTTTTTACGAGGGTTGCCTTGTCTTATTTGAAGTATAGCTTTGCAATAATGAATTAGGGGCTGTCCTCAGTGTGGTGTGTATGTTTTGCTAAACATGCTTCTGATTTTTCTTCGATTTGTGGCTTTTAAACAATCGATTGCAGGTTATCTATACGATGCTACTCACAGTTACAGTGGATGTTTCTACCTTGTCGGTGCATCTGCCGCTCTGGGTGTGGTGGTGCTACTGGGGCTTCATCTACTGTGGACAAGATTGGTGCCAGATGACCGCTGGCCAACCATCAAGAGTCGGTGAATCATCCATGACAACAGAAACACAAAAGTTATCCCCATTTGGACGCGATGTCGGACGAAAAAAAACCCTTTCAAGTACTGTACCTGCGGTGCGATCCGACAATAAGGTCGTGTCTATATTACTTGGTTATTAGTATAGGCCTAGGCTATTTATTTCTGGTAATGAAACCAAGGATTCCTCCAAGCGCCCTAGGCACTGTAGCTCGCAAGCCTGAAGAAAGCACATTTTGATACAGTCAAATCTTTTCGTTTATTCTCTATGGTGTATTATATTATCAACTAATCAACAATCTTATTTAAATAAGATAATTTGTAGCCATCCTTTGAGTTTAGAATGGCAAACACATCCTTGACTTTTGTATATAATGTAGCTAGGAAATGGGGACATTTTCCTGGGGGGAAAAATCGAATCATTTTTTTTTGGGGGGGGAGGCTCTGTAACCATATTTTGAAAGCGGAAATGGGAAAAGGGGTGTATGTCCCGTTTTAAAATGGTCTTGATTGAATTTCTTCAAATTATTTGTTTTAAATTAACAATGTTTACCAGTTGTCATTTTCTTGAAAAGAATAGTCATAATTTTCCAGTACCAACATTTTACATTTCGCGCATGACAGTTTGAGTTTCATAATGTATGTGTTATGCAAATACATGTACATGTATTGCGTTTTGGCCGTACATAGTTGAGACTCAATACCTATCGTTATGACGAGCAAATAGCTTCCTGTACATAAATAATTATTATTTAAGCTAATAATAATATGACACAAATATGTAAATCTTCACAGGTACAGTCATACGTAATGCAGGAAATTATTGCTTTTTTAAAATTTGTTATTAATCCTTTGTATAAGTTGCATGCCGTTGTCAATCAAATACATTTCAATTGGATGGGCTGTACTTGAAATTAATGCTTTATCTCTCATATAGGTCTGAAGGTTTTGGGCGAATCAATTAATTTTCCGGTTTCGACAAAATAATGTGGATACGTTAATTATGAGATATTAGGCATCATAGCTTTTGTTACGCCTTGCAGGTACCACAGCCCAATTTAATGACCTCACGTTGTTTGATATAATATATATAATAATAATGATAACAATAACGTCATGAACGAAATGCGAAAGAAATGAATTAAAATGGAAAATCATGTAGGCCTATCAAAATACTCTTTTTACCTAAATTGGGAAGGTTGTGTATTTTGAGGGTTGTACTTTTTCGGTTAGTAAGGCAATCATTAAATGTATTGGTATGCTTGAGAACCGTACCACTCCCGACTGACAGAAGACCGCGACCCCACTACCAGCTCCGGATTTGAGGGTTGTGGGTTTCCTAGTATAGGCCCTCCTCGAAGGAACACTTTTCACCCGTAACCCCCACCCGGCCGTACCTCCTCAGCTCCCCGTGGCTATAATCCGCTAAGGACAGAGCGTGAACCTCAATCAATTTCAAACAATCATAAGGAAAATTGACGTGGCCGTATTCAAATCTACGTCGTTGAGATTTCTGGCCGCCGCACGCACGTCACAGGTGGTGATGTAGCCTTTCGCCCAGGCCATCGTGGCTTAGAGCGGCGGAGTTGCAAGCATCCGGGCGCGTCGACGCGTCCGAGTAGTAGCCACGCACGCACTAAAAGGCTGATGATTGGTTGGAATTTTGCTACCCTTTTGGGGTAGCAAATGGTGCTTTTTTACCTCCTCGAAGGCCCGCGTTCAAATTCCACTTAGGGTTTGCATTCTCTACCCGATTGGGTGGGTTTTCCCGGCAGTGATCGTCCCCCTGAAACACCCCCGCCCCCACCACCACCACCACCGACAGAAAGAGGGCTTCAATAAAATAGAAGAGGCCATGCAATTAACGACAAATACATTTTACAGTGGAACTGCAGTTTGGAACAGCCCCTGAAGCGTCGAGTGATGTCAAGCAACCCTTGCCCACCCCATCCCGCCCCATACGCCACTTTTAGGGTAAACTCCACCTTTCCCAAAAGTCAGTACACGTATATACTGAGCTGAATGTTACAGAATCCTTTATAAATGTCAGATGGTTTGACTCAACGTAGGACGTTTTCAAAACCCGGAGATCATCCGGTTGGGCTTTATTGTGAATTTATAGACTCATTTTGAAGCAAGCCTGAAAAACTCGAAAATGTGATTCAATATTTTTTCATTTGATATTCCTGAAACAGAAACTGGAATTATATTTAAACCGGGTATACCAAGTAGGCCTAAGAGGCATAATAAATCTTGAAGCCGTGGCCAAAAAGCGAAGCCCATGTTTCGAAAAATCCGGATTCTCCTTCACGTCTCTCGACCGGGGCCTTATCGTCTTGCCCGATGCCTCATATATCACAGAGCAAGGAACAGATAAGTTCGAAATTTCGGAATTATGAGTCGTTGGGTTTATGAGGCATGTATCTGCCTCACACTCCGACGACTCATAAGTTCGATGCCTCATAAATTCGACGTCGGACAAACGAGGCGTCGGACCTATGAGGTGTCGGAGCTCAGACACCGTCATAGGATCGTTACAAAGAAAGGTTCATTGTCCGACAAGGCAAGAACGAGTTTCCAGTGGTTTTGAACTAATAATCAGACTCGGACAATTACGGACAGAACTGCACGCTCGGTAGCGGCCATCCCATGGGGGTGGGGGCGTGGTGCATCCCGGCTTAATGTGATAATGGCTGTCGGACAAATGAGGCGTCGGACTTGTGAGACGTCGAAGTTAATTGTCGGACCTACGAGGCGTCGGACCTACGAGGCGTCGGGCCTACTTACTATACTTATTTAGGCATAGTAGCCATGTGACCCCATATCCTAATTTGTTCTCTTCCAATGTTACGAGTCGAGCTCTTTCTTAAATGCTGGCACAGTTCTAGCATTCACTACTTTCTGTGGGAGAGCATTCCATGCATTGATGACTCGTTGGGAGAAGAAGTGTTTCCTACAGCCAATCTTTGGTACCGTCCCAGCTAGCTTTGAGGCAGCGGAGCGGACCAGCGTGGCCACTCCTTGGGATTTATCCCAAGATCTTGGGATTTTTGGCGGTAAAAAAATATCATAAAATTTCTATATGATTTTAGGCTACTGCGTGCTCCGTTGAATGCATTTTGTGAACACTGTTTTCCATGGCCTTGGGACTAAATTCTTGGGATTTTTACTGGATGAATCTTGGGAATTTCATTTTGGCCCGCGCTGGAGCGGATCCTGTCGTCCAAGTTGTCGCTTGGTGGCGCGCTGCAATCAGCCGGAGCGGAAACTTTGAAGAGATGTTTTCGAGAAGATGACCTAAAAATCTCTGAAGTTCTACCCGAGGCCAGCTTTGAAACCTAATGCGAGGATACTTTTTTTTGCGTGGTGTTAAATTACCATGATTACTTCACGTACGTTTTATTTGGTTAGTAGTCAAGACAACTTTAAACAGATTTTGCATATTGTGAATATAGCCTACAACATACATGTGACTGTGCACCAATTTCGTGAAAATAATGACGAAACTTGTTTTCCCTGATCACACTGATTGAATGATGTAGGCCTAAACCTAGCCCCATAAATGTGGCAAATTTACTGGACTAGGCCTACCTCGCGTAAATAAAGGCCACACTTGGAACTACTCCACCGATTTGGCATACTTTAGTGACAGTTACATGGTCGTCATGACGGTATGCATTTTGTGCATGCCCTCGCGATAGCTGGAGTTACCCAGCCCTGAGTTTTATCATTGGGTTGTCTATTAGGGCTGGAGCGCATTTTTCTCAAAACTTGTAGTATTTGCAAAGATAATTTGGAAAATGTTCAATTTTGTCCCCGTTACACACTAATTGCAACTGCAACTCACCCCAAACTTGCCTGGAATAACCATTACACAGGTCCTTGAAGTAAAAAACGATCCACGATGAAGATTCAGCCTACAATTGCAGTGAAAACAGGAGGAATAACCGCTAACTTGACAACCTTGCTGGATTGGCCAGGACCGCTATTGGTTTGTGCACAAAAAAATTTGTGTACAATGAATGGCGGTCGATTAACTGGCACAGAGAGCGATCGCTGTCAACTACTCGTTTTGCCGGCTGCGCTGGCTGTTGGCGCGTGACGTCACGCGGAAGCGTAACACCCGATGACTGTTTCATGCACTATTGGTTGCGGTTCCAGTACCAAAGCTGTGATGCGAGTGGTAAACCTTATACTAGTGCATGAAACAGTCATCGGGTGTTACGCTTCCGCGTGACGTCACGCGCCAACAGCCAGCGCAGCCGGCAAAACGAGTAGTTGACAGCGATCGCTCTCTGTGCCAGTTAATCGACCGCCATTCATTGTACACAATTTTTTTTGTGCACAAACCAATAGCGGTCCTGGCCAATCCAGCAAGGTTGTCAAGTTAGCGGTTATTCCTCCTGTTTTCACTGCAATTGTAGGCTGAATCTTCATCGTGGATCGTTTTTTACTTCAAGGACCTGTGTAATGGTTATTCCAGGCAAGTTTGGGGTGAGTTGCAGTTGCAATTAGTGTGTAACGGGGACAAAATTGAACATTTTCCAAATTATTTTTGCAAATACTACAAGTTTTGAGAAAAATGCGCTCCAGCCCTAATAGACAACCCAATGATAAAACTCAGGGCTGGGTAACTCCAGCTACCCTCGCGAGGACAAAAGGCCCCAAAAAAACTGATAAAGAGAATACAAATGAGAAAGACAGTAGGCCTAACCCTGGATAGATCCACACAGTCATGACATTCCATAATTTAAGACCCCTTAAATTGTTCCAAACAACCGGTCATTTTGAAAAAAGAACAAAATAGTCTGAACTTACCGCTTACTCCTAGAACTATGATGCTCCGCGTGAGCGGAGCATCATAGTTCTACTTCTAGGAGTACTTACCGCTCACAATTAAATGTGTCTGCCGAGTTGTCCATTTCACTGACATGACTGATGCATAATTCATCGCGCGCGTGTGTGACGTCACTATTGAAGAAAAACAAGTCGCGCTTAATCAATGACTGTTTCATGTACTGATATGTGTCCTGCGCCAAAAACCCACACTGTGAGACGGCGCGGGGCAAACATGACTACATGAAACAGTCGTTGAGTAAGCGCAACTTGTTTTACTTCAATAGTGACGTGAATGAATGAATTTTATTTAGCAAATTTTCAAAAATTTGGGACTCTACAACTTATTTTGATTCAACAAACATTCGATGAAAGAGTTTATACGACCGTAGTGTATGAACAAAATATTCGAAATCACATGGTACCAGTGATGTACCAAGGAGAAAATTTATTGTCGATTCGCAGCTCCTGCGATTTTCTACAAACGGTCCAAACATGTCAATGTGCGAGTCAAAAATCTCGCCACAATTCATTTTCTGAAGATTTTATCCAACAGATTTTTGTGTATCAAAAAGCTTACATTTTCTTTTCAGTGTGCACCTTGTCAAAAATAAAATGATTGGAGACTAATCCAAAAGAGGTAGGTTTTTATTTGAAGCAATCCGGAACTAGGAAAAATCCGGAACTAGGAAAACGACTTTACATGTTTTTGTACATGTTCCAAGTGTAGCCTTTATTGACGGAGGTAGTCCAGTACCTTAGTCCATGGCCACATTTATGGGGCTAGCAGAAAGAGCATAGCTCCATGGAAAGAGTGACGGCTTGCACATTTCCTGACATGCTTCAAATTGATATTTTAAGACAGTTCTGAACTAAAACTAGTACATACAGTCCCCACCAACATGGCAGACGCTGACATCTCTTTGCGAGACCTCGCTGCGCAGAAGGAACGCGAATGGCGAGAGGTCCAGGAACTACGAGCCAAGGCCCTCGAGGAGGTAACAAGGGAGAAGGATCGACAACTAGAACTTAACAAGGCTCAGTTCCAGAAACTGAAGGAGGATTTCAAGTACAATCTGAGACTGCTCTCCGAACGAGACAAGGAACTGGAGCGCTACGATGCGGTCTTCGCGGAGCTAAAGGCTGCATTTCAAGCAAAGAATGCTGAGGTCAATTGTCATTTTACTCACCTGTTTTTGTTTGACTCGTGAGAATTATGCTTCTCCCTTCTTTGGATCATTTGCATTTATCCCAAAAGTAACCTAACAAATTATTGCCAAAAACTTACTTGGATGAGGCAAAAAAAAAATAGTTCTGCTTCTGGTTACCCTACCTACCCTATTTCTATTGGGGGGGGGGGGGGTTGAGGGGGAAAAAACCCATCAATTACTACATTTTACCCTTTACTACATGCAGACAGAGCTACATATGATTGTACACTAAAAAAAAATTCCCTACCAAAAAAACCAAAAATTCCCTACCTACCTACCCTATTTTCAAATGCCATGTGATCAGAAGCAGAAGTATTCCTTTTTTGGCCTTAATGATTATACTACAGCGGAACGCCGCTATAACGAACATCGCGGGATCCACAGAAAATGTTCGTAATATTGATCATTCGGTATAGCAATTTTAAGCTGCCGGTGCTCTGGTACTCACTTTTCAATAAACGGCGCCCTTCATAACTTCACCCTGCACGCCCTGGTAGTTACTGAAAGACGCCTTCGAACACGTGCCGACTATTGTATTATGTAATTATACAGTTTTGAGCTTACTACATCCATGGGTGGCTTTCCCCTTCTATGCCTTGGGGGAAATAATAGCCACTTGTCGCTCTTCTGTTGACGGTTTTCAACAACAATGTTCTGTTGGTTTTGTTCACAAAAATCAGGAGCCAAGGACGATGTTCGGTATAGCCGAATGTTCGGTATAGCGGTGTTCGATATAGCGACGTTCCACTGGTATTAAACACCCTGTTAAATTATTCTGTCCGGCTAGCCGTCATTGAGAAGAAATCAAGAAATGTAGGTGATTTTTCAACGTTCTGTCAATTGACTGATTTTTGGAAGTAAAGAGTGCTACTGCTATAGACAAAATCATGTTTCGTGTTCAAAAGGTTGTGCATGTTTTTTCACTGTTTTCTCAATAACTACACTGAGCTGTAATATACACTGAGCTTCAAAGGGTTAGGTTTTGAACGCTCTTCTTTGGATTTTGAGTGTTGGTGTTATTGAAAATGAACAAAGTGCATCAAACTCAAATGACCAAATTGGTAGTTGTATTGATAACATATTTCAGGCATGAAAGCCAGCGAATGCCAAATTTGACATTGCAAAACATTTGCAATAAAATTCACCCAAGTAAAAATGTGTTCAACATTAGCTAATTTGCAGCATGAAAACTTGCCGTAAGACTTGCATCAGTGTTCACTTTCCTGCCAAATATGAACGAGCCGTAACGGGTTTCATCTCACATCGGCATTTTTAAAATTATTTTTGGATCTTAGGTGAGTGAGCTGAAAATCTGCATGGACGAACTGCGACAGACGACAGCGAGGGAATCACAAGCTAAAGAGGAACTGCAGCGACATTACCAGCAGAGGATACGAGAGAGACAGCAGGAGGTAGAGAAGTACAAGATGTGAGTTTGAGGTCAAAGTTCACAGTATTGATCAGTTTCAGGTGATGAGCTGCGGCTGACAGTAACATGCATGTGTATGGGAAATAGCTTCAGCTGTATGGGTCATTGCAAGCGGTAGTCATGTTATTAGGACATGGTCGTGATGCAGTGGACAGTTTGCATTTTGCCATGGGCCCGCCTATGGGTAACTATATGCGTCTGCCCAGATGCCATGCTGCATGTTTCAGTTGGGCACATCATGCGGAAATGCACACGTTTGACTTGGCTGTGATTGGCCAAACCCTCATGGGCTTGGCTTATATTGTATCAGTCTATTCTAATCCAGCTGCATAAATAGAATTTTTTTATCTATTTGAGTTCCCTTCCAATGTTTTTGTTAGGCCCGGCATTCAATTAAATTTCATAGACGCGCCACAATCAGCTTCACTGTGCCCCATGGGGCCGCACTACGGCCCCCCTTGGCTCGCCCATTTGTGTGGCGGAGTGCGGCGCTGATGGAAAGCGTGCATAACAATAGTCGTCACGGCTGAAGACACTTAATACACACAACCAATGATTTCTTGCTGGAAAATAAAGTTCAAAATTGTTGCACACGATCTTCAATTTGTAGCAAGATTGGAATGCTACCAAGTGTTTTCCAACAACTGTTGACTGACTGTCGAAAGAATTTCAGACCATCAGAGACCAAATATTTTCAAATATCGAGGCAGTCATTAACCCCAACAAACCCCATCAAGTCAAACTCCAACACCAGGGTTTGTTGGAATCTGTTGGAGTGAGAACTGCACTAGTAAACTGATTATGCTTTACATGGGCTTAGCATACCATTAATAATCAGAGTCCATCAGTGTTTGTGTACAGTTTATATGGTGTTGGATTTTTCAGAAGTAAGGAAGGTTCCTAGTAAATCACTTTTGGGGTTAGGGCTAAATAATGTCTGTACATCTATTTGGATCTTCATCATTTTGTGAGGTCTGTATCATGATGCGTATCGTATTGTGCCATATTGTATAGGTTTTCCCTGCCAATTTTCTGAAATGTTCATTCACTTCTGAAAATGGGTCTTCTGAAAATCGTTTCATTTTCGCTACCAGAGCATTCGATTCCATTTCAGTTCAATCAATTAAGTGATTGAGCAGCACCTTTCGTTTATGTCCATTCAGATTCGTTTACAAGACTTCTTTTTCGCTTTTAGATGGCGATTCCAAACATTCGCCATTCTATTTCACTTTTAGTTTAATCCATCTGCACTAGATAAAATTAGGGGTCTCTTTTTTATTAACCGTCAACCAAATTAGCTATACTTGAAATCAATTTAGAAAAGGTATGCTTGCGTAAATGAATGCACAGGTAACGTAATTGGCCGTCTGTTTCCCAAACCCGAATACACGGACAATGAAAACAATTGAACTTTCCTTGAATTGAAATCGAACTAGAGATGTGCATTTAAATTCAGACGAAAATGAATGACCAATTTTCAGAAGTGAAAGAACATTTCAGGAAATTGGCCGGGAAAACCTATATTATGGCTTTCATTATTTGTGAGGTCTTGCATACCATTCTGTACTCAGAGCCAAAGATGCTGAGATGGAGACGGAGCGTGGTAACCTTGGCAACATCAAGCGCAACCTCCAGCGCCAGCTAAGAGAGGTTGAGGAGGAGCTAGACGTCCAACGGCAGGAGCTGACGGTGGGATTCGACGAGGCGTTACGCCGACGGGAAAATGAGTACCGGGCACAGTTGGATGACATGAATGCTACAGTGCTAGCCCATGAGATGAAGGTACGTGACAAACAAGTATTGCTCTGAGGGTTTGGCTAAAATTCCATCGTACAAAAAAGTGATTGACTGCGATACCAGGTGCTATATCAGATTTGACACGGGCAGCTCGATGGTTAAGTGGAAAGACATGTGAACCAGTAAGCAGGATGTAGTGGGTTCAAGTCCAACAAAAGCTAGTCTAGGGGCTAGACGTTGTTATGGTTTGATACGCGATAACCCGCCTCAGCGATAACCCGCCGCCGCAAGAGGGCGCTATCACGATCAAGCAATATCACCCACAAACCTGTCAGAACGATTTCTAGGCCACTTCCTACAATCTCCCCCCCCCCCCCCCGAAACATTTTTCGGGGCAACTAGTGCGCATGCGCGACTTCTGCGGGCAATCACTGTTCATGTTCAGTCCCCCACATACTACTCACAACAAAAGAGCTGACCAGTGAAGTTGCACAAAGGTCTTGCTGCATCTTTCACATAACTGGAAGAAATTTGAGAGTTTGCTTCGGAACTACCATGATTTTTTTTTAATGCGTGCTGCATATACATGTATTAGACCAAACAGGTGTAAGCTCATTACACAACCAATAGGAATTGGCCTAGACGTTGTTCCAATGGGTTTGTGGGTGATATTGGTTGGTCGTGATAGCGCCCTCTCCCAGCAGCGGGTTATCGCTTTTCAAACTATAACGACGTCTAGCCCCTAGACTACACAAAAGCGAGCTCTCGCACTGAGTATACAGCTGTTGTCAGTGAAGGGAGTAAAACACAAGAATTAATTTCGAACCCCCTCCCTTGTTCCTGAATTAGAATAACAAAGAATACCCTTTAAGATGGCCGTTGTGCATAAAGTCCATAGACATTCCTTTCGATTGTAAACACTGAGCGCCATTTTGTATGGGCTGCCACAATGGCATAAAATTAAAGCCATGGTTGGCAACAGATTTTTTCGAAACAATTAGCAAGTGGTACAACCCACGGTGGCTGTGTAAGGTGTGAAGATACAGCACCTATACAGCACCGTCCATGCACCCGGGCCGTACCAGTACCTCGAAAGCACAGAAAACGAAAAGGAATGGGGCATGATCTAATATACAAAAAATATGCAAATTAGATGCATGCGCTTCATTGTTTGCTAAACCGGTCTTCAAATGCAAAGCTGTAATACTTGAGTTGTATGAATACAATATACGGCCGAGTAAGGTGTCCACCATCCAACCCACCCACCAACCAACCAACCAACATGAGCAGCTCAAGCCCACGGCATGTTTCACACCAGCATGTGTACCAGTAGTGCAGCCAAGCTAAGTAGGCTGGTCCTGAATAGTTGACTAGACTAGTCCAACACAAGTCTATGAGAGGTGGCTGCAGCCGCGTCCCATAGACTCGTTTGTAAATTTCAAGTCGCAGCCAAGTAATTCAGACACGGCGTTAGACTAGCATTAGTTACAGCAAGTAAGACAGTCAAACTCTGGTTAATGAATTTTGCGGTTCCTTAAAATTTGCCCTTCATTTTTTTCCGAAAAGGGGCCAATATCACAATGCCAGTATTGTAGTCAAGACCATTACAAGACCAGACACAAGACCAGCCACAAGTAACAGGGCACGAACAATGACAGAGGAATGCCTTTGTTGCAGTTCATTTGAATAGCTTGTGACTTGAATTGAGACTGAAGGTCTTGTGATGGACTTGTGATGGTCTCATGCAGGGTCTCGACTACAACACTGCACAATGCTGCAAAGTACAGAAAATTGCTTAGCGCCAGAAAAAAAACACATGATAAGCCGTGTCGGAATTACTTGGCTACGGCTTAAAATTACACACATGTATATGGTAGCGGCTGCAGCCACTTCCCAAAGACTTGTGTGTTATTTCAAGCTGTAGTCAAGTAATACGGACACGGCCATATTTTCTGATAAGCAGCTTTACGAAAAACCACCCACTGTGATTTCATTCCAAAGGTAAAATTACTAAGCAAGGAGTTGGAGTTGGTCCGCACAGCCAACGAGAGGGCATCATCGCAACTAGGCAACGCAGACTCTACTGCACAGGAGCTTCACAAGCAGCTGAAACAGAAGGAATGGGAGCTGCATGACCAGGCCAGCATGAAAGATGCAAGGTAACACTGGCTGAGAAATGTCCTCTGAAAATAACAATGAAATGTTTCTTTCAACAATGGACCTTCCTGCCTACCAGTCAAACAGTGTACAATTGTTGCATGCTGTGGCAGGGTCCTTGGTGCTTTGCACTCCCGAGGGGGCAAATAATTATAATAATGATAATACTGGAGTCTTATATAGCGCACGTATCTACCAACAATTAGGTACTCAAGGCGCTGGGAATTATGTCTATTATTAGAGACAGGTAAATAAAGTTTATGAGAAATATGAGACCCATTATGTAACACCTTATAAGTTTCTTTTTCCAAGGTGCTGAGGCGCATATTGCAACCACTGCCAGAAACACAGGGGCAAACCCCTTCTCTTAGCGATAAGTGTTACTGGGTTCTTTAACGTGCATTACACAACACACGGGACCTACGGCTTTACGTCCCATCCGAAGGACGAAGCAATAATGGTAAAGTGCCTTGCTTAAGAGCACAAGCACCATGTTCCCACGGTCAGGATTCGAACCCATGCACCACGGCACACGAGTCGAACTCCGTAACTATTGGACCACAGCACCCCACAAATGGTACTTGAGGCAAAGCCGAGGGTGCCATTTCCCCCCGCGGGTGTACAAAACCCATGGACCCCATCACAGCAGGCAACAATTGTTTTGTTATGTCACAGTAAAAGATTACAGCTGTCCAATTTTGTCACTAGTAACGTCTCGGAAACTGTGGGTCTTTTCCTGTTGCGGGGCAGAATTGGTGAACTATTCGCACAGAATTTTCTATATTTTCTTCGCGCTGATGCTGTCCTGTTCAAAAATCAAATGTCTGATCTCGTCTTTGTAACAAGAGAGAAACCTCTTCTTTGGAGGCGACCTGATGTCATCTGCCGACATTATTGGGGTGAAATTGCGGCCAAATTGGCAGAGTTAAAAAAAAAAGCAGATGAACAGTGTCGAACGATGTAAACAACATGGCGGTCGTAACAGGTGACAGCCTTTGTGGAGTGGTTAAATGTTTAAACGTTAAAACAGTGCTTAATAGTTTTGGTAAACATTCACAAATTAGATGCAAAGTCCCATCCTTTCTTTAAAAACATATTGTGAAAAATGGGATTGTTATGGTCATAATTATGAGTAAGCAGCATAAAGGGTTTTAAAACAGTTACTAATTGTGAAGATTTTTTTTATTTTTAGCTGTTATTTGTTTTCTTTCTGACAGAATTGCAGAGTTGGAGAGTCAGAAGGAAATAATGGAACAGTCCGTGAACAGAGCCATGGAGGATTTCAACAGGAAGTATGTAAAACTGTGTAAAGAAATCAAATACAGTAAACTCCGGCTAAGTCGGCACTCTCGGGACCCGAGAATTTGTGACGACTTACGCGAATGCCGACATCTGCTGTAAGTCGTCATTTTGCCAACTTACATGAATGGCTTTTTGCACACACGATTCATTGCACTAAATGGCTTCGATTTACCCTGGTTTATCTCCTTAATGCTTGAAATGAATCCAGCAAATTAATCCTCGAATTTTATCTTCACGTTTCGGGTATTGATAGTGGAGACCACGTGTACAATATGTACGTGCACAGTAACAAATTAAATGTGTGCGTGGTCCGGTATACCACGCACGCATATTGACTGCAGCACTTGTCACGAGACGAGAGGGGGTACTGGTATTGATACATGTATGCTCACGATGTATGTATGCAGCAGGAAACCCTTTTGCGACACCGATACATGCAGCGATCACGGGCCGTGTCAAACCACTTTTCACTTTACATTCTTGCCAACCACAGTACAGGAAGTCGATGCCAATGCGTGATTTTATTGAATGCCGACTTTAAAGCATTTTGTAATGCTTTTAATGGAAAGGGGACCAATAGTAACACAATGACTTGAGTGAAATGAAGACTTATAAAAACCGACTTAGAAATTAAAAAATTCAATGGAAATGCATTACGGAAAATCGGGACTTTAGTCAGACGGCTGACTTGAGCAATTTGACGAGTTGTACGATGTTGATTTAGCCGGAGTTTACTGTATTAGTGTTGGCATTTAAAGGCAAGTAGGGACAGATAAGGAAGGAAAGTTTACATGGTGAGGATAACAGCAAGGCCAGTTTGCAGAAACACCATGTGAAATTAATCTCTTTTGTGAGTTTTGGGTGGTTATAAGGAGAACCGGTTAAGCATACTCTGTCGTCAGGAGACTGAGGGGATTCCAAGTAGGGACATTTGCAACAACTCAGAAACGTACCTATACCGATAATAACGAGAAAAAGCTTACTCAAAGTGGAGATAGGACTGCTTCCAAATACCCTGTGAAATTGTACCCCCTGAAGTGGTATTAACAATCAATCAATCAATCAATCATCGAAGGTGGTTTCAGAAAATATGCCCTGGGGCACAGATTTTTGTGTGTGCGTTAGCAACGGAATCCAGTTACAAGACCCCCAAAATTGTGTATACGTTTTCTCTGTTTTCTTGAAAAAAAGATTAAGATTGATTTATTCAGCCAATGATTAAAAACAATCACAGTAATTTGTAATGTTGGACTCGCATAAAAGTAGACTTGACTCAATTTAAAATACCATATAATTAAAACAATTACCACAAAAAACTTGTACAAATAAGATGCAAACAATTACAATATACATACACATTTTATAAATTAATAGTCCCCATTGTTAAAACCCACACAGCTGATCATGGTATAAAAATGTTTCTGAAACGGTTGGTTTATACATAAACACATTTTATAAATTAAAAGTTCCCATTGTTAAAAACCCGCACGGCCGATGGTATGACACTATTTCTGAAACGGTTGGTTTTTGCGCCTATTAATCTCATCCTTCTTCCTGAAGGCATCATGTGGAAGAACTCATTTGTTGGGTGATGCATATCGTCAACAATATTTTCAACACACTTCCTCATTCTCTTATCATAAATTGTCTTCATGTCATCCAACTTAACTCCAATTATGTGCGACACGTTTTTATCCACTCTATTCAGTCTATCAATTTCACATTTAGGAGTGACATTGAACCAGACAATAATAGAGCTGGTCAGGCAAGATTGAATTACACATCTTTACAAATTAATCAAAATATGTCTGCTCACACCAAAGGATTTCTTTAGTTTTGTCAACATTCAAGACAAGATTGTTCGATTCAGACCATTTTACAAGAGATATGATACTTGCAAAAATACATTTTGAAATACTGGCCAGATTTCTTTTTGTGAAGAACTTCATTTTTTTCCCCTATAAACTTGAAGTTGTTCGTTGGACTGCACTGTATCGTTACGCTTGACTTGGACTCGGACTCAAACCGAGTGACTTGAGACTTTGAATCAGACTTCAATCAAATATAAAATCAGGACTCACACTCAGACTCGAATCAAATCACTTGACAATTACCCTGTCATTGGAATATTGTTAAATTTTTTGTCAATAAAAAAAAAAATCTGCATTTGACATTAAAGTAAGTTCAATAAACATAACCATCTCACTTATTTAGAAAAATCACATAAAATGAACATATTCCTAAATTTATTTTTAGGCATGCTGAACTGGACAGGTACGCTCGAGAAAAAGAAACAATCGTCCTGAAACTGAAGGACAGTCACAATGCCACAGAGCGCCAGCTTCAAGATAAGATCCGAGAGCTGAATGCCAAGATGGAGGCGTCAGAGGCAGAGAGAAGGAGAGAGGAGTGGTCTCACCAAGATGCTATCAAGGAGAAAGATCTCTTGATTGACAAGTAGGTAGCTTTTTGAAGGTTTGCATGGTCAAGGCAGCGAGTTGCACAGTTGAAACAGAATCTCTTTTGTGAGGGTGTGTGGCTCGGAGAAGAACTGTTCGAAAGTCATTATAATGGTGTATATTGCACCGCAAAATGGTGTGGTCCACAGAGCGCTCTGTACGTGACATGTTGGTGACACGTACGTCCGTACGGAGCGCTGTATCTACGCAGCACAAAACAGCACGTGCTTATTGCTTTCATAGCGAATGCCTGTGGCGCAGCATCACGGTAGGGGTATCGTACGGGGTACGTGCGGTGGGATCGTTGTTTATTTTTCGCTGTGTCGTACGGCCAGTGCGCAATGCTCAAAGTCGCTGCGCTTGTATACGAGCAAACGGCAGATATTTTTTTTCGCAACCAAAATTTATAGCGTAGCGGTAGCGTAGCGGTAGCATAGCGGTAGCGTAGCGGCGCGATTTAAGCGTAGCGCTTATTTCCGAAAGCGTAGCGGGTGCTAGCGCTATTTGATGCCTGGCTAGAACACTGATCACAAGTACATCACAAGTCAATTCACAAGTCCAGTCGCAAGCACCGAAGGATGAACAAGAACAAAAGAATGCTTTTGTCACAGTTCACTTGACTGTCTTGTGAGTTGACTTGGGAATAGATGACTTGTGCTTGACTTGCGACGATTTATGATCCATCACAAGTACCTCGACTACAACACCGACATTATGTGAGTGAGGTGTTCTGGCAAAATAAGATGGGCAGATGTTGAAATGAGGGTTTGCAGGTATCAGGAAAGAGAATGAGATTCTGCTTACAATATTGTTTGTTGCACTTCAATCGGACAAGTTGTGGCTGTTTAAAGTTTACATTAATCAACAAGTCATAAAAGTAAAATGCTATGAAAAAGGCCTACAAATTTCGAGTTTTGTGGTCGTGAAAATTCAAGATCCAAATTTTTTGCCCTAAAAACACTTTTTTTAATCCAAATTTGTATACCACTTCCTTAAAATGTATGTAGTTGACATATCAAAGATTACAAATATCAATATATCTGAAAATGGAAAAAAATCACTCCATTTGGATTTTTTGCATTTGTTGCATTTTCCTCCACTACGGCCTGTACTTTTGGCCCAGTTCTGTCTCATTTTGCCAGAACGCCTCACATTTTCCAAATTAAAATGTCCTCCACTTGTAGATTGCAGCGTGAGATCCAAGATGTCAGAGGTCATTCTGACGCGCAGCTGGCCAACATATCCAGAGATACAGTCAACAAGGACCTGACTATCACTGGACTTAGAGACACTCAGGGCAAACTCAAGACAGAGCTAGCACAGAGGAACGAAGACGTGCAAAGGTACGTGTCTAAACACACTAGCTTTGTGGGGTGCTGTGGTCCAATGTTTACGGTGTTCGACTCGTGTACCATGGTACATGGGTTCGAATCCTGACCGTGGGAACGTGGTGCTTGTGCTCTTGAGCAAGGCACTTCACCATTATTGCTTCATCCCTCGGATGGGACGTAAAGCCGTAGGTCCCGTGTGTTGTGTAATGCACGTTAAAGAACCCAGTAACACTTATCGCTAAGGTGTTTCTGGCAGTGGCTGCTTAATGCGCCGAAGCACCTTGTAAGTCATTATAAAGGTGCTACATAATGGTTCTCATATTTCTCATGTACTTCATTTACCTGTCTCTAATAATAGACATAATTTCCAGCGCCTTGAGTACCTAATTGTTGGTAGATACGTGCGCTATATAAGACTTCGGTATTGTTACTCGCACGAAGAGTAGGTGGCACTTTCTTGTTACTTGTGAGAGCTAAAGTGAAGAACATTGGGCGCTTGTACGCACTGTTCACTCATGTAAGCCACAGGGCACTCACCATCAAACTGTTTTGTCTTCTTGTGACATCTGACGCAACGGCAGTGCGCTTAAATTTCCCTCCCAGTGGTCTCCCCAAACTTTTTCTTTGCATCAGATTTTCATTTCTACTCTTTTGTGGTATTTTTAATAACATGGAAAGAAAATACTTGTTCACAGTTTGAACAGGTATCGTTTACAAATAAGATTTGGCTTCTATCAACAATTCCAATTGGTCCATATTTATGCATGGCTGAGCAAAAACAGTACAAAGTCCGGCCCAAAACCTTGACAAAGTGCATTCTACAAAATCAGTAACACACTTTTGCCATGTAACCTCAATCCTATAAATTCCTCCACTTCAGCAAAGAGGATTTTGAAGGATTTAGGGCAGTTAGGGTTATCTCAACATCTTTCATTAACTCCTATCTGAACGATTTGTCCTTTTATGTTTCAGGGGACTGTAATTTTGAGACAACCTAAATTGATAATAATTCATCTTGTTTGTACCGCAGATACAAAAAAGAATTGTCCTTAGCTGCTGAGAGAGAGGCCAACTTGGAAAGATCACGGACCCAGGCTGAGTTAGACTGGCAGAGACGCTGTGAGAATCTGGAACGAGAACAGTACAGCAAGTCAGAGGAGTTGATTCAGAGATTGACCATGGCAAGAGATGAGGTATTATTACGCCTCATGCATATTTACAAGCAAATGTACTAAACGCCCTGTGTAATTATTCCGTCTGGCTTGCTGTCATTTAGAATAAATCAAGTGATGTAGGTGATTTCCAAAGATCAGTCAATTGACTGATCGTTGGAAATAAAAAGAGTTCTATGGACAAAATCGTGTTTCAGGATCAAAAGTTTGTGCATGATTTTTCACCAGTTTCTCAAAAAGCGTCATTAATATCCACTGAGCTGAAACTTCAACAGTTAGGTTTTGAACATTCTTCTTTGGATTTTGAGTGGTGTTATTATTGGAAATGGATAAAATGTGACCTACTGAGGCAAAATGAGGAATGTCCCCCAAAACCTTGTTTTCAGTAATCGACGCCTGAAGTTGGATATACTAGAAAAATCATGTCAAAATTGATATTGATTGTTTTGTATTTTTGAGTAGCCAAGGTATCCAAGATTCATACTATGCACAGACCTGCCAACTAGTACGATTCTGCCGTATTTCATATGGGAATTTGTTGAAAATACGAATGTACGTTTTTCCCCCATAAAATACGGGTTTTGACCAATTTGACGCGCCTGGAAAAATCCCAGCGGCTGTTAGTGTAGATTTCTGCCGGATAAAATTGGCTGAAATAAACAACGTAAATTGCAAGCAGCCTAGCAAACGATGTACTGCATGCACGAACTGAATCTGGTTTCGCGATTCACACTGTGCGATGTACATTATGTACACAGTATCACAAACTAGAACCAGTCCATTCCCGGAGTGCCGATACTTCAAGCAGCGGCACCCCGCCACAAAAATAAATATCTGTATTCGTACACACACACACCAGTGAGAGTACGTACGGCAGATCTTACGTGCAGTCAACAGACTTTCTTTCTCTCAGTGCACGCACGATACACAGAATACACTTTGACGTTCGTGTACGATAGTCACAACGTGCGTGCATGTGGTGTTCCGTTATGTCAAACATTTTTGAATAGTAAAGTTTGATACTACGTTCTGAAACGAATTCAAAAATCTGAAAAATCAACAATTAAAGCGGGCGGCCCAAACCGAACCAGGTAAATCAGCCAGCAAATTCAAGAAATTGATTTCTTTTTCGGGTAGGCCAAGTTTAAAATAAAACTCTGTTCGATCGCTGTGTATTTTTTTGGGGCACAATTGCAGAATACCCCGCCACCCAATCTATCCACCTCGTAGCCGGCTACGGAGTCACGGTTGATTGCCCTCAATAAACCTTCTCAGCGCTACTTGTATTTTAAACATTTAGTGTGTGCACGTGAATTATGATTCAAGAGTCAAACTGGCACTTGGCGGCGACGTGATAAAACATGAATAAGTTTAGATTATACTTGGAAGTCATATGAATGTTTCACCTGCATTATAGGTTTATTTATTTCAAACATGAGGAAGTCTAGTCTTTAGTTTATGTTTAAGTAGACTTGCATTGAATAGTTTTTAAAGCAGTTTGTTTGTGAATAAGGTATATGATCAATATCCTTATTCATGCAAATTGTTTTATTGGGTTTACCACCTGCAGGGAGACCTCTGGTCATTTTTTTTATAACTTTATAATTAAGATTATCAAAAATGGAGCATTGCAGCCACATTTATTTGTTCGTTCAGCCCGTCTATGTATGTTTTTGAACAATACAGTTTTTTTTTTAAATTACAACTTTTTGAAATTCAGAATACAGTTTTTCGATCCCAAAGGTTGGCAGGTCTGTATGCAGTTTTATTGGGAAAAAAATACCCACAAGAGTGGAAAAACTGAAGAACTTTTTTCACTGCCGTTGGCGGCACAATGCGTGTCTTTTTTTTCAAAGCCGTTTTTCTCGAAATGAGGTTAGCAAAACTTGGCAGGACACTGTTGAAGTTCCTGCGTCATATCTTTGGAATAAATTAAGCTACAGAAATAAATGTGGTGTCATTGGAAAGCCAACGATTTGCGCTTTAATTTGATCTACATAACATGAAAAGTCAAAGGTGGGGTTATTCCGCTTTATGCTATGGCAGGTCGCAAATGCATATCAAGCAAATGATCCTATATGCCTTTATATAATCACCAGGCTCTTGCAGCAGTCAAGGAGAAGGATCGTGAGATGTCACACAAGGAAGATTACATCCGAGTTCTCACCGCCGACAGAGACCACGCCTTTGCAACACTCAGGAAACACAACATACAGATCAATAGGGACATATTACAGGTTAGTTTTAGTGCTTACAAAAACAAGTAAATACACCTGGGGTGGATTGCAATAGACAGTCTTAAAGCTCTGGCTGTCAGTCGGTCTATCAGTTAGACCATTGCAATGGTCTAAGTATTAAGTCTTAATATAATAATTAGCCTGGGTTCGGCTGGCTTACAACGGTTTATAGTTGGGATTTTTTAATTCATCAGTGTGTTGAAATATTCCTTCCCAAAATGCGTTTCAGTTGATTAAGTGTTTGATAATTTAAATAGAAGAATACAGAGTGAGTAAAGAAAACCGAAACCCAAATGTCGGGACCATTGTTTTAGTGAAGTTCTGCATGCAGCACTTTCAAAATCTAGAATATGAAAGCCCAATTCATGTACAAGAATCGTTCAAATCACTCATGTTTTTTTCAAGTTACGGAGTTATAAACACAACCACCGTTTTAAAGCTCTGTCCACGGATCACAAAAAAGGCATGCGTTCTTTCACCAAAACGAAAACAATTCACACACATCCTTAAGTGATTTGTGTTCATTTTGCTGAATAAACACTGATTTTTTTTGTGCTCTATGGACAGAACCTTAAAACGGCAGTTGTGTTTAAAATTCTGTAACTTGAAAAGTACATGAGTGATTTGAATGATTCTTGTACTAAAAGAAAGCTTATGAATTGGGCTTTTATATCCTAGATTTAGAAAGTGCTACATGCAGAACTAAAACAATAGTCCCGACATTTGGGTTTCGTTTTTTTTTACTCACCCTGTACTGCTTTGAGAGAGGATTTTCCAAGATGGCAGGAATTCTTCTAGGGAAATTTAATGACACTGAGTTGTGCTGCAAATACAATTTTCTCGACATAAAATCTTGTAATTGACAAATTTGAATTTGCATGATTTGAATCGAGCAAAGCGAAAAATCTTGTAATTGACAAATTTGAATTTGCATGATTTGAATCGAGCAAAGCGAAAAATCGTGCAGCCTCTCCGGTATTACGGCACGTGATGAGCACCACAACCTAACAATGGAATGGTTGTTTGTGAATCGTTACTCTAAGCAGGCTTAGTAAAGACCGGATTATCGCAATGTGATTAGTTTGGTGTCTTAACCAAGACCGTCTAGGAGCGATAGCTGGCTAAAATCGGACTGGTTAAGCCAGCCAACTAAGACCGCAGTATTGCAATCCACCCTGCAGAACATACATTTTCAATATCCCTAAAAGGGCTATGGGTACAGAATCCCATCTGTTACTGTGGATTTTTTTACCATGGCAAGCCTTTATGAATTTGTAGTCTAATGTCATGCAGATTTTTGACTCCAATTTCATTAACGTCATTTGTCATTATAGATTTGTAAATGTTCATAGTTTTAAATTTTTGACAACAGGTAACAGCAATCTTTTGTTTTCAATTGATCGTGTGAAGGAAAGGCACTCCATGGATTGAGCTACAATTTTGCACACACACTAAGCATGAATGTTTCTACCATGTCTACCATCCTACAACTGTCATGAAAATAGGTTATTGCATTTTTTAGATCTTTTGTACGATTGCTGAAAACCCCTGGCTATTTTAGGGTCAAGAAGCTGTTTTGGGGTCATGAAATCAATTTCATGCTGAAACAATTCCCGAACACTTTTGCTCGGGCTTTTTTTTTTTTTTTAACTTGGATGTGCTCATTCAGACATAACTATGGAACATGAATGACTTTTCTCACATCATCTGAATGAGCTTAAAATTTCATATGTACTAAGCAAAAACGTTTCTTAAGGTCTACCAAAGTTTATACAAATCTGTCATTGCCGGAGAAAAGTTGGCTATTTTATGGTTAAGAGATCGTGAAATGACTTTTGTATTGAAACAATCCTTACCACTTGTGAACAAAAGAGGGCGCTTTGGAATGATTCAGTTACTCCATGCCCACAACACTCCAGAAAATTGAACAAGAGTTCAAGAGCTGGATCCAATTTGTTTGTCTGCAGAATAAAGAAGATTCGGATGACCACTCGGGATTCGCATCCGAGCAACTCCGAGCGCTACAGGAGCAAAACGACATGCTGCGGGCTGTCATTCATGAGATGCGAGAAGACATGGAACAAATCGGGGAGAAACAAGCAACAGCCAATCAGATCCCAGATGCCATGGCAGCAGGGGATGATGGGAAGACCAATCCACCAATCACAGAAGGTTCTTTGAAATTAATATCCTTGGAAACCTTTTGTGGGACGTGTTTCGGGCATTATATGGGGTACCAGTTCCAGAATTCTGAACAACTTCTCTGCAATCTTCCCGCAATGAAGTTATTGTGAGTCAAGCACAAATGGCTCATCAGGCCGACATTTATCTCTGGTTTCCTTGGCATAAAACGACTGAGAATATCTCTATTTCCACTGGATGGGATGCTAGTGCATCACAGGCTATCCCCAGCTAATGCCGGTACCCATTTATACTCCTGGGTGGAGAGAGGCAGGTTGGAGTGAAGTAGCTTGCCCAAGGACACAACATAGGGCCAGCAGCTAGATTCAAACCCCTGAAGCTCAGATCTTGAGTCACGAACCCTAACTACGAGGCCACACTGTACTGCCCAACAAAAATTTGGATCAGTTGAAGTTAAAATTTCAGTCAACCATGTTAGGTTTTTTTTTTCTTTAAGAAAAATTTGATTGCCTCTTTTCAGATTATGTGAAGATTTTAGAAAAAGAAAGTCGAGACCTCAAGCTGGAACTAAGAGACTTGAAGGAGAAATACGAATCTCTGCAGCAGGCAAGCAGACAGGATGAAACAAACAAACACGTCACAGATCTAAACAACGTCGTCGCAATGGACGACGCATACGTCAGGAGCCATATCCAGAGCCTCAATGACACCATCGGTGCACTGAGATCAGAAAAGGTCTCCTTATCTGCCAAAGTGAAGAGACAACAGGCGCGGATCACTCACATTGAAAATAACATGAACCATTTGCAGAAACAGGTAAGGACCAAGTTTTTTTTACATGGTACAGGGTGACCCAAAAATAATTGTGCAAGCAGACATCTTTAGATTTCTCAAAAAGTATCCAACATCAGCATTTCATGTTTATGGAATTTATTACTTGTACTCTTTTGTATAATCACAGCCAAAAATTGATAAAAATCCATTCATGCAAACAAGAGATACAACAGATTATAAATGGCAATGTGTTTTTCACCCGTTTCAATGTGATTTACCATAGTTAATGAAAACATTGCAGAGTGCCGGTTGAGAAATTTCCAATGCAATGTGTAATTCCCATTGAAATGGTTAAAAAACATATATCCTTTTATAATCTGTTACAGCTGTGGTTTGCATGAATGGGTTTTCATGACATGAGTATAATTGTTATGCTTCATCAAAATGAAATACTATGAATGTTAGTTACTTTTTGAGAAATTTAATTGGGTCACCCTGTATAGCAGCTGGCCAGAGTTCCCTAACATGCTGGCACTTACGCAGGATTTCAAGTGGGGAGGTGTGTTGCTCACGACACTGGACCATCACACCAGTTTTGAAAATTCTTATAGTTAGGAAGGGGGGGGGGGGGTTGCTATTCAAACATGTATGTACGCATTCTGTATACGTATGCGCTGCATTAAACACCCTTTCCCTGCAGTATGAACCGTAAAATTCACATGAAACGGTTACTCGGCGATCAATATCTTGGAGCTATTGTATCATGGAAAAATATATTGTTAATTTTAAATTAACTTTTGATATAATATATATATATGCAGTGGCATTCCACTAGAAAAAAAATATTTGGTGGGAGGGCACAGTTGTGAAAGTAATATGCTGGATACGTTACGAAAAGGTACATATAAAAATGTGGACCTTTTCTAAGGTGGAACGAGGGTGCATATATGCACCTGGAACCCCCCCCCCCTTCTCCCACCTTCGACTGTACCCCTGACTTTCTTTTGTAGGCTTACCAGACTTCTTTGTCGATTAGCTCTGTATTCATTCAGTAAAGTATTGTTACTATTATATTGCTCTGGAAACCTTGTGAACAGTTTTTAACATGTCATGAAGTCTACTCTGATCCAACTAAAACAGCACGGTGGTGGATGTGTACAATGTACCCTCAGAGAATCCTGTAGGAACACTGTATTTTGCTTTTTTTGCAAACATTGCGGAAATTTAATTATAATTGTCTTTCTTCTTTTTTGTGTTGTGTCCCAAAATCCAACACAGTTTGTACACAACATTATGAAAGAAGTTCATCAGGCTGGTGAATTTTCAACTTTGTAAATGAATTTTCTATAAACACAGACAATTACTTAGGTAGTTTCGTTTACGTTTCGACTAGTTTCATGAGTCATCCACCAGTTGGTTGGAAACAGCGCCACCAACCAACTGGTGGTGCTTCGTTCTGAGGATGACTAGTGAAACTAGTCAAAACGTAAACGAAACTACGTAAGTAATTGGCTGTGTTTATAGAAAATTCATTTACAATGTACACAACATTATTTATATGGCACTTTGGTTATTTTGAAAACTCACACAACTTGAATAAGCCTTTTTGTGTGTGTTCATGAACAGACACAGCTCATTTTGCTAACCCTTACTGTAACTTTGTATCTTGTGCTCCTCAGCCCTATGAGAAGCAAGCTGAGATTGAGCAGCTCCAGTACGAGCTCACCACCTCAGCTCATCGGCACGCTGGAGAGACTGCCACCCTGAGGCAGAGAGTAGCTGAGCTTGAACTCCAGCTAGCAGAGACCAGACAGGAAGCTGACGAGTACTACAAGGGAGGATTGCAGACAAACCTAGAGGCAACGGCACTGGGCAATCAGGTCAGGTTTTGTCACATAACTAAGTACAGTGAAATCTTGATAAGTCAAACTCTGATTACTCAAAACAACCGTTAAGTCAAACAAAGTATCCATTCCCTGTAGTAGAATAACAATGATATACAACCCTGCTTGACCCAAAACTCTGCTTAAGTCAAATTTTGAACCTGTTCCCTTGAGGTTTGACTTATCAAGATTTTACTGTTTATCATTTCAACACCATTCTACACAATAAACAATCAAATCGTCCTGATTTTGGTATTTGTGCTTGCAGCAGCAACCGGGTACGCCGACCCAATGTTTTAATTACATCTTTCAATAATTCGAACCTTTTAATAAAGACTTGATAGTATTTACAGAACTATCATCTGTTATCTAGGCGTAAGAGCCTTTCATTATAGACACATTTAAGTAATCAATTAATTATACAGAATTATACCTGAGACGTACAACACTCGTTTTTACAATTGTTATGATTATTTTTAATTATTCGTACCCCATTTGATATTATGTTTAGTGTCATTGCTGTGCATGATGACTACCAGGTACGACAGTGTTTTAATTCATCATTCAATAATTTGAACCTTAAAGACGTCTTGATGGAGACAATATTTACAGAACTAGGGTCTATCATTTAGGCGTAAGAGCCTTTCATTTAGCATATTTGCGTAATCAATAATAGAATTAACCTTGAGACTTCTCTCCTCTTTACAATTGTTATGGTTATTTCTGAATATTCGTACCACATTTGATATTATATTAAGGCAAGCTTTTCAGAACTATCTTTTTTGGTTTTGTACAATACCAAATACCTTCCGCTGGGGATAAATCACGCATACTATGGTGCAAATCTATTCAGACTTGTTTGCGTTCTGAACGCATTAGATCGCTAGAACAATTCCAGCATCTCATCTAGTAGATCTGATCTTTATGAATCTTACTGCCAACCTGCAATTCTCGTTTTATACCTCCGTCAGAGACTACTCCGACCATACCTTGATTGCCACTTGTTATGGTGGATTTCATTTGAACCTTTCAGCTTTACAAAACTTTCCTTTAGGCTTCAGAGCCTTTAGCTATACTTATAATTGAATAATCGCAAGATACCACTCGTCTATTACATTATGGCTGTTTCTGGATTTGTACCCCATCTAACATTGCTGTGTTGACTGCCAGATACGAAAAACCAAAACCATATTTGGAAAAATGGAAACGTACACCTGAACTATGCAAGACAACTCCTTCAGGCAAGGGTAGCAATGTTCGTCTCTTGTAAATACTGTTGGAGACATTGAACAACTATGAAATTACAACCAGACTTAACAAATGTGTTAAAAATTGTGTGTTGTCGTTGCTGCTCGCAAGCGTGAAGTGATCTACCTTCAATCCAACCACGCACACATTCCTGTGCCACTCCCTATTCAAATTACCCGCCCTTAACCACTCTACCGTGTCTCATTTACATATCAATGATAAAGCAGATTTATTCTAATTCGTCCCGGTACTCAACCGAATAAATCAATATTTATCATTTCAACACCATTCTACACAATAAACAATCAAATCGTCCTGATTTTGGTATTTGTGCTTGCAGCAGCAACCGGTATGAACTATAAAGAACGGGTCTGTAATGCTGAATCCCAAAAGGATTTAGATATTTAACATCGTATTGCAATCACTCTCTTGGATATATTAAAGTATCCTTCGCTGTCTCTGATATAGCGTCCATGACGCTTGAACAGCCTGTTGGATATCTGCTTTGATAGCCGCTAAGACTCCAACAGCAGCATGGGGCTGCTCTAGGAAAACTCGAACCTTCCCTCTCAAACTCTCGAGTACTTCATCGGTTTATACCTCTGTGAAATCACTTTATACTCTTCTTTAACATTTGTTTAAGTTTCTGAACACAAAAGAAGGTCTTTATCTGAAGGGAAGACTTTGACTCACTTGACATACAATTCCAACATTGCAACTGTACATGTTGACAATAATTACCTCGCAATAATAACTGAATTCACATTGCCGAGTGCATGAGATAACACGTAAATACGTCAATTAAAGTGCGGCTAACTCACTGAGTCGATAAGACCCGGTAAGACCCGGTATATGAAATAAGGGCCTTGACCATGATTCTTATATGAAATAAGATGTGTACTGAACGGTTTTTACCCTATTTTGGCACCATCTCAGAAAGAATATCTGGTGTAATTGGATCTTTCTTTGGCTTAACCAGTGTTCTTGTCAGACCTTTAGCGCGGTGTATGACACGAGAGGGTCTTTGGTTGTATCATGGTCCCCAACTAGCCATGGGATGAACCCATGACATGGCAGATAAAGAGTTTGTGACTGTAGGTGCATGGTGATGTTGCAGAGTTCCAATATGGATCAGGTATAAGGCTACCGTGTAAGGATCTGCGGGTAGGGATGATATTCCGTGCAACTCTGCCTATTGTCGCCATCTCGTGAAGGATTATCTGTACTGCGAGACTGTTGATGGGGCTTGTGACTCGAGTAGCATGGAAGGCAGTTGACTGGCGAGACTATATCCAGCTCTTGACTTTTGGCTGATGGAGGAATCCGCTGCCTCCAATTATCGCTGTTGAAGATGAGCTTCCAGAAAGGAAAATAACAATGATTGTTACTTTAACGAGATTAAAATCATGCGTCAACTTATTAAACACTTTCTTTATTAAGTGCATTTAATTAAAAGCGCATTTCCCACTGCTTATTGCTATAACTATACTCTGAATACAAATAAAAGCTTATTTGCCAAATCTGAATCAACATCCGCTGGGGAGATCAATTGTAACTTTTACAATACCAAACATCCGCTGAGGATATCACCATATTTTGGTGTAAGTCTGCTGAGACTGTCTTGTTGGCGTTCTGAACGCATCTCGTTTTATACTTCTGTCAGAAACACTCTGACCCTAACTTTATTGCCACGTAAACCACTAAACTCTTGTATGGTGATACTCGTGGCTTTCATATTAAACCAATGTGGTTATCTTGGCCAAGACTAGGCCAAGTAATAAACTAGGCTGACCATGCATGTTTCCACAGAAGGGTTAACTTGAGGCCAATTTCACTGTCTTCGATTCTCTCCGAGTCGAGCTTCGAGTCATCTCGCTATCTGACCGATGCCCAAATATTCTATTGAATCCCTTTTGTACTGCCAGTGCGTCCAGCGTCGGTGGAACAGTTTTGAAACTGAAGGAACTTTACTCCGAACAAGACTAGTGAACTTTGTTGAGAAACAGATGTAAATACATCAGTGAAACGGGATTCTAAATACCTTTGGACTTACGAATCTCAAGTTAAGCCTACTAGAACTAAATCTTCTCTCTGGTTTTGAAGGAACTGGCAAACTCAATCATCGTCTAAAAGACATCTTGTATTTCTACACTTCTCCGCCTTCGCACTAGACAAAAACACTTTGCTAATCCAAATACATTCTCCGCCTAAGTTGAGCATGTGCTCTCTGACTTTCTGAAAGCAATTGTTATAAGATGGAATAAGATGGCAAAATCTCTAAACCATCGTTAAGCAAGTCATCTATACATGACATGTATGCATAATTCTGCATTTCTCACCTTCTGAACCAACTTCCTCAACTCTTCAACCCCGTTTTGCGCATTTTTAGAACCAACCACTTTTGGTTTGAGCACTGTGCTCTCTAGTCTATGGCTTTCTGAAGGAAACTGGAGTGTTCCAAGCCGTCCTCTAAGACAACTATCCTTGTTCTTGCAATTGCCCCCTTTTCCAGCGGTCGTACTATTTTGGTACACTCAATTTAAAGACACATATGATGGTAGGAATTGGAACAATTGGAAAAACCAATTTCTGTGAAACCCAGGAAAACCTGATTGGTCAAACGCTCACAAGGTGATATTAAGATTTTCAGATCAAACTTCAACGTGAATCAATGCGTTGTCAAGGAACAAAGAAATATGGGCGTATCACCAAATTTGACTGATAGTGATGCCAGGGCTATCTACTCCCTTTTCGGACGACATTCAAATGTTGTCACTGAATTGAAACTTACAAAGGATTAATGATAAACGGCTTTATTATGGGTTTCCAACAACTTATATGGCAGAACATCGATTCAATCTAGGGCCTATATTTCGTCTCAAACAAGTAGAGTGTGGGTTTTCAGAAATTGACCATTTTCTGGGACTGGTTACATCTTATAACAAAAGAACTAGTGTAAAAGTCCCCACAATTCACGGTGGGAAAGCAAATCTCCAGAACCCTCTTCGTTCGGAACCAGAATTCTCTCCGTTCTCAAAAAAATCTTCTGTGAATTTCAACATCTGCAACTACATTTTTGCAAATTAAAAAGACTGTAATTTAACTTAGCTTCGTAAACTGGCTTTCTGCTTTCCGATCTTCGGTCCCTCTGCTATTGACGACTGTCTTGTCTTGATTGATACCGATGTAGGGGCGAGCTCTGTTGTCAGTAGCCTTTAATGTAATGTAGCTTCTTAAAATGAGATGTTGAATTGACTTTAGGAGAGCAAAACTGCCGTCTCTCCCATTTGCTGATATAACGCAATGGAAGAACAGCGCCACAAAAATTGTGTGTTGTCGTTGCTGCTCGCAAGCGTGAAGTGATCTACCTTCAATCCAACCACGCACACATTCCTGTGCCACTCCCTATTCAAATTACCCGCCCTTAACCACTCTACCGTGTCTCATTTACATATCAATGATAAAGCAGATTTATTCTAATTCGTCCCGGTACTCAACCGAATAAATCAATATACTGTAGTACTCGAGTCCATCACTCGTTTTTAACAGTGGAGCACAGTGGTCCAATTACGGTACAAAGGAATTTCTGGGCACAACATTTTGGTCCTCAGAAATCAGGTCATTAGCAGTCGTTATCTAAATTTATAAGTTTTTTCCAAACTTTCTTCAAATGCATGTGCAGTAGGATCGCTATGTGTACATGTATAACTCTGAGGATATCATGGGACCTGGGGCCGATTTCACGAAACTCGTCTTATCCTGCGACTCATCTCAGGACTTAAGACGAGTCCCCGCTCTAAGATTGATCTTAGCTAAGACGCGTTCTAAGATCGATTTCACTAAACCCATCTTAAGCAAGATGCATCAAAATTACCAACTTGATGGCTGTGTCATGTTTGGTTTTACCGCTTGATGAAACAGTCGTTGAAAAGAAATGCACAAAACTAACTTCCCGCACATGCATAGAACACAAATTTCGCCAGAAAATTTACTCTACTCAATAAATTTCACATGCAAGGTAGTTCTACACAAGAGTCATTCTTGCTCCCCCTTTCATCACTCTTATTTTAAAAAGTCGACTAGGTGTTGGCACATAATTAAATTTTGTAAACAAGCTTTTTTTTATTCAAACTTCCCACATATCAGAAATCTTCTCAAATCTGTTTCTACAGTGGTTTTCTTCCTCGAAACTATAACTCTAGCCAGACGAGTTATACGTGTATGTGGGACGTGTAGTGAACTTATCTTAAGCTTGGTGAAATCCATCCTATGACGATTTGCGAGTCAAGAAGAGTTACCCTTCCTAAGACACGTCTAAGCGTTTCATGATATCGGCCCCTGATATCTTACAGTGAATCTCATAGTGAATTGAATCCATTTGATGTGGCGTCAGTCTTTTGTTGACAGTTTTGCTCAAAATTTGATTCAAGGTTTTCCAACGTTTTCTCCATAAATGTAAAGACATTATATGGATTTCCTGTAACCCAGATATTTGATAAAAGGTAGGTAAACAATCTAAAACACAAAATATTTTGCAAAATCTATCCAAATGTGTACCTATTAAGTCGGAAACGTTAATTTTAAAAGATTTCGGTTTGTTCTTTTCATTCCCAGGTGTCAAACCTAAAGATGGATTTGATTTCACAAAAGCCTGTTATCAGCAGCAGTCAGGTAAGGCATACAAAAAATTTTTGGGGGCAGAAAAAAGAGTTCTCTTTGTACGCTCATGAATATGATGAAAAAAAAACAGATAGCCCCTGACACTTGTACCAACTGAGCATTTTAGAAACATTTGGTATTAATTTCTTTGGCAGCCAACACTAGTGAACCGCCTTCAAGATGAAATTCATTCACTGAGGAAGCAATTGGCTGCTCAAGGTGGAAGCGAGAGCGAGTCAGTGGTAAGTATTTATTTAATAGTTTTCATTTCCAAAATGTGAAAAATTTGGAAACTTGCACGCTTACGAAATCTTATGGAGCATACACAGTGTAACAGCTGTTTTTAAGCTACATTTTGTTTTTACTTTATTGTGTTTAACTATACAGGGTGAGTAAAAAAACGAAACCCAAATGTCGGGACCATTGTTTTAGTGAAGTTCTGCATATAGCACTTTCAAAATCTAGGATATGAAAGCCCAATTCATAAGCTTTCTTTTAGTATAAGAATAATTCAAATCGCTCATGTACTTTTCAAGTTACGTAATTTTAAACACAACCACTGTTTTAAAGTTCTGTCCACGGATCACCAGAAAGGTGTGCGTTCTTTCAGCAAACGAAAACGAATCACATAGGGATGTGTGTCAATTGTTTTTTCGTTTGCTGAAATTACACGCACCTTTTTTTATGATCCGTGGACAGAACTTTAAAACGGTGGTTGTGTTTAACATTTCGTAACTTGAAAAGTACATGAGTGATTGAATGATTCTTATACTTAAAGAACGCTTATGAATTGGGCTTTCATATCCTAGATTTTGAAAGTGCTACATGTAGAACTTTACTAAGAAAATGGTCCCGACATTTGGGTTTCGCTTTTTTTTTACTCACCCTGTAGAACAGTCATCCAAACTGAGAGGGCGGGATTCAGAAGTTGACGAAATGGCGTTTGTCACGTTTTGGAAACAAACTCTTCACATTATGTGCTTCCTTCTGAACGTGAAAAACCATTCCAAAGACTCATTTATTGGGATATGGTCACGTTTATTTTTCAACTTGCAGTTGAGGGCAAAGTTAAAGAGCGCCGCCCGCCACATCATTCGCCTGGCGACAGAGCGCCAGCAACTCATCCAACTCGGCAACAGGTTACGATCGGAGCTAGCTAGATTCACAGGCCCTGTGCAGGGACCTAAGGGACCAGGGAATGCGGGGAACCAGGCGGGGACAGCTACGGCTGGACAGCTGGCACAGGAGATCAGGGGAAAACTGAGCAACGTGGAGAAACTGCAGTATGCACTGACTAAACAGGTAGCATTTTCAGTCTTGCATATTTTAAAGGGGTACATCTTGGTGGTTAGGGTCCGTGACTCATGATCAGAGAGTCAAGGGTTCATATCCAGCTGCTGGCAATATGTTGTGTCCTTCTTGGGCAAGCCACTTTAAGGCATGCAACTTTTCCTCGGATACGCTGATTTCCTCGTTTGTTACTTCTCATGAATGCCATTACATATTGAATAATAATGTACAAAGTCTTGTGTGGTTTGAAGTTTCCTCGTTTGTTCTAAATTCCCATTTGCATACCTGCACTTTACCGCTACTTGCCTCTCTCCACCCAGGAGTATAAATGGGTACCGGCATTCGCTGTGGAATCCCATTGAGGGGTATGGGAAATATTCTCAGTCGTTTCATGCCACTGAAACAGAAGAAAAACTCCAGCCTGCACTTTGACTTGACTTCTGAATTCACAAATGTTTTACCTTGTGATTGACCTGATTGTATTTGGGTAATGTGCCTGTTTGAAACAGCTCAAGAGGAATTGTTTTTGTAATGATTATTTTCTATAGGAGTTGCAGTATGCCCATAGAGGCATGCAGCGAGACCAACAGACCACTGAGGTGATCCAGGTCCAGTTAGATTCCCCCTCGTCATCGTCAGAATCACCAACGGAGACTGAACTCCAGCCCCATCCAGCAGATCTCCCAATGCAGAGATCAGCGAGTGCGCAAAGTAATGCCCTAAACTCTTCAACATTTGCCAAAGTTTCAAAGCACCTACAGGGAGTGTGGCCCAGTCGTTAAGGTTTATGACTCATGATTAGCGGGTCAGGGGTCCAAATCCTACATCTGGCCATGTGCTGTGTCCTTGGGCAAACCTTTTTACCCTACTTGCCTCTATCAACCCAGGGGCAAAAATGGGTACTTGCATTAGCTGGAGAGTAACCTACAATGGACTAGCATCACATAAATGGTGAATTTTAGGAATGCGCATGCTCACAATAACCTTTCCTAGTGTACCATACTCTAGATGCTTTTAGTTTCGACTGTTAAGCTGGGTGTTTAGAGCAACTGCCGTGCTACAGATAAGCTATTGCAGAGCTCAATTCAATTGAGTGTTGTCATTTAGAACAGGCCTAAGACAGACTTTACTTGCTACTTAACCTAAAATGCAACCAGGACTATTGACTGTATATACATGTATTTATTAAATAAATTGTTTCTATGCAAACAAAATCTAATGAAGAATGTCAAAAAAAATTAACCTATTGAAGTTTCAGCCCTGTGTCTACTAGATTTGCAGACTACAATTAACGATTGTTGTGATGTGGGACATGCTTTTGTACTCCCGCATTGTACCTTTGATTACTGTCGGAGGTTTCTTATTGTAAGTTATGATAGGTTGCATTGGTTGCAATGCTCTTCACGTCCCTGCATACGCACCCTACATGTACATACCGCACGCATGTAAGGTACAGCTTAACAAATATGCAACACGCTGTATATTAGTGTGGTAACTTACATGCGGTGAAATGAGGTAAACAGTAACTTTTATAGACTAGACAGGTGGCAGTTATAGACTGATGAAATTGCAGCATGCAAGACACGATATAACACAGTTATTCATTACTCTCAAATAATTCACAACATAATTATTCATTGTACTATTATTTATACATGCACCAATTGTCATTCTTTTCCTATCCAAGGACCCCACCCCTCCATTCCCGCTGCACCGGCCCAGTCCTCCGATCAATCCCATGATTCCCCTGGTGGTAGCAAAGACTCGGTGCCGTTGATGATGTCATCGTACGGCGGGGAATCCCTCCAAGATGTCTGGCAGATCCTTGATGAAGGGCGGAGCCCAACGTTCATGAGGAGCCCCACCCCACAGGCTCTCAGATATTATGGTTTGTAGGGATATCAAAAAAGATTCTCTTCATCATTTTTTTACTCACCGTGTATTAACAATGCTCTTCTTATCAGGGTTCGACTGTATTTTGATTTTTAAAATTTGTATTTTCTTCCAGGGACTGATAAATTTGAGCCTGTCTCAAGCATCCCTAACCGGTGGCCCCAGCAAACGGACCCTCTCAGCGTGACTGGCACAGGGACAAACCTGCAAGCCAAATGTAGGCAGGACAAGGACAGGACTGTGAGAGTTGTGGGTAAATCTCAGTCCAAGAGAACCCCTCAGAAAGCCAGGCAGATTGTTAGGAATTACAATGTTAAGGATGACAGTGTAAGGTGACACATCTTTTATGTGATGATCAGGGTGGCATGGGTGGCTTGTGCGTAAAGCGCTCGCCTCTCACCAAGCTGACCACTGTTCGAATCCTGGCCGCGGATCCTGGCCTGGCCACGGATCACATGTGAGTAGAGTTGTGCATTGGTTCTCTCCTGTGCCACAAGGTTTTTTTCCGGGCCCTCCAATTTTCCTCTGGGCCCTCCGATTATCCTCCGGCCCTACGGTTTTCCTCCCTTGGGAAAAATTAAACACTTTCGATCTCAGGCTGTGCTCCGTGGTCATATATGGGTCGATGTGGCCGGCAGCCATAGGCGCCTTTACGTGCCAGCGGCCTGACCTAGCCGTGTCCGTCGCAATTCAGCATACCAGCTGCCAGTAAGGATGATTAGCCTTCCAAATTATTGTTATATACAGTCGAGTCTCGTTATAACAAACTCGTTCGGACCTAGCCAAATTGTTTGTTATATCAGAATTTTGTATTAAGAGGAACATCAGTCCCATTCATTGTGTACATAAATGCACAGTCGGGACCAAGGCTTCATGTTTGTTATAACCAGAATTTTGTATTAACAGAGTTTGTACTAACGAGAGTCAACTGTATTATCCTATGGTCTGCAGTGGTATGCATTAAATCACTCCCTCGTTCTTCCAAATTTATAAATTGTTGAGCTCTGTGCCAACATAATACACAACAGCTGTAATGAATTACGTTAAAATTGCCTAACACTCCGAGTGAGGCCCCTGGCATATTACATTGTGTTTATTCACTGAAGAATTGATAAAACTATTGAGTGCTCGGGCAGTTTTGGGTGCAACATCAAGTAACCATAGCAGGGACATTGGTTATTACCCGGAAACGTAACAATCAAATCAATGAGAAAAAACATTGCTCAAAGTGAAGATAGGGCTGGGCCCATATGCCATGTGAAATTATTCTGCCTGAAATGCTGTCGCTGGGAGGAACAGTCATTAAAGGTGATGTCAAAAAGTGTGCATGACAAAGCCCAAAACAGTGAAATTATTCAACTTTCATAGTGTGTAATTTCTTGACCATTCCTAAATGGATAAAAAATATTTGAAATATAGTTTTCAGGTTTATTCACTGAACTCCTAAAGCACAAAAAAAGTCTGATCTGTAACGTGCATGATGCTGGAATTGCCCAGTGCAGAATGCTGCAAACTGAGGAAATAATAGGAAATGAAAGGAGAAAAAAATGGAACTCCTATTAAAACAGAAAAACTATCATGCCTGACCTAATACTCTTTGCAAAATTGGATAATTTGCTCACAAGTCACTGATTTTCGTGACCCGAGTCAAGTCGAGTCATTTTAAAGAAGTGACTTGAGTTGAGTCGAGTCATTAGGTCAAGAAGGTCAAGTCGAGTCAAATATTTAGCTCAAGTCAATTCGACTCACATTTTAACACTACTTAACAAATAAAGCAAGAGAGAGGGTCATTTATATCACCAACAGTTAACAAGAAGTGAAACTTCAACGTGAACATAAATTTTGCATCGTAAGTCATTGCAAATATTTTTCGCAAGGTTTTGCTTTTATTTTTGGGACTAAAGTTTTATTAGCCTTCATTCGAGTCTAGTCATTTACCCTTCATGCCCTTAGGACTCAACTCGAGTCACCAAAAATTGTGACTCGAGACGGACTCGAGTCAAGTCATTGACTGGAGTCATTATAACTCCGACTTCACATTACCTTTTACGATTGGAAAAATAGCCGAGAGCCACGCTAACACATTAAATCACATCTGCAAAAATCTGTCACTCTTGGATTTGCTTTTGAAAAGTGATTTCAGTTTTGTCTCTGATGGGACACTAATGCACAGAGCTTATTTCAGTGACTTTTTACACTTTTTAAAATCTTCCCGTAGTGACCACACAAAACTATGCATGTTGTAAAACACCTTGCATACTACTGTGCAAAGTTATTTGATATCAATGAATTTATTTTTGTGTTGTTTATGAAAGTTGATGACAAGAGTGTAAAAGATTTGTAAAATGTCAATCATTATTTATTTTTAGATGTGAATAAAGAATGCTTTCCTGCACATTATCGATTCTGTAAATAAATAAATATTGCACACAGTTGACCACTAGATTTGATGTTTTGTATATGCTGGGTGTTTATTGTAATGTACCATCTAACGAACCCAAGAAAAACAGGGCGAGAAAAAAGGGATTGTAAACGCTTATAAAAGAAAACTGCAATGAGTGGCACAAAAGTTTCTTATGGAAACGGCTTTTATTTCCGCATGACAAAGAGTTAGACAGACACAATTTCAAAATTAAATGCTAATTTTGTTTTGGTAGAAATGCCCGGCGAATGCATTACACTGCAAATTTGATTCTAATTTCAATTATTTCTGTGGACTTCATGCATGACCAGTAAATGGCTCAACAGCTCTGTGTGCTTGCATGATGACTTCCATCTGAATGTGCGCAAATCTGTGGAGGCGTGAGCGCCAGGCATCCAGCAGCAATGTGTTTATAAGTACAGCCTTGCTTTCAAAGTGTAACCCTTCAGGGAGACGGGTACTTGTGCATGGATTCCATACAAACTTCTTGTAGACCTGGCCAGTCTGAGTAACTCCCACGAAAGAAAATGTTGCCGTGGCATGTAGCAATCAATCGTATCCATCAAACCCTGTGAAGTTATTTCCTTGTCAGTTCTCCAGTCTAAGTAAAGTCATGCTGATGTTAAACTGTTTTCAAGGCATAAAACAACTGAGAATATTTCTTTCCCCCTTGACGGGATGCAAGTCTATTGCAGGTTGCTCCCCAGCCCATGCTGGTTCTCATTTATACTCCTTGGCGCAGAAAAGCAAGTTGGGGTAAGTGGCTTGCCCAAGGACATGACCAGCAGCTGGATTCGAACCACTGACCGCTACGCCATACCATCCACCATGTCTCCAGTCCACCATCACTCTTCAGAATGCTTAGCCTCTTCCTATTTGATCAGTTCAACCACATGGTTTGTTTTATCCATTACTCAAACATGACTTTGCGATCGTTCTTAACGGCTGAGTGGATCTTCTTCTGTCGTAATCTCTCTCTGTTCATTTTCTCCACCCTGCCAAGACAGAAAAAAATAGAAAAATTGATTAAACTGAAAACAAATTCAGGTTAATAGCACAACTTGCTGAGGTGAGCAGTTACGGGATGGATGGAGCCACAACTTCAGGCTCTTAGGGCCCGCCTCAATTCAAATCCCAGACGAGTTGTGGGTAGAATCATTCACTTTGTCTGGAAGAAGCTCTGCATTTGTCCCTGACATGTTCCGAAGAAATTTTCATTTTAGCAACTGCTTGACTCACTAATACTGATAACTTCATTGCGAGAAAATTGTGGGGAAGTTGTTCAGAATCCTGCAACTTATACCCGATACAATGTCCGGAACTCATTCTGGATATAAATTTGGAAGGGCCCGCATGTTGACATACATGTAATTATCCTGGCACTAACCATACAATATCTTGTACCGAGGAATTATTATACAAACACAACATGGTTTGGCTAGAAGTAAAGCGAAAGTACTGGTTCCGAAGTGTTGACTAAATTGACTACTGACTGACAAACATAAGCAATGTTGCATTTCTGTCATTATGCCTGGATTTGATAAGAAATAGCTTTTGCTGAACCCTAACCATGCCAGATGCACTGTACTGTAGTACACTGTGCAACTGGTGTAAAAGTCTGTGGGACCTTGCTGCACTGAGCCACCAACACCAGTCTATAAACGGCCAGTTCTGAAACAATGAGAGCTAGTCCCATTGAACAATGTGACTATTGTATCCTGCTACAATTGGTAACCACAGTGCCTAAGGCAGTTTGGCCTTTGGAATTGCAGTGTTGCATGTTGTTGGGTTGGGCATGTTGGGTTGGGCATGTTGGGCGGGGTTTTCTAGACAAAATACCCTGGAGGGTTAAGTTCAATAGAAAAGCACATTTTGAATTGTCTACACCAACCACATTCACACTGACCTCATCCTCAACACGGCTTTGTCTTTCTCCGACGGCTCCTTGGGTTTCCGTTGTACCTCCTCAATGATATCTCGGATCTTATGCAGGCAGTCCGAGAAGTTGCTGATCTGGGATCTCGTTCTCTCAGAGGTCACCATCAATTCACCTTTGCTGTTGATCTTGGTGCTTTTCTGTGTGGTGGAAGAAATATACATAAAAATGTTAAAAATGTACTAAAATTTTATATTTTGTGCTACAATTTTTGGCGGACTCCATGAACGGTTATAGAGAGACTGCATTACAGCCATCTGTTGAGGCGTTTGCTTTTGTTCCATGACATGCATGGGGTTACACAAGGGTAAACCATTTTGCATTCATTGCTTCTGATTTAAAACTTGAGAAGATCATTTGTCATTTGTGCAATTTTTTTTTTGCTTGAAGCAGCAAAAGTACTCAAAATCTAAAGACGGGTGCTCAACAACTAGCCTGATGAAGTTTCAGCTCAGTGAATGCTGTATATTCCGAGAAAACAATATTCTAGGATCTCACTTTCAATTCAAAAGTTACCGAGTCATGTTTTGAATTGCGCCCCAAATCAGCATCCAGGAAACATTCTCATTCAACCGATTGCAGCTACGCGATGTCATGCACTGAACCAACGAATAATAACAACCGCACTCGTGCGTGGGTCGTGTTAACGCTTGCGTGCACCCATTCACAGATTCGCCAAATTACAAACCAACTACTGAAGGAAATTTCCAAAAATACGTCACTTGACACATCTTTGGAAATGGCCTTCTCTTATTATTTCCTTCAAAAGGACAGCATGTCAGAAAAAATAATTTCACAGGGAGTTTATTGCCATTACTGTCATTAAACCGAGTAAGCTTTTCAACAATAATTTGTGTCAGTTAACTTTTTGGATAGCTGCAAATGATCAACTCTGCTTTAAAAAATAACACAGAGAGCTAAACAGATGGCTGCTTATGTCTGTTATGTGCCATGGCTCATGGCAGTGGAGAAACAGGTAGATCTCTTACTTACTTTTTCTAGAATACTCTGACGTATGTGCGTGGGCAACCACCCTGCAGATTCTACATGAAATCTCACATCAGCCTTTGTATGAACTTGAAAGAGAAATAGGGAAAGAAACACCACAACATTTTGAGCTTAGTAATCAGAAATATTCTAACAACAATAATGTTCACATTTTTGGAAAGGGGGTTGTGTTACTGGATTCTAATTTTCAAATTAATCTAAGCAAGTTTAGTAGTATAAAATGGTTCAGGCATATAAACATCTAGCTACAATGCACAAAGCTGCTTAACGCAGAATATTTGCTCAGCTTATGTAGGTTACCAGCCAAAACGCTATACACATTTTGATACTGCATGTGGCTGTTTCTCGGCAATATTTCCTCTTTATTAGCTGTGCCATGATAATAAGCCCAGGCATTGAAAGGGTTCAAATTCCACTCAGGCAGGCTTGCATAAAACACTTTCTCTAAAATTCTTGGGAAGCACTAAAAGTACAATTCTTATAATCCACCCTCTGAAATGCTAGGCTGGGAAGCAAATTTTCATAAGCACCGCTCCAGAGATGATAACATCTCACCTTTATTGACATTCTGGCCACCTGGTCCGCTGCTGCAGCTGTATTTCACTGTGAGTTTTTCTATTAAATATGGAAACAAGAAATGCATACATCAGTATTTCAATATTGAACCTAGACCTCTAGGCCCTTTTGACTAGGATGCATCCTTAAAGCTATAGTCCATCATTTGTAATTTGTGCATTTTGTTCGTTTGAAGCAACAAAAGAGTTCAAAATCTAATGAAGGATACTGAGCAACTAACCTGATGAAGTTTCAGCTAAGCTTCAGCTGTATATTCCGAGAAAAACAGCATTCTAAGATCTCAATTTCAAATCAAAAGTTACTGAATCATGTTTTGAATTGTTTTGAATTGCAGCTATACGCGACGTAGCGCACTGATCCGACGAATTATAACCACCGCGCGCGCGTGTGCGTCGTTCCAAACCTTGTGCGCGCTACGCTGAATAACAAAACGAACTACTAATTTAAATTTTCCTACGGTGCTTCTTAAGAATCACCGTTGGAAATGCCTTCTTTTGTTGATTACTTCAAAATGACAGCTTCCCAGAAAGAATAATTTCACAGGGAGTTTAGTTCCCTTACTATCTTTCAACCAAGTTTGTTTTTCAACAATAATTACGCCAGTTACTTTTCGGATGGCTGCAAATGATGGACTATAGCTTTAATCCTGCAAAATCCTCCAACTGCCTTCACATTTGATACAGTCCCAATCCTTCAAAATTGTCTGTTATTAATTTGTTCATGGGAGGGGTAACCACTGCCTTAATCCTCCAAAATCCCTCTGACCACTGACTCACTTTTCACATGTTGGAGGAGTGTGAATGATATCCAGAAGCAGTGCAGATGTTATCCAGTATACTGTAGGCCTCAATTATGCATGGCTGAACTTGACACAATGCATCCTCCGAGATCAATGGGCATTTAATAGGCATACAGCCTCAAATTGCCTCAATCGTAGTCAATCCTCTAAAATCCCCCAATTTTCTAACCACCTGGTTGAGTTCAGAGGATTGAGGAGGGTTATAAGAGCAGGGAATCACGATGGTGGATCGCATCCCAGTACACCACTAATCATTCTACGCAAAACCTCACATCTTGGCAAATTGATATCACCAAGTTCATGAAAGTGTGCACATTTCTTGAAATTCAAAACAGCTCCACTTACCGACTGGTATATGCCCATCAAACTGTTCTGTCGGTTCAATATTCTGAAATTAAAAAGGAGAAAAAAAGATGATCAGCAACAAAAGTGAAAGTAGACACAGCAAATTTGATTCCTAAGTCTTCAGACATCAACCATGTCCACAGAGTGGTAATCCTCTACATCATGTCTCACGCATTCATAAAGTAAATTTCATCTATGACGCGAAAGCAAAGGTGAACATGAAATTCTGAAATCATACTAGGATGTCGTGCTACACATTTACATTAATTAATTAATTAACCCTAACCGCCCTGAATCCTCCAAAATCCTTTGCAAATTGGAGGAATTTGCAGGATTGAGGTTACATGTTTATGCTCAGCCGTGCATAAATTTAGTCCTTGATTATACTTGACATCCTCCGCACTGCTCCAGGATGTCACTGCCTCTGCCTCAGCCTATTGACAGTCATAGCCGGAGGATTTTGCAGGATTCAGGCAGTGGTCACCCCTCCATGGACCATATTCAAGAAACAACGGAGGAATTTGCAGGATTGAGGCTATATGCTATTTTTCCATGAGGCCAATTAGAGAATTTTGCAGGATTGAGGCTACATCCTAGCAAAAAGGCCTAGGGAGTTAGGGTAAGTCTGACACTGTCATTACACCAAATGTGAGAAAATGAGGTTTCGTGATGTAAACTATGCTTCAAATTTGCATTAAGTCTCAGACTCGGACTCAGTCGCGAATACCGTGCGACGCCATTTTTAAAATGATGTCTGCGCGGTGTTCGAGACAGAGCACTCGCCGATAAACGGTAAATTTCACTTTTCATCCAGATCGTAAGTAAACCTTAGTACCTCGATCTTATTCATCGATCTGTTCTTGAAGTTGTGCCTCAGGTGGCATATCTAGTAATTTTGTGGCCATTTTGAGAGTAAAATCTGATGTTTTGGTTGGGTCGTTTCTACTGTGTCGCGTGATCGATAGCGGCTTTGTGGTCATTTCGCCAGTATACATTGTACTTACAAGTTACATACAAAGCTTTCTGTTAATTCACGTGAGCATCGGATCTTGCAATGCCAAGAACTTTGAGGGAAAAAAAACAACCTCAACACAACAACAAACGTACGAGCAGAACTTTCGATTTTCTGAGGTGACGCACGGCGCGGTACGCTGGTACTCAGCGTTTGGCACGCGCGAAATGGTAGGACTAGGACTAGGACTAGGACTAGGAGCCGTTCGGGTGCCCATACAATCATGTGCATCGAGTGTTTCTACGCAACTCTGGAGCGTGGCTATGTATATAGCCACGTTCAAGGGTCTAGATGGGATATAGCTCTTGGGTAACTCCAGCTCCAATCCTCATCAGGAAATGGAATTCAACATTCTTGTCAAATTCCTCCTAATGAGCACTGGAGCTGGAGTTACTCCACTAGTTCTAGAATTAGCTGCTTGTCAGCAGCCTTCTAATTCTAGAACTTAAACTGAAGTAGAGTTACTAAAGCTAGATCATGGGATGTATTGAAATGTCCGCTGAGAATACCACATGACCAACAATACAATTTGGAGTAATTGCACAATACCCCGCCACTCGGAAATACACCCCTAAATTCTCTGGCTACGAGGTTGGAATCACTGGAAAAGAAACAAGTCCAAGTCCAAACCAACTACCCTGTTGGCGGCTACGCGGTTACGGAGTGGGAGTGCAATGGAGCATGACGATATGTACAAGTAGCGCTGAGAATGTTTATTGAGGTCAACCAACCGTGACCTCGTAGCCGGCTACGAGGTGGATAGATCATGTAGGTCTAATTCTACCTCCATGGATAGATCGAGTGGCGGGGTATTCTGCAATTGTGCCCACAATTGTGCCCACAATTTAACATCTATTTGTGCAACAGTCTATCGCAAATGCATGTACAGTCGACTCTCGTTAGTACAAACTCTGTTAATACAAAATTCTGGTTATAGCAAACATAAAGCCTTGGTCCCGACTGTGCATTTATGTGCACAATGAATGGGCATGATGGGACTGATGTTCCTCTTAATACAAAATTCTGATATAACAAACAATTTGGCTAGGTCCGAACGAGTTTGTATTAACGAGACTCGACTGTATGTTGTTATTATTTGAAATTCAGTTTGGGACTGCAAAACATTTTTGTTATTTTTTGTTAAAATAAAATACTCGGAAAGTGTTTAGGCCTAGAAAGTAACATAGGTGATGGCTACTCCTAGAACTATGAGGCTCCGCGTGAGCGGAGCCTCATAGATCAAGAAGCCCGCAAAATTGCCTGCAGCACAAGACACTAATAAAGTACAAAAACGTCCATCAAAATGCAGCCATTTCACACAGAACCGCTGCACAGTTTGCCCCTAAACTCCGTACTTTATCTCTTGACATACTCACGTATCTTGTGCGGAACTAACATAGGTGGATTCTGTCGGTTTTTAGGCCAAAATGATGAAAAATATGCCCTTTCCGCATTGAGCCAACCTGACACTTGATCGTGCACGCATTATGATCGAGCGATGATTTTCGGTTCGCTCGGAGCGCGCCGCGGGGGGTACGGTACATGCACTTGTACGCATGCACATCATTTCGCTTGTACCGTACCCCCCGCGGCGCGCTCCGAGCGAACCGAAAATCATCGCTCGATCATATGCGTGCACGTTTCAAGTGTCAGGTTGGCTCAGTGCGGAAAGGGCATATTTTTCATCATTTTGGCCTAAAAACCGACAGAATCCACCTATGTTAGTTCCGCACAAGATACGTGAGTATGTCAAGAGATAAAGTACGGAGTATAGGGCATTAGGGGCAAACTGTGCAGCGGTTCTGTGTGAAATGGCTGCATTTTGATGGACGTTTTTGTACTTTATTAGTGTTTTGTGCTGCAGGCAATTTTGCGGGCTTCTTGATCTATGAGGCTCCGCTCACGCGGAGCCTCATAGTTCTAGGAGTAGGTGATGGCAGGATTCTGCTTTCTTTCCGACACCCTCTCCAAAGGTTCAATTTATGCTGAAACTAAGGAAATTAAGTGGAAAGTAGGCTAATTTAAAAACTTAAACAGCGCCCTCACGTGTTGAGGCGGTTCGACTGCATCGGTGATATCTGGATTGCTGTTCGGATACAATTTGTCCACACTGTAGGCACTTTTATAGCTTTCTGCATTGACTACGCATGACTGGTAAATAGTTCTATGTGTTCGCACAAACGTCTGCGAAATCTGTCGCAACATTTTGTTGCAAAACTAGTTGAAACTTGTAGTCGTTGAATAACACATATCACGTCAAACCACTGTCGACTGCTTTCTAATGGTGCTGCAAAAACTACCGCACTACAATCGGTCAGTCGATATGTCAACAGCTACAATGCAAACCCTATGCGATTTTTATGCGCAACGCACGTTGCTAAACTTTGGGGCACATTATTATTCACTGACGCACCGGTTATAACCTCGTTCGCAACTTCGCGTGTAATTTTAATCTGCAACATTTTGACCACACATCTTTCTGAAAGATTAGTATAAATTTAGTAACACTTTTCAATTGTCTAATGCGTTAAAATTGCAATGTTTAGTTAAATAATGATTAATTTAAAAAGAGTGATCGCTACAATATTACATTATTTTGTATATATTTTATGCAATTTATGTGAGAAGTGAATGGTAGCGTGGCCGAGCGGTCTAAGGCGCTGGTTTAAGGCACCAGTCATTTCGATGGCGTGGGTTCGAATCCCACCGCTGCCAAATATTTTTCCTTTCAGCAATTAATTTAGAACTTCTGACGGTGGATGTCTCTCCGATGATTTGGTCCATTTTCATCCGTTTCTTTTCTTTATTTCCCAAATAAGTTCCAAGGAGATACACTTATACTAATTCATTGATGAGGCCTATCTCTATAAGATTAATATCGCGCACACATGCCTTCAAGATGTTTCTGCCTGGGAAGATGATTTTCAAGTGTTCAGTAACAGGCTGCGGGCCAGGCCAAAAGCGTAGCGGCGGGCTACTTAAATTTATTAATTGGCCAATTATAAAAATTTGAATTAGATCTTATATTTAAAACGCTAAACGGCCTAACCCAACTGCCGCCCACAGCCCATGCCCAACCCACTCCTTGGGCATTTATAATTGAGTTACACAAAATAAATGTATCCAAAATCATTCAAAATTATCCGAAGAATCAACAATATAACCAAAAAAATCTGAGATAAATATCCAAAATATCAGTTTTCGTCATTCTTTAGTTAATCGAAACAAATAAAAAGCAAATTGGTCTCGGAAAACAAGCCTAGTTTATAGGTGACCAGATTTTTTTTTAATTCTGTATTTTTAATAAAATTTTTATAGGGCTGATAGCTCAGTTGGTAGAGACGGCATTGGCGGCAATCCAGAGGTCGCAGGTTCGAAACCCGCTCTGACCAGTATAACTTCAATATATATATACAAAAATACAATACGGGTATAAAAGTTGTTAAACAGCGAGATGGGGGTCGCGTAGGGGTTGTACGATACTTCAAAGTAATGGTGGTGGGTCGGGTTTGTGTAGCGGTACTTTCTTTGCCTCCCACCGCTCGGTCCCGGTTCGAATTCGTCCACGTGCCAAGCTTCTTCATGAATTTCAGGTGTAGAGCACTCACCGATGGAGGGCGGGCTTCACGTCATCCGTGAAAACTTTGTCAAACAAAAATGCATGCATGCAATGTGGTGAAATCTGAGTTGTAAGTCAACTTGGTGGCCGAATTATGATGTAAAAAGGAGGCAGCAGAGCAGAATATACAATAATGTCGGATATGGAAGACGATGATCCAGTTGTGGACGAGGTAACATTCGTAACTTAATCAACACAAAGTCATAAAAACACGTGTTCAGTTCAAGCACCAGTCATGCCAGTCGTCGATGCCCGCCTGTCGGTCGGGCCAGTTGATAGCCTTGACCAAGGCGTTGGGCTTATCGATTCGCCGATTAAAAAAATCGCCTATTTAAAGAAAATCCCTAATCAACTTGGCAAGGCATAATTGCGTGCACATATCGATGCCCGTACGCTGCTAGTGAGAAAGTAACTTGTACAGCGAGAGGCTATGCTTGTACTAGCCCCACTAGTGTGGCCGTCGGTTAGACCATGGAGGAAGGAATTAATTCCTTCCTCCATGGTTAGACCCGTGAACGTTCTTGTTTCATTTCGAACCTGGCGAAATCGATCCGACATACATAATTCCGTATGGGTGTTGAGTACTCACCTAGAATTTAGAAATCTAAATTTGCCCGTCCGATTGTTTCGGCTGTGTAATTTCGACGAAATTTGCCCATCAGTAAAGACCCATACGAACGTGTAGAAATTAGATTTTAACCTGACCCTGACAAATAACCCCGGACGCGTCTGAGTCGCTTGGACAGATTGACGGCTGTTTCATGTCGCAACCCCGAAAAAAAAAACCGCAGACGATTGGCTGCTCGGCTCATCTCGTGTACAGTACGTGTGTGCACACACACGCGGGCGCACGTGCGACCGCGTGCGGTGCGGTGAGAGAGGAAAGGACTTGAAACTTGTCTAAAACGATGTCTGTTTTAGCTGCGACAGTAAATAGCCGTCGAATCATACGAAAATAAAACGCAATGCGTCAGTTGGGAGAAAATGGCAGCTAGCAGTACCGAACGGACTTCATGAACCGGGGCCAGAATTTTCCTCAATTTTCGTCAAATGCAAGTTTTGACGTACAAATAGAATTCAAGACAGCTTCATATGTGAGTACTTATTACATGGGCAACATAACGTCCAGTGTGTGTAACGGAGGGAGTCAGAGGGACACGTTCGCCAGGTTCGAAATGACATAAGAACGTGGCGTAGTTTACAAGCCACGTTCACGGGTCTAGCCGCGAGGGCGCGAGTTGCAAATGCGACGGCTGTTTCCTGTGCCGTAGATCCTGAATAGAGATCAGTGCACGTGTCCCCAGGACGATAAATGCATGGTACAGGAAACAGCCCTTGCTCGACAAGCAATTTGCATAAACGCGACGTCACAGCTTGAGGTCATCTCTTGTCACATTCAAAATGGCTGCCATCACCGGACGTTTCACGAGTGCATATGGGCTCCAGAAAGATTCAAGAATATCTCGGAAAATTGAACATCATTACACCTAAGCATCCCAAAGTGATAGATGGGACATTGTAGAATACAACCATATGTAAGAAATTCCCTGAAATTTTATGAAAACGTCCTCAGTAGTGCGCGGACCACGGTGTGTGGCCTTAGGTTCAGCGCAGCATACCGACGGCCACACTAGTGGGGCTATGCTTGTACGTACGCACGTACACACACGCACTCGTACAACAGCCATGCACACATGTACATGCATGAGCTAGTCCGCGTAACCCAACGTCTTGATGGTTTTGAGTTGACCCAGCAAAACCTATTACGGTAATGAGGTACCACCCCCGCGTATATACTGAATTCTCATTGGTCAGCCCGCGATAGGCTAACAAACACGTCGCATCCGCGAAGAAACGCTGCAATGGCGGCCCGTTGCTGTGGATGAAAGTCGTTCAGTCCCAGTATGTCCGAAGCAGTATTGAAGGCTCCAACGAATTCTGCAGGTAATGCTGTCATTAGACGATCGTTGCCCACACAAATGGATTCATTTTTTACACGAGCCGAAAAACTCGACTCAATGTCAAATTGTTGAAAAAGTGACGAACATTTCGCTCTCGCTAAAAAGACATGGAAGACACCATGATGGCTAATGCATTATGCATGCCGCGCGACGTCACATGATTTTTGTGAAGCTTACGATTGGTCAGCTTAAAAATGAATTAATCATACTATTGAGAAGGTTGTTTCATGTGATTGGTCCAAGACGAACCTTCATAATCATCACGGCATACCCGCATATCCTGAAGCCCGCCCATTTTTTTCCAAAACTGGACGAAAAAGTAAAGAAAGACATTAAACCCGGAAGTTGCAGACCCAACAAGGCGGTCGTTCGACAGGCCATGCGGCGCGTATATCCCCCACACGTACGTACGTACGTACACCCACACGCAGAACACAGTAGGCCTACATTTACTGCCTTACACCATGCGTACAGTCCGTAATCACATGTGTGTGCTTGCTGGCTGTGTTAGTACCGAACCGTTCGTACGGACAAGGGTCGGCGGTACACGCACGTAGCCGCATTGATTGTGGGTGCCGGGCCCGATTATCTCCCTTCGACAAAAAGCCGAGAGACCGCATTGAACAAGGCTAGCCAGTTGATGACCTGGCCCGCGTGAACAGAGGGATATGAACTAGATCACAAGGTTAAGAGCGCACAGCTGATTCGGTTTTGTCCACTGGCGATTGTGAATTTACGGGCCCCTCTTTCAGTCCTTAGATTGGCGATCACATCACAGTGATCACCTTTTTTATTTTTGCGTTGTAATCCCTTGGCTTTCAATGGCTTTGGCTTTGTCATGACATGTTTCTTGTTTGTCATCGTTTTACTCCAATTTTCTCTCGAGAAAACATCCCTGTTGTGCATTCCTGTTGCTTTTAAACAATGCCAAAGGCTAAGGCTTACATTTAGATATGGGCTCTGTGCATGGACAAGAGAGGGCTTGTTTTTACCACTTTCAAGTGCCCCATGGATCATTGGATGGGACATACAGTGTGCGTGTATGTACAGTAATGTTGTGCGTCGGACTTGGTTGACCAGGCCAAACCAACCCGAAACATTATAGATATAAACTGAACCCGTACCAAATCTGACCCAACCCAACAAAAATCAAGCAAAAACCAAACCCAACTGACCCAAAACCGAACCCCCCCCCCCCCAAAAAAAACCCCTGAATATATCTGGCTTGGGCAACTGTGTACATGTACTTTTTGTGCCAGAACTTTCCCACGTCTAATGAAAATTGTCCTCTCTCAGTAAAGACTCATACCGTATGGTGCGATGAAGACTCATAACGTTACTTAAAGGTGGGCCTATTATAGACTGTGCGTGATAGACCGCAAACCACATGCACATTTGTGTGGTGGGTTGCCTTGATTGTACTGGGCATAGTCATTCTGCAATAATATTGCTCCGTGTAAACTTCCGAACAGTTTCGGTTTATTTCCTTTTTTTTCACAAGATGGCTTAATTAAACGACCTGACCTGAAAATCGCAAAGCCGAAAGCGACCTGACCCAACTGAAATGGAGGTTAAACCGACCCGACCCGACCCAAAGTCTGTTTCGTGTCGGGTCGGTTTCGGTTTCTGGTCGGGTTTACACAACATAATAGCGTACAGCGCGAAGTGTACGCACGACGTTTTCTATTCTGAATGTAGGCCTACACAAAGCCATAGCGTCTTCGCGTGAGCGTCAACGTTATCAATACGTTTGAATGTCACGCCATGCAGTGTCCCCAACTCTCCCTTCCTTACCGTTGAGGGGGTACTTTTGCACGGAGCCCATATTGTTGTGAATTAATACAGCAGTGTGCACAGCAAATGGGGTTGCTTCTTCAGTACCGGTACCTGCAAGAACTTTCAATTCCGGAACCCAGAGACTTCACCCCAAAAAGGGGGAAAAGCAAAGCCAGAGCCACATAAACAGATATCAGAAATAAGAATGAAAAAAGAAGAAGTTAATTGACTCGAGCAAGAATGTGACTTGGCTCTCACCTTGAGTTCACATCAGTTTTGACACAACTGAAAGTGCATGCAACTTGACCATGATGACCCTAACGACATGACTCGAGCCATTTCCTGAGAATAATTTGACTCAACCCTTGAAACCACTGCCTCAAAATGACTCTCCTCGAATTCATGAAATTCCAGACTCAATACAGCGCTGTCCGAAAACCACTTTCTTGGTTTTATACAAAGTCTGTTGGAATTCATTGAGTATTTTAAAGCACTTCCTATGCAAATTTAAACTCGTTCTTTATCCTGACTTTTTTTAACCCATTTGAAAAAGAAGAACCTCATTAATTAAGATAATTGAGATTATTTAGACCAAAAACATTGTCATCTTGGTATTGAATTCCCTCCTCAAATTTTTCACACAGTACAACTCGTTCACTTTTTTTCTCACAGGTTGATGTCTACTTGTCCAAGAGCCTAGCTGAGAACCTGTATCTTTTCCAGGTATAGATTTTTGTGGTAGAAAACCTTGTAGCTTTCAAGGGTGATGTGTCTACCATGCAGTCGAGCCCATCACTAGTCTTGGTCCAAGCCTGGATATTTGTTTTGCTCCCATGATGCAGCCGGTCCCTGACAAGCAAGGTTAAGCCACCATAGCTGTAGAGGGCGCTATCAACAAGAATCTTTGGAACTTTGTCACTCAGACCTGAGAATTCAAAGCATGTTCATGTATATCACAAGTATTAGAGCTAATGTGAAGCAATGTTGATATTCAAAATTACTATTCTTTTTTTTGTTTGCTGTACACAATGTGAAATACAAAGCAGTTTGCAATACAGCATTTTTAATGAGATCTGTCACTGATTTTAATAAAAGGAAACTTGCATCTTATTTCTGTCCCTTATCAGTATCCTGTGCGGCCGTCTGGAATGCCCTATGATGACTTTGAGCATCTGGCTGCAAGGATCAAACCCAAGCAGAAGTTGGTAAGAATGATGCTATAAAGTCATGAAGAGATGAACATTTCATACATTCGTAATATTGATATGACATTATGCAGTGACCGTAACATCGCAGATTGCCACTTTGCAGTACAACAGGACAAAGTCAAAATTTGAAGGGATGGTCACTTTTTTGTTTTATAGGTGAACCTCAATATGTAAGTCCTTTCCCCAATTTTTAGTTCTTAAAAGTTTTAAGCCAGTTGCCTTTCTTCTTTCCACAACCATTTTTGGAATTCATAGCAAAGACGTGAAGCCTTCAAATTTACTACTCGTGTATACTACTCTGCATCGGGAGTCCTGTTTATTACGTCATGATTAACTGGGTTTTGTTTGCTGCCCCCAACGACGACTTTTACACAAATTGCACGTTCGGGTCGAAACAGGACCTGAAAAACAGCTCTCAAAAGTACCTTTTGTACTCATTTCATGACAGACACAATAGTCGTTTTTATTTCATCACGCCTTAGGCTACATATACCCGAAAAATGACGGAATTGTCTTCGAGCATTCCACAACCTCTTTAAAGTACTACATATATAATGTATGACTTTCCAACAGTTTACCATATTGCATTTCATATGGCCTGGTATCTGACCATACATAATGCAGTGTTGTTAGACTAATTAAACTTGTTACCCATTCAACAAATTTTTTATCATATATTTTTAAAAAATTAATTTAGCATATGTCCAATCTACATAAATTTATTCTGTCTGCATAAATTACAATAAGACATCCATAAATGGATCACAGTCGCACTGCATAGAACAGACAATCAAGCAATGTGGGAACACTGGAAAGTCTCCACAACTTCATAGTCAAAATGCTCCCGCACACTTCCTGTAAAACCTCGCCCACAAAAACAACTGCACAATATGAGGCAACTGCTGTGCAAAGTTAATACTGCATAGCCTCAACTGCTACACATGTGCATATGTAAATCTTCATTTACATTAATAACCTGTACTGCACCAACACTCGAACAACTGAGCTATTCAGTCATTTATTTAGAGTTTCTGAACAGGGCTTCTTGATTTGGGGGAGTGTGGTTCAGTGGTTGTAGTTTGTGACTCATATTCAGAGGGTCAGGGATTTGAAAGCTGCTGCTGATCATACCTTGTGTCCTTGGGCTAGCCACTTTACCCCTACATATGTACTTGCTGCTCTTTACCCAGGAGTAGGCCTAAATATAATAGGGAGAAAAGTGCAATTCTACAAATGGGAGTCCGGAAAAGTACATGCATTCCATTATCTTCTGACATTTAGAGGAATGGATACTCGGATTACATTGAGTGTTAAATTAATTTCACAGCCCATCTTAACAGCAACACGGCAGACAGTCGACGCTGTCACAGTATAAATAATGCCTATTTGATAAGGGTTTAGCATTTCGCCATAAGGGCAAGACAACGGAGAAGTGAGGTGTATGAATACGCATGCTTGGGGTCATGAAGCAATTTATAACCAATGACTCGATTGCAGTTTGATGCTGATGGCCATTTTCGTACCAATTTGGAGTGAAAAGCCATGGTCCTATACATGTACGAAGGGACGCCCTATTATCACGGTACTTATCACGAACTCTCGTTCGGGATAGAGATTGCTCACCAACCTTCCCGAATTGTCCTGTCTTTTGTGTTGTATAGCTCTTGCTTTCACATTAAAAAATATTCTGTGCTTGACGCGACGCCTGTGAAGATAGATTCAGGGAACACGATCAAAAATGGCTTCCTCGTGAAAAAGGTCTGTGTTCTTGATCCAATTTCAAATTGATTCAAGACCTCCTCAATTTCTCCTATGTTAATGGGTTTTTAAAATAATTTTGCATAACATTCATCTTTTTTGTTCAAGGTGGAAATTGAACTTGGTCTAGAAACCAGTAACCCGAACTACGACCGAAGTCGCGGGGAGCAGATCGCGATCAACGTAGATGGGGCCAACCCTGTTGGAAATAAGTCGTACCAAAGGTATATTTGTGTTGTCCATTCCGATAACAAAAACCAAGATTCTCAAAATATAAAATTATACCAATACAATGTTGTTGAAATATCGCTATTCCCTTTGCATGGGAAATTAGTAGGTTTTTAGACTTTAATTAATTGTTTTCTTTTGCAAAGCTGAGTCCATTTGAAGTTTGTGATGTCATACACATGTACATGTAGGTAAAAACAGATAAATTGCCTGTTAACAGTTTTTGGTAATGCACTTCTCAAAGTGCCGTTCCTTGTGTTCTTCAACAAATTCCATAATCTATTTTGTATAAATAAATGTTCCACCAGTTATATTCCAACCAAAGCACCTCCTTTTTTTGGCGAGCTGCGAAGCAGATGCGAGCCTATGTAATACCAATTTCCATCCGTCTGTCCGGGCGTCCGTCCGTCCGTCCGTCAGTGCGGACGTTCTGACCAACGTCCGTCTGTCCGTCCGTCCGCGTTCAGATAAAAATGATGAAGTTTTTGGTTCTAGTTAACTTGGGGAAAAAAATTAAATGCAGTTGTCATGTATCATCTCTATAACTTCAGTTAGGTTCATATCATTGCAGTAAATTTTATGATTTTATTGAGGAACTTTAATTCAAGGAAATGTTAAAGTTTTTAATTGTTACATGTACATGTAAAAATGTATACTGGTATAACATGTACATGTGTATACCGGTATAACATGTACATGTACATTATGCATTTTGGGGATGTGCATGAGCTTCTGGTTTGATCTTTTAGTTTATGGGGTTGGAGTAGGGATGGGGTAGGGGAGGGTGGGGTGGGGTGGGTTGGGGGATAGGGTTGGAGTTAGGGTTTGTGTGAGTAGGATGAGTAGGGGAGCTAGGATGGGTGGGGCGGGGTGGGGTGGGGTGGGGAGAGGGGTTGGAATACTGGGTTTGGGTGGGGTGGGGATTTGTAGGGGTGGGTATGTGGGAACAGGTAGGGAGAGACAGGTAGGGAGAGAATGGGCATGGATGGAGGGGTTGGGTTAGGAGGGGGTTGGGGAGGGGGCGGGATATAGGATCGGAGTAGGGGTTGGGTTGGGGATGTGTAGGGATGGGTAGGGATGGGTTGTTGTAGGGGTTGGATAAGGGGAGGGGGCAGTATATAGGGATCAGAGTAGGGGTTGCATGGGGTCCGGTGGGGATGTATGGGTGGGGGAATGGGGTGGGCGGGATATTGGAATTCGAGTAAGGGTTAGGGTGGGGATGTGTAGGGTGGGTAAGGACAGATAGGGGAAGATAGGGTAGGTGGGTGTAGGGGGTTGGGGTAGGGGAGGGTACAGGTCAGGGGAGGGGGAAGGAGATAGGGATTGGAGTTTGGGTGTGGTTGGGATGTGTAGATGATAGGGTGGGGATGGTTAGGGGAGGATGGAATGAGTGTGGGTAGGGGGTTGGGTGGGGGAGGGGGCGGGTTGGGGATGGGGTAAGGTTTTGGGATGGGGTAAGGTTTGGGGGAGGTGGTGATGGTTCTGTGTCTACATGTACATGTATACTCATTCTTGTTCTGCATTTGTTGCGACTACACAAGAGTTTTCCCATGGTAATACAAGTATGGGGAGCAGAAGACACTGTTGGGGCTGCAAAAATCCACAACTGGGTCCTAATTACCCTAACAATGGAAAACTCCCCCATAATACAGTGACGGCTAACCTATATACACATGTATTTATTAGGTAATCTGTTGACTTTTTATGTTGACATTTAAAAACTGACCCCTACACCTAGGCACATCAACAAGAATCCTGATCCCCTTCCATCATGCCCATCCCCAACCCTACCTTCAGCCTCCCTTCCTGCCTTGGACAGCGAGCCATGGCGGCTTCGCCGTTCTAGTTTCCCCTTTTTTTGACATCTGCAAACCTGTGAAAAAAAATTGTTTTGTTTTTATGTTGGCTCCCGGTCCATAATTATCGATACTGATTGTGGGGTGGGAACCAGCCTATCCCATGAGTACAGAATTATTGTCTGGCAGCCAATCATTTGAAATTGTAAAGTAATACATTCAATAACTAAACACCGATTTTCTTTCTGTCGATGTCTCATGAATAACTTGTGTATAGGTAGAAAATTAGCAATTTAGAAAAGAAATCTATATTTGGGATAGAATTCTAAAATAGCTTGGGGAAAGCAGCCGTAAAAGCAAAACTATGTAGAAAGGTAGTGTGAAATTGTGGAAGTTTACATTTAGGAACTTTCACATTTGTTTGTGTACTTTCAGTGATGTAATGGATAAGCAGGTGCTGGCTACCTCAAGCAGTTTATCTACAACATCACGTTACGGCGTCGGCATTCTGAAAGATGGTAAGTGATTTCTCACCACCCCTCCCCTTGACTAGTCTATGTAATAGATCATGGCGAAAGCCATGTTTATTATGCATGAACAGATTCGCTGATTAATTAAGCAAGATGATTAATTAGGCTCACTGCGCCAACCACTCCGACCTGTGCGAGATAACCACTTAGGAGGTGTTTGCGCAGTAACCACCAGAACCAGACCCTGTCTCTTGACCTCCTAGATTTTGACCAATCAGCGGACGCTTTCTATATGGGGTCTTTGGTCATTCACCTGTTACGCGTCATAGACAAAGGATAAACAAAACAATTGTCACGCGCTCTGTATCATGTTATATACGGTATCGTGCCCAGTTATTGTTGTATTACAAAACACTGCATTCGAATTGACCAGTCAAACCATTTAGTCCTGATTTAGGAATGAAAGGAATGAAATGACGTCACGATTTAGTAAAGTCGACTCCGATTGGCTTGCGCCATATATCTTCATGTCTAGACATATCCGAGGTTATACAGAACTTGGCTCCGTGGATAACGGGTGATACTCAGACTACTCCTTGACTCCTCCCGTGCCACATTTGATGCTTTGAGTTTAGCAGGGGTGTGAAATCTCCGCTATTTAGCGGATTTCCGCTATTTTGTTCAGCGTGCCACATTTTGTTTTCCGCTTTTTTTCTTCCGATGGTCCAGATTTCCCCCCGCTTTTTCGCCCGCGCGTAAGCATTGATTTTATTTCCGTTTATTTTATTTTCCGCCGCCGCCGAACGCACGCGATCCGCTCTCTAGTACAACATACACGTCACGGTAGCTCTGGGGTGCGTGCAAGCGAGTATTCAATGTACATATACATGTACATGTACATTGTACGTACGTGTGTACTACATGTATACGATGCCATGTGCATGCATTCAGCTCGAAGCCGCGTGTGTACAATGTATTGTACACAGCATGTACACAGCATCCGCGGAACCAACAGTGATTGCGCTGTGATTGGCTGCAGATAAATATGAATATTCACACATGCGCCATGAAGCGCGTTGGGACTCTTTGCGGCCGTTCCTGTGTCTATGCATGTGTTGACACACGATGATCTCCACAATAACTCGCTGTAAACATCGTCTTGTTGCAAATATAAAGCCTTGAAATAAGACTAGTAAATTGTCGCCGTGCCGCGCCGGCGGTAGAGGGCATCATGCGGGGCAAAGTTCATGTGTGCATTTCATTGCATGCACGCATCTGCCTGCATGCTGCATGTATTCCGCTGAACGCTAATACGTATGTTAGTGTGTCGTTTCAAATGTTTGAACGTATTTTGACATTATTAATTCCGCAAGATGTCAGTGCAACACAAATGTGTTATTATCCAAAGAGGTTTGGAGTTTGATACGGACATTGACAAGACCGATCCTCAGGTTACGAATCCGTGGAAATGGATTTGGATGGAACACATGTCATGGTTAATAATGGGCAGAAATTAGGCGACTCGATCAGAAGCCGGGACATGCGATGACGATGTGTATCATCTGCAGACTGCAGTAAGGAGTTAACTTAAAATATGAAAAACGTGGTTGAATTTCCCAGTTTTCACATACAAGTTGGCCATTTAGGCAGTTTCAAGCCAATATGAAGGAAAAGTTAACTTAAAAACATGCATAAATTGCAAAACATTTTCGACCAATAGTTAGCCCAGGCATGACAGGAGGCTTTAAAATGTACCACAGAGCATCTATATTTCAAAATTTTTCCGGGGCATTTTTCGTGGGGTCCGGGACCCCACGCAGTAAGGGCTTCGCGCTACGCGCTCGCAGGTTCGGTTATTTACAGGTTCAGCTATTTTCAGCTATTTTTTTTGGACTCCACTCACACCCCTGGTTTAGAGCGAGGTTGCCATGGTAGATTTTATTTGCTGTGGACGGTCAAATGTGTAGTCTGAGAACCAGACATTCACGCGGGCAAAGCCACGGTTGAACGTCTGATATACCAGTAGCATGTAAATTTTATGAGACCCCGTACGCCAGCCAATCAGAGATGTCTTTAGAGTCTGTGACGTCATTTCGAACAGAATCTCAAGGTCAAGACTAATGTTGTGCAAACCCGACCCGAAACCGACCCGACCCGAAACCGACTTCAGGTCGGGTCGGGTCAGTTTGTGCATCATTTCAGTCGCGCCGGGTTGGGTCGGTTTTGCGTTTGGGACTTTCAGGGTCGGGTCGGGTCGGTTAAGCCATTTTGGAAAAACCTGAAATAAACCGAAATGAACCTAAACAGAATGGAAATTCACATGATGCACTATTTAGTGCAGAGTCACTGCGCGCGGTGCGACTAAAAATTGTTTGCTGTCTCGATCAGTCTGTAACATGTAGGCCCACCAGTAGGTCACGTTGTGAGTGCCGCATGGCACGATTCAATTACTGAAAGATGACATTTTTTACGTGAAGCAGGTCAGCTCAGACGCAAAAAAGTGGACACATTTGCCGAAGCCAGATATTCGATGTTTTTTTATTTCGAGTCGGTTTGGTTTCGGGTCGGTTTATTTGAATTGTTGTCAGGTCGGGTCAGGTCGGTTTTAGGTTCATGTAGTCCAGTTCAGTTTTGGTTTGGGTTCGGTTTTGAAATAAATGTCTCGGGTCGGTTTGGCCTCGTCAGCCCGACCCGATGCACATCACTAGTCAAGACGCAGTCATGTTTTGTATAATTAATTGCCGAATCTGCTCGCATATCACAGACCCTTGCCGTGCAAGGGGACATTCCATAGACTATCAAATCCGAGGTGTTCTGGCAAAATGAGACAGAATTGGGCAGAGGTCGAAAGTCTTACACAGCTTGGCATTTTCTCATTTGTTTTGTTACTTCCAAGTTACATGCCTGTGCTCTGGCACCCTCGGTAGCCCCAAAAGTCTCTGCCGATTATTTTGTGGATTGTTCATTTTGTCCCAATCTCACCCCTGTATTATGTGTTATTTTATTTTCCTCAGGGGAGCTGCACCTGACACCCCTTCATGGCATAATGCAGCTCAGACCCAGCTTCTCTTACCTGGACAAGGCAGACATGAAGAGCAAAGTGGAGAAAGCAGCTGATAATGAGGGTAGGCCTACTGGTATAAGATGCTGATTGAGATGAACACCTCCCATAATAAATTTATCCATTGAACCCCGCCCACATGCCGCTGGGCATTTGAGCAGCAATATGTGCGCCTCTCCACGTATGGCGGGAAGTACACACAATTTATTTTTGTGTCGCCTAAACAAAGTTTTGGGAGAAACTAACTGGTCCTAAATTCTGTATGGCCGTAGACCTGTAGACCTGTATGTTAAAGGGAATATACAACATTTGCAAACATCGAAAAATAAAACTACCAAGTTTTTACGAAATACCTTTCTAGGATGTTGGTAAATGACAGTCTAAAGCATCCTGTAAAATTATGGCACCTGGTGTGATGTCATTTTCAAGAAAATGGTATTTTTGTATACATTTCCAACAGTGTTCAACCAACCACCGTTGGAAAAACCTAACTATTTTTTAACTTCTGCTACAAATTTACCATTTTCTTCAGTCCAAATTTAGTTTGCTATTGGTTACATGTTCATGAATTGGTGCAGGCCAGCTAGAGTGGTTCCCTTACAGTTTTTTGGCATCTATAAATTGATCCATTTTATCTTTAGTGGAGTCAGGGAGCCAGACTACCTAAACATTTTTGTTTTTCTTGGTTTTTCCAGCATTTTCGAGCACAAAACTTCAAACATTTATGTAAACGGTATTTGATGTATTATACTAACCCCTCAAATAGTTCATTTCTGAAAATTACAGCAAAAGCCAATGATGTACATTCCCTTTAAAGTTTAGGTTTAGGTTTTTGGGGAAAAAAAGGTATAACTTCTACACGCCTTCATGGATTTGATAAAACTTGGATGCAGTGAACCTTGGGTAGGAAGACAGTGTAGGGATCATTAGAGGTCATCGGGTCAAGTGAGGTCGTTTAAAAATGCACAAAATTTGACTTTTTTTTTTTAAGAACACAAAACATACAGGGATCGACTGTGGAAAAAGGCGACATGTGCGATCCACGGATCACTTGTCATGTAAATGTGAGCAAACCTGTGGTGTCTTCACGTGATGGCCAGACATACGGCAGCAATGCATTCAAGAACTCCACCTATATCTCACTGTTACAGTTGAGGAGATGATAGACCTATGTCATTAGGCCCCGCTCACAACAATGCGTGCACCTCTTTAGTGCCACACTGCATGTTCCAGCCACGCCCGTCATATGGGCGTGTACCCATGTCGGACTTTTGTGCATGCATGTCGGACATCAGTATACAAATATATAACAATGTTTGAGGGTGGATAGTCGATATTAGCTCCCCAAGGTATTGGAAAGTGCCAAACTAGCTCCCAAGGCGAACTAGTCCAACTCACCAAAAGAATAAAGTTCAGTTCTTTTGCAACACAGTAAATCCTAAGAGTTTATACCGTGCGGCATTGTGGACAACTTTTTAGCAGAGGAGGCATCTATATTGTCCACAATATTCTCCAGATGTGCAGCCATCTTTTCATGTGTAGCTAGGGCGATGTTCTGCATACTACACCCGTGCAACAGTTCCACAATTGCTTCGTAAAGTGCATATTTACCATGTGTGTGAATACCTGCGTACGAATACCTGCGTACGCGCTTTGTAAACAGCAAAATTAGCATCTGGCACGTGACGGTGTAAGGACCAGTGAGAATTTGGCTCTCGATCATGAATATGTATGAGGTATAGTAATTATGGCTGTGATTGGTCCAAACATCATTGGCCTGGGCTTAACCAATCATTCTATTGTGCATCAAATCCATACAGTATCTGCATAGAGTCTACAATTATTGAAATTCTTCCTTTCTTTACCCCCTCCTCCTTGTTCTGCCATGCTCCCACTCAAGGTGAATCATCCCAGGAGGAAGAGGAAGAAGCCAAGCCAGTCAAGGTCCAGTTTGCCCGGCCGGAGAGTGACCAGGCTAAGGCCAGACGGCTGGCCTCGTACTCCCATCATGAGAAGATGTTGTCTGAAGAGATGTGGGTACCGCTCAGCTGTCGGTCGGTCTACGTGAGTCCAGAATCGCATCCTTTTTCTTACTGTTCGCATCTAGAGGGTTTAACTTTTAACTGTCTCAGTTGTTGCCATTGGCAAGTGGCCAATATATTCACTATTGCCCATAAGATTATGAAGATGAACCTGATCACAAGGCCGCCATACTGTACATACGGAGTTGTGGAGATATTCTTCAGTTGATGTAGTTTATTGACCGACTGCAACACTCAACGTTTGATGCGCATATAATTTGTCATACAATAGCAAGATGGTGACTTTTTGCCATAGCGTCCAAAAATCAACTAAAAGTACTTAAATGTGAAGGTATAAGTGATGAAAACAAAAGTTAAAGCAGTGCTCACCAGGAATTATTCTGGCTGAAGTTTCAGCCCCACTGGGCCTTCATCGGAGCTGCACTGACTGTTTGAATGCAGAAAAATCCACATTCAAACCGCCTGGCGTGAGCGTTCCAAGCTTGTAGATGATGCGTTGTTCCATCTCCAAGCGCTGGAATAATAATTCCCGGTGAGCACTGCTTTAACTTTTGTTTTCATCACTTATACTTTTCTTCAGTGCTACGCAGTTCCGCTTCATTTTTAAATGTGAAGGCGTTGGTCTTCTTTTTTTTTAGGATGAGAGGTCGTATTCTGAGCGAGAGAAGTTATTCTGTCAGGCAATGGAGAGTGAGGTATCACCACTCAACCTTCCCTCTAGGTAAGTACCAAGAGTGTCCAGTATCAGCTCTGTTCAGGGAGATAGTTCTAGGTAGCCTTTCTAGTATAATTATGCACAAATACTGTATTCCAGTTTATTTTTAGCTCAGTATATGCACAGCTTTTGGAGAAAACAGCAGAAATCAGAGCATTTTACAGGTGCCAGGTTTAACTCTTTCGCTACGGAATTTAATTTACCTTTTTCGTCCCAACTGGACGTAATTAAAAGCTGAAAATTCCGCCAAGCGTCGATGTGGGCGCCGCCATCTTTGAATGTATCTCCGTAAACAAACTGCTCACAATAACCAAAAGCGCACCCCGGCCAGACGGAAAGCCGCTGGCAGCGGCTCAAACTAGGGTCAGAGGTTATACGATATAAATTATGTAGATATGGCCTACGTCATGGGGATACCCTGTTTATTCATAGCGACGCAACCGAGCCGCTGCCAGCGGCTCTCCGTACGACCTGTACAATTTGTATGTGCCGCTGTCAGCGGCTCGCCGTAGCGAAAGAGTTAATGTCTGTTGAGGTCTTGAATTACTTCAACTGGAGACATACAGATCCTTGTCATTTGATTGGTGGAACTCACATCAGGTGACATTCATCATGGCTCCCATTCATGCTGGGGCTCAAAATGTCCCATTCTCCCATGGTGAATGGGATTTACTATTCCACAGTTAGGATCATCCTTGTTCCATGGTGCGGTATTTGTGTGCAAATGCATGCTGGTGTGCGCGTTGAGCATTGCGCGTAGCGCGTATTGTTCCCAAGAGCCATTAGCTACAGAGTTGGGTTCAAACATTTTCGTGAAGGGGTGGAAGAGAGAAATGTATTTCCCACCAATTTTGTATTGAAATAGAAGTTCATTTTAACTGTAAATCAAATGACAAGGATCTATATGTCAGTTATTTAAAACAAATATTGAGTGGCTTTAAATTGTGAAATGGGAGGAATATTATCGCTCAGTAAAATCTGGACTTTTCCTTTTCACTCGGCTTCACCTCGTGAAAAGTCCAGATTTTACCTTGAGATAATATTCCTTCCATTCTACTCTGAGCCACTCAATATTTGTGTACTACCTAGTCGACCATTGTTGGATTAGTTTATTTAGCCAGCCTGCCCATATTAATTGCATAACTGGTTACCAATAGCTGCAGGCATCATAATATACTGCAGAGAGCCAGGTCCAAGAAGTACCATGAGGACTATTAGTGCACATGCATGTAAGTTACATCATGGAGCACGTTTGGGCGAGGACCATTAATCGACTAGTGCTTGATTTATGACATATCTTTTTGGGCGTCTATTTTAGTACCCTCTATGTTGTTTTGTCATAATGTTTTTATCGGTTGTTTTAACTATTCATCCTTAAGAATCGTTTTGTTTGATGGTTTTTATTCCTCATCCATTGATTATTCATGAGCTATCATTGTACTAATTGGCAGACTGAACCTTTTGGTGATAAGGAAAATGATTTTCCTCCAATTGCCTTCTTCACATTTCACCTCACCTCCTGTTTAACTGTATTTTTATATATATGTTATATTTTTAAATCATTTTATTGTGGAGAGGAATAAAATAATAATAATTATAATAACTTGTGTAAATGTATGCCTGTGCACTAATAGCAACGTGCGAACGTTTCTAGTCAAACAATGGTTGGAACGTCATCACAAAACTTCTTGATTGTGGTTCCCTGCTGTGTATTATGATGCCTGCGGATTTTGGTAACCAGTGATGCAACCGTGCCCCTATCTGGTTCTAAGTATTTGATAAGAGTAGTCCAACCATCCTTCGTTTGAGCGAAGTTAGTCGAATTATGGTTAACCATTGTTCTCGCTTGCACTTGCTCATGAATTAACCACTAGTCCACCACTGGTTCTTGACAGTGTTGTGGTTTAGTCCATCACATGTCCGTACAAGTCATTGTTAAAGGTCGAGTACATCATTTGTAATTGGTGCATTATGTTCGTTGGAAGCAACAAAAGTGCTCAAATTCTAGAGAAGGGTGCTGAACAATTAACCTGATAAAGTTTTAGCTCAGTGAATGCTGTATATTCCAAGAAAACAATATTCATGATTTGAATCATGCCTGAAGTCAGCGTCCGGGACATGTTCTCATTCAGTTGATTGCTGCTACGCGATGTTTACCACTGAACTGACAAATAAAAGCAACCGTGCGCACGTGTGCGTCATGTCAACGCTTTCGTGCACTCATGCAAGGCTTCACCGAAAAATGAACAACTGACGGAAATTTCCAAAAACGAGTCTTTAGTCGCATCATTGGCAATGGCCGCCTTTTCTTCAAAATGACAGTATGCCAGAAGGAAGAATTTGACAGGGAGTTTAGGGCAAAAAAAAAGCCCTGGTTTCTGGTCTGCGCGCGTGTCGCCCTAGCCGGCAAATCGGCAAAATTAAAAGAATTTTTTTTTCATTGTAAGATGATGTCTCAAAACCACCAAACTCACTGGTTTGACTGGAATCCTGCTGCTGCACAATTTTAACGTATTTTTAGATGGGGTTACGATCGAGTAAAAGCTTTATGTGGCCTCTCTGGGCTCCCATACATTTTGCACTAAATTACTCGGGCACCATTTGCAGTCATCAGCCGACATTTGAAGAAGAAAAAAAAGGAAAAAGAAAAAGAAAGCCGCGTCGCCACACCACTTTTGGGGCAAGCCTTATACCAGAAAATGAAGACTTTTTTGGGGGCCTTATTACCATTACCATCTTTAAACCAAGTATGCTTTTCAAAAATAAGTTTGTTAGTTACTTTTTGGATAGCTGCAAATGATGTACTTTGCCTTTAAATAATAGACTATTTGAGTTTCGAAATGATTACATTTTTAATGTCGATTTGTCAGGGACTACCTGGCTACCCTGGTTCCCGAGGCCATGGAAGATGAAGCTGATAAACCGCAGTTGCCATCCAACGTTCTCTCCATGAACAACCTGAAAACAATGAATCTGGCTGACCAGGTCAAAGCTCTGCTCATCAATGGTGGGTGTTCAGCAGTTCATTATAATGCTGCGTGATGGGTTTCATTTAAATAACAGAATCCAGGAAATAAAAGCTAGCATGGAAAGTCATGGAAACGTTATGCAATATTGTTAGTTGGAAACTTGATATTCCAAGAAAAAGGTCACGGAAAAGTCATGGAATCCTGCACAACCCATATGGTGGGATGCATTATATTATACAAATAATGAATGTTTGTGAGTGCAAATTATTCTTTCCATTGCACGAACGTGAAACATTCATTATTTGTTTTATATAACACCTGAATAAATCCTTGTCATCTGATTGGTTGACTTCTAATAGCCAATTTATTCAGGTTAAAAACTGTTTAAAAGTTCGAAAAGTTCATCATCTATATATATTGCCGCCCCTGCGCCGAGTGCAACGAATACTCAGAAGGACTACACATTAAGTATGCCTTTGCGCGGTCTGACCAATCGAAAGTCTACACTGCGTAGTATTTCCGGGCTATGCAAAACTGTCGATGGCAACGCGTACTGCAGCCTGCTCCACACCCTGGAAACGAGGTTGGGTCTACGGTGCTCGCTATTTGAAGCGCAAGCATGTGACGTCGCGTGATAGAGTGCTGTTGCTTCCATAATGTGTTTACAGCTCCATGCTTCCACCATCAAGGCTGAGCGTTGTGAGTTCGCTGCCCGCCACGTACAATTCAGTGTCGTGTTATAATTTCGGGGTCCTGTTTTGGGGGTCAACGAAGGATCGATGCATTCACAAAAAATCGACGATTAAGTGTCCGACCCGGCGGAAGACACCCACATTTTTCCACCGTGGAGCCATTTTGGTGTCGCGGGAGACCGCGGTCTCGGATCCTTTCAGGAGCAAAGATTTCTCGGAGGCCGAGTAAAACTTGCTCTTATATAGATGGTTGAAATAACAGTTAAATCGACTTTTTCCTCGCAGACGGTCTCGCAAATTGTAAGAAGTTCAAGTTTACGTTTGTTGAAGAGTCCAATACTGAAACTTAATTATGACCTTCCTCCATGATTCAGACCGTTTGTAATGTTTTGGTAACTCTCCATTTTTTCATTTCAAATGACACTTTCACGTTTTATTGCATTATGATTTATTGTCAAAACTGTACAATCAGCCTTCGCCTGTGTACTACGGTAACCTTTTCACTGCGTTTTCCAAATGCGACTGCCTCACAAAATGCCAATTTAACAGACCAACGGGAACATTTATTACAGACAGTTGCCATGGTACATAATTATCATGTGCGTAAATTGACGGGGGACAGGGGGAACCCACCCCCCATTTTAAAGCGGGGGAAATTGTTTGGTCCCCCCCCCCCCCCCCCGCTTTTTCTTCCCTGAATAAAAATTGTAACCTACAACAATGATTCTATTGCTCAGAATACATGTAGCTGATTCAATTACTCAAAACTCAAAACTTAAAAAGGTGATCTTTTGCTGAAATTGGTTTTAGTGGTCAGAAATTGCCTCACATCACACCTCAGAAATTGCTTTTCTATAACTGCATGTCTCCCCAACTATATCCCCATTTAACTCCCAACATTTTCATCCCCAACACTACGCCCTACCCGATCTATGATCGGGTAAATCAGCTTGTATTTATATTAATGCAAACTGTTCAACAGATTAAGAACAGTCATATTCAATTTACATGTATCTCGATTTAAAACAGCGCCACCACCAGCAGCAGTGTCACCGTGCAATGGAAGTTCTATTCACCGTGCGATAGAACTTCCATTGCACTGTGCGCTGCGCGCCGCGCGCGCGCCGCGCGCCGCGCGCCGCGCGTTGGTACGAATAATTCAATGACATGTGATCAACGATCCACCAATCAGATGACGGGGATTTATTCAAGTGTTGTATAAAAGGCTATGGCAGTCTTCCAGTTTACAATCCAGTTTACTATGCTTTCTCTTTATGCATGTATGCTCTATATTTGTTGCATGATCAATGCACCACTGTCATGCTTTTGTGGTATTCAGTGGTCTTGTGTCAAACTGGAAGGCTGAAAGGGAGTGTTGTCCTTCACCTATAGAGCAATAGGCTCCTAAGATGCAAAAACAAAGATAGAAATGGGTATTGGAAAGTCCTAATTTTGTCCTAGAAAAGTCATGGGGAAAAAAATGAAATTTGTCCTAGAAAAGTCATGGGAAAAAAATGAAATTTGTCCTAGAAAAGTCATGGGAAAAAAATGAAATTTGTCCTAGAAAAGTCATGGGAAAAAAATGAAATTTCATTTTGAGATTTCTGTGGGAATTCTGATTTATATATTGTCCATGAGACTAGGTTGGATAAAACAGGAACAGGAAATTGCTATAAATATTGGTAAAACTATGAAAATTGTTTGAAATATGTTTATAAAGATATTGGAGTTTTTGTGTTTCAGTAATTTATGAAGACTTGGGACAGTAAAAATCCACCCTTGTGCCTCCTTCTAACTGTGATCATTGGCAAAATAACACAGCTTAACCCCCCCCCCCCTTCTGCTGTAGACACAAACACAATCAGTTTTCTACATGGCTCTGGATGTCCGGCAAGTAATGGCCATTGTTTGTAACCAACGTTTCTTTTCACCAGCTAAATCCTTGAGGTTCTCCCAGTTACTGACCATCTTACCAGGAGCGCCCGATGCGACAGCCGTTCTGAGAGCCGTACAACAAGTGGCTATGCTGGTCCAGGGATGCTGGGTGGTCAAAAGGTATAAGAGCTTCACCTGGTTTCGCTGATGTGGTTGTGTTCTAATTACTTGGCTGCGGCTAGCAGTGCCACACGCGTCTATGGAAAGTTAATTCAGCTGCTTCCATAGACACACGTGTTGTCACCAGTCATAGCCGTAATTCAGATGCAGTGTATGATTTTCTATGTTACATGTCTTGCATGTGACGTGAGTTGAAATCAGGCTGAAGTGGACAGGACTTCAAAAAGAGAATTAGTCCCATGTGACATTAAACACTAATATTAAAACAAGAGTTATAACAAGACAGCCTTAAATTGAGATACTGCCACAAAGGAAAAGAATTGGGTGTCAGATTTATTTTTGAATTTTGAATTTGCAGTTTCTTTCAAACATTTTGATCCTTAATATGTGTAAAATATATTGTCACAATTTCAGACTGTAATGTTGCCAGTAAATGGGTAATTCCATAAATCAGGGGTCCAAACTTGTGACATTTTGGTTTCTCTGTTACACCGTGAACCATTCAGGTTTTTTGCACGTAATGTTATAACAGCTTAATGAAACATTTTGAAGATTTGAATAGTATATTATATATAAACAGTATAGTGTACTGTACAATCTACAAACTGTTTCATGAAGTTATAACATTGTTACATGCAAAAACGCTGAATGGTTCACGGTGTAACAGAGAAACCAAAATGTCACAAGTTTGGACCCCTAATTTATGGAATTACCCAAATGTGAATTTGTTTTGGCTGATTGTGGAGGTGTATTAGTTCAAGCTATGCATAATCGAAAACTGTATCAGGCAGTTCATCTGGGGAAATTACACCACAGAATGCGGTAGGGACTGAAGCCTGGGTAGGATTCGAACCCTGGCCATGGAGGTGGAAGGCAAGGAAGGTACCATTACGCCAACCCGACTCTTTTTTAATCTTATGTAATCTTATTTTTCTACTCCAGTGATGTATTGTATCCCAAAGATAGCACCAGTCCCATCAGTGGTGTTCCGGCTGATATACTTTGCCGAGGCAGAGACTATGTGGTAAGTTCCAGAGGTGGCAGCAAGTCATTTTTTGCAAGTCCAAGTCGAGTCACAAGTCATTGTTTGCAAGTCCAAGTCAAGTTACAAGTCATTAGGTCCAGTCACAAGTCAAGTCACAAGTCATTAGGTCCAGTCACAAGTCAAGTCACAAGTCATTTGGTCTAAACACAAGTCAAGTCACAAGTATCTTTGTCCAAGAACACGTCAAGTTGCACATTATTTTGTCCAGCTGTAATAAGCTAAAAGAACCTGGCGTCAACTTACGAGTTATTTTGAACATGCCTCCTTAATTCCCCTTTTTCAATGTGTTGCAATTACTATTCTTGTAGTTTATCACATATCTGGGATATTAGCCCTTTGTATACTTTAATAAATGTACTTTACATTGTAGAAATAAATGTTGAGATGACATGAAAAAAAAGACTTTGTATTGTTACCATGGAGCTTTACATGCAGACATGCCCGATCTGGAATTAGGGAAAATATACATTCTGTCTAGGGCAGATTTTCAAGTACTAGAGGCTAGAAGTTATTTAGATTCAATAGCCATATGAAGCAAGAGTTTGTACGCAGCCCAGAATGACCGAAAATCTATTCGCGGTTAAGCCCCCCCCCCCCCCCCCCCGAAAAAGTCACAGAGCAACTACTCACCGCTCATCGTGGGTTTTAAGGTGCCGCACGAAATTGCTCGTTGTGTTTGGGCCATCAGTGACAGTGGATCCACATATTTTACAAACAGCAGACCTAGCGTCTGACTTGCGTTGGTAACAAGTCATTTTTTGCAATCCCAAGTCAAGTCACAAGTCATTGTTTGCAAGTCCAAGTCAAGTCACAAGTCAAAGCTGGTATTTACAAGTCAAGTCACAAGTCACAAAAATAGCGACTCAAGTCCGACTCGAGTCCAAGTCACATGACTCGAGTCAGCAACTCTGGTAAGTTCAACAAGTGGAGATCTTACTGGCGTCCCTTGAACAAAGATATTGACTATTTGGGGACCACCAACTTGGGGAACCACCAACGTGGGGCTGGATGGCTCAGTTGGTAGGGCACCAGAATGGCAGTCTGGAGGTCATGGGTTCAAGCGTCCGTTCCAGTCAATTTCTTTGTTCAACTTTGAAAAATCTTGTACATTTTTTAATTGTTTGATTCTTTATTTAATGATGATGATTATGAAATCCTGTGCTCTATCAATAATACTGTATGTATATTAAAGATTGAGTTTTGCCTTTTATCAACATGATTTCATTAGCACTGCATTCTGAGTACAATCTAAGAGCCTGTGAGAAATTTTTACAAGCTTACTTGGGTGGGACTCGAACCCTTGTATTGTTTAAAACTGAGCTGTCCAGCCCTTTGTTGGTTGTTCCCCAGATTGTCAGTGTCTTTGTTCAAGGGGTGCTAGTCAGAAGCCATAAACCTGCATGTGTCATGTAGCCAGGGATCATGCCCAAAGTCACGAAGCTAGCAATGACGCAACCTATGAAATATCAAACTGGGATTGCTCCATTTAATCTCATCATTTTAAGCAGAACGTATTATCACAATTATTCATAAGGCCAACAAAAAAAGTCTCCGGTTTCTGGTATGGAGCTTGCCCCAAAAGTGGTGCGGCGATGCGGGCTTTCTTTTTTTTCCTGCACTTTTTTTTCTTCAAATGTCGGCTGATGTTACAGATGACGCTTCGATCCCCAGTTAAAACTCTCAAAAATATCCTTCAGAGTGGAGCTTGAGGTGACCTCAGTTAGGCCATACGGCTTGAGAATTCTGCACCCACTTACGATTTCGACTGACACGAACATTTTTTGGAAACTTTGGATAGTCAAGACAAAAATCAGAGAAAAGTGAAGTAACGTTATAACTTAGACCATGCAATGACATCATGCATGAGCTGCTGGCCTGGTTATTATAGTCTGCTCCCTTACATATTGCGCTAATTAAAAAGTGTTTACAGGTTCCAGATACACGACCATCGCTCCCTCAGTCTGGCTTCCAGACACATAATTACAAAATTACCACACCGTCTGCAAATGGTGTCCGACTAAATTTAATGCAAAATATATGGGAGCTCAGAGAGGCCACACAAAGCTTATACTCGATCGTAACCCCATCTAAAAACACGTTTAAATTGTGCAGCAGAAGGATTCCAGTCAAACCAGTGAGTTTGGCGGTTTTGAGACATCATCTTACATGTATATTAAAAAAAACTATTTAACTTTGCCTACGCGCATGGCTTCGGCGACGCGCACGCAGACCAGAAACCGGAGACTTTCTTTTTGGCCTAAGATGGAGTTTTTGCTTCGGGGAGATGTAAATCAATGTTAGGTTTTGCCCTTCACCGACGTAAGCTCATTGGTCGAGTGGTAAGATGTCTACACTAGAAAGCAGGAGGTCGTGGGTTCGAGTCCCACCAGAGTGATTTTTTCCAACTTTCTCTCGGGAGGTAACACACTGAGTATTATCACAACTGAAGTGAATGCTCAATTTCCAGCTACATTGTTATCCTCAACTAATTCACACACAATACAGTTAGATTTCTAATACATTTTTTATGCCTTGTTTTTAGATGTGGAAATTTACCCAGAGTCGCTGCATTGTGAGGAAAGAAGTTGCCTCCATAACAAAGGTTACTTTTCAAATCAATAAATACTTCTAGATTGTTTACTCAGTAATTTGCAGGTGCGAGATTCGTCAAAATTTTCCTGTGGGATTTAATGAAATCTTGTAACAATCTTGTAACAATCCAGCCATATACTGACTTTTCTAATTGCAGAAATTCTGTTGATTTGGATTTTTTTTTTCACATTGTAACTAGAATGCCATGGATTTGTTATTTAACTTGTGATAAATTGTGAGTTACTCAATTACAACTCCGATATTTTGTTGACACTTGTAATAAATATACAAGAATTGTCATCGTGTTTGGTCATTTCTGATTCCATCGAACATCCTTCCCATCTATCTTAACATTCTTGAACTTTTTAAAATATCATTACCCTATTGGGTTGACCTGTTTGTTTGATTTAGTTGCCGTCTGAGGACATGAAAGACATTCTGGAGCAGATGGCTCGGCCCAAGATCAACCAGGGCTGGGAGTTTGCTCTGGTGTATGACAGTGAGTTTGTCTTGCACCACGAGGATGTCACACAGAGACAGCAGATGCTGTGGGATGCTAAATTCCAGCAGTATGTATACATCCTGGCTCAACCAGGTTTCACTCAAATCCGAGCTTAAATACACATTTAACTGACTAAGACAAGGTTTTAAACCAGCTTAGAAATCGGTATTCCAATTGCGCATGTGCATAACAAGATTTGAAGATTTTTACTTACGGATAAACACTGCAGATAAACGCATGTATTACATGTAAGTCTATAAAGGACGTGGTAACCAAATCTGCAATTCTGCGATTTTTCATGTAATAAATACAAAACGATGTAAACTTTTGTTCACACAAAAGTTACGGTATACAAAACACCTAAAAACCCTTTGCTGTCCAAACTGTTTGAAATTTTGTGCTTACTTCAGAAAAAAGACAGTTTCTTTAATTGGTATGTGCTATGATTTTGGCACGCATATGGCAAATTGTTTATCCCCCCCCCAAAAAAAAATTGTGAAAAATCTTGATGTGCTCAGGCGCAGTTGGAACACCGAACTGGCTTATTGGTTCCCACTGTAAATGCTGAATGAGATTAAAACTGTCTGCAAAGGGCATTTAGATATGTAAATGTATTCATGCTACCACGCGAAGTCATTGAGAGGAAGAACAGTACAGTGGTACATGCCCACAGTTCGTTAGCCTTTCGCCAAGGCCAGCGAAGACCGCCGCTCTAGAGCAAAGATTAAGTCAGCACGCACGAGTGGCAAAGCCACGAGGCCTTTCCCAACTTGATTTTGTTGAATTATTCATAGTTTTTATGCTAATTAGAAGAGTGCTGAAGGTTAACCAATCACAACACGGATTTTGCCTAGTCGCTTCCATTTTTAAAAGAAGGGTGAGTAAGGAAAACGTAAGAGCAAATAACTGTAAGTTCAGATGAAAAACAAGTTCATACACTCAAATAATTTCTTGAAATACTTTTATAAGTAAAATTAAAATAAGATAATGTAAGAGCAATTAAGCGGTCACCATCTCATGGAAAACTAGACTCGCATTTTTTTTTTTTAAACTTTGTACAAGCATCCGGGCGCCTCGACGCGTCCGGGTAGTAGCCACGCACGCACTAAAAGGCTGATGATTGGTTGGAATTTTGCTACCCTTTTGGGGTAGCAAAAATCGAGATTATAAAGAAAAACATAAGAATTTCTTGACAAGTTAGAAAAGGCCCTCGTGGCTTCGCCACTCGGGTGTGTGGTCTCTCGCTCCAGTTGCTTCGCATTTTCGCCGCTTTGTCTGAGGGGGTCAAGTTAAGCCACAATGGCCTTGGTGAAAGGCTAAATGTTCGTGTGATCAAGAGTAATGATGATGATGATGGTGATGATGTTAACTCCCAGGGGATTATTGGAGAGAACACCCATAGGTGTCCAGGTGTCCATTCGTTGATTTTTTGTTTTCTCTCTTGCAGTTCGCTGCTCTTAAATTTGCTAAACGTTGTGTCCACCGAGAGAACATTTTCCAGTGTAGCATTTAACGACGATGTTTTTTGTGCTAAAAACCCATTGGGGGGGGGGGGGGGTTCATATTCCTAATTACAATTAATTGCCTAATTGTTGATTCTTTTTGAAGGCTTTCCAAAATTCTGAAAGTTCCCAAGCACGAAATAGAGAAGAAAGGCAAAGGAAGGGACAGCAAAGAATCATCACAAACAGGTACATTATCTAGGTCCTAGATAATTAATGACAATATTCAGATGCTACTACTCAGTGTAAATAAACTATTGATGAGTTCACCCTTGCTCTGTAGACCATTTCGAGCACACTATTCCTAAGGTCCCCTTCAATGCCGAAAGCATTGTGCAAGTTTTGTTCAGATAATCTGTCATAGGGCTGTTGCTTTGTACAATGGCTGTGACAATGCTTTTGGCATTAAGAGGGGGCATCCGCGAATGTACAGCGGTAACATGCCGGCGTTGGTCTATATCCTCCAAAAAAATCTTCATTATTCAACTTTTATGAGACTTGTTATGTACACACACCAGTAAATGTAATGCCTTCTTATGGAAATGGTATTTGAAAATCCAGCACACTGGCCTAAAACTGCACTCAATGAGTTACGGTTAAATTGGACTATTGATTAATGTACTGTCAGGTATAATGCTCACAAATTTGCCCTTAAACACAAGATACAGAATCATTTGGGTGATAGGGCTAATTCCCCATCAGCCTTTGGTTTTGTATGATTTCTTCTGGGTTTTTCTTTTTGTTTTTTCTGTACAATAATTTTCTGTGAGTTTTTTCCTCAATGGTACACAGCATGAACTTCAAACTCTGAACATGCATCAACCCTGAGGTGTGCCTATTACTATGACATCATGATGATGATGTCATGGACCAAACAATCATCAGTGTCACGAAGCAGTGATTTTAACCGTTTGCCCCTCTCACCATCTTGATATGTTTCCATGGCAGTTGAAGTCATGTCAGGTCAGGAACGCGTCAAGGTCGCCCGCGGCCGCGCCCGGACTAAAAGCCTCACCCAACAGGAAAATGCAAATCCCGCTAAAGCGCAAAATAGCAATCCAGGTTCTAGAACTCCTTGTGGAACGTCAGAGGCCAACAGCAGGCTTCAGGCTGAACCTGCGTTAAATACTGAAGAGCCCATGGAGACAAACTCAGCCGCGGACCCTTTACAAGCAGCCTCGGCATCTTCCGAAAGCAACGCCCATGTCGTTCAGAACGGGCCAAGCTCCAGTAACGGAATTCCCAGTCAGGACTCGGTCAGGAACGAACTGCGGTGTTTTTTACGGGACAAGTTTGTGCAGCAGCCACTCATGAGCTTGATGGACATGCGGCGGCACATCAAAATGAGATTGGTGGAGACGCCGCCGGGCGATTTACTCGGCGAAGGGATATCTGATGCCATGTTGGAAGAGTGTGCTGTGGATATAAATGCTGCGTTGCTGCAGATTCCGGTAAACACTTGATTTCTTTTATATTAAACCCAACACAGCTGCAAGTGTTTTGTTTATACCCTTCTGAATCCAACAATGCACTAGATTTTTCCCCTTTTGTGGTTGAACAAGATTACAAGAAAACCATATGTGATGGGATCAAGCTACATGAGTCGTTTGTTGGGAATTTTCATTTGGAGATACAGGCCAAAATAGGGCCACTTCATCACATCACTTCATCACATCTCTTGATGTTCCGACTTCCATAATATTTGAACTAAAGATGGTATCAGCATGCATTTTCACAGCAGTAAGGCTGAGATTGTGCTCTCTTCAAATCTGTAATAAAAAATTGTTTGACTAGGGGTTGACAAACGACACATTTAGCTTGATCGCATCACATATGTGAAAAGGATTGAAAAATACATTTCATTGGGAACATTTGGTTCCCTCATTTACATGTATAGGTTTTTGTAAGCTGTTCATCTGCTTAAACTTTATTGATCATTTGTATACACGTAAAGGTATGTTTTGTTCATCAACAAGCTGGATCGGATATATCTTGGGCGCTGCGGGCCAACGAACTCATGTTCACACAGCTTGTTGGTTGGATGACACTGACCATAACCAATGCACATGCATGAGTCACGTGATTGTGCCATGTCATTTTTGGAAGGATAAGTGTTTTGAATAAAAAAAAGCAGGTTTTGAACCAGTGACTGCATGATGAGCCTTGACCCCAGTTGGGTCAAATGACATGTTAGGGCTGGGCTACTGATACTTTGACAAAGTTTGGTTGAAATCGGTCAAAATATGTAGGAGCTATAGACAGTGTTTGTGACTATTAAACTATCTAACGGACTAATGGAGAGACATGGTGATTTGTTGAGCTGCTATCCCGCAGCTAAAAATAATGACATGTTACAGTTGTTACATACATCAAGCTTGTCTATGTCTTTATATTTAGTGGCCATCCAATAATTCTATGGAGGATAAGAAACTGTCATCTATGTCTTTATATTTAGTGGCCATCCAATAATTCTATGGAGGGTAAGAAACTGTTGTCTATGTCTTTATATTTAGTGGCCATCCAATAATTCTATGGAGGATAAGAAACTGTTTGGATTCTGTGACTGTGGAGATTCTTTAGACAAGGTAGGTTTTATTTATGTTTTTATTATTTAACCCTTTCATTACCACATTGTTTACTGACTTGGCTTTCCCTAGGACCAAATTATTTGGTCAGTCATGCCGAAATCACTAGAGCGTGAAAAAAATAACCACAAGTCAAAAACTCACTTTTTTTCAACCCAGACTTTCACTGCCAAGGAGTGATTAAAATCATAGGTGTTGTGTGTAAAGTTTGTTCCTTGAACCATACTCTTTTATGTGATGTAAAAATGAAGTCCATATATGCAAATATAAGAAAGTTATGCATTTTTGTTCATCTGGTCCCATTTATCAAACTGCAAGCCATTTCACCACATGACCAAATGGCACTCCATACCTCAAATTGTGCGTGGATACTTCTGAAGCACTTTTCTTAATTTTTTGTAATGGTAACACTATGAATAAACTACACCATTAGAACGATCCGAAAATACTCTTTCAGCTGGTATACAGTTGATGTATGGGCGGCCAAACATATCAACATGCAGCCTTTCTGAAAAGTAGTAAATATATCTGTGTTGAGGGTGTTCTGTGTGTGGTTTCCCATGGGAATCAGCACAGGGGTACTTCTTGTCGACAAAAGTCGCTCATGGCAAGGAAAGGGTTAATATATATATATATGCCATGTATATTTTAATTTTATTTTTATATTTTTTTTTTGTGGTTACAATAATAACCTGAATTTCTTTTGGGATCATTACAAATGCTGCCTGGTAAAACAAACTCCTTGTCTTTTCACTTATGCTTGGTTCTTTTCTAACTGTTTGTTTTATTTTTGGCATATTTAGTTCCGTGCTGTCATCTTTGACATGTTCCGGGAAAGTTTCAAACACCGTCGCAACCAGTTCTCTGATCGTTTCAAGGAAGTTCTGGGCAAGGAACCACCATCAAAGCTGGAATTTGACAGACTCATAAAGGTGAAGAAAAGAAAAAGACACAAAAACAAGCACATGTAGTGAATGAAGAATAAACATTTAGGTCCTCAAAGTGGAGTGCCGTAGCCTCATGATCTGGAGCACTGAACTGGTGGTCTGTGGGTAATGCTGCAGGTTGTGGGTTCAAGTCCACGCGGGGGTTATGGTGGGAGAGTCCTAGGGCAAGGCACTTTGTGACTCATTGCTTCTCCGCACCCAGGAGTAAATGGGTACCTGTGAGGGCAGAGATGGTAATAAGCCATTTGCGTGTTAAATTTGAATAAAATCTGGAACGCTGACTTAATACAATGCTTTGCACGTTTTAACCTAGCATTCTCCCGACCAAAGAGACTGTTAATATATCACATGATTCGGGGCAAGCCTTATGCTAGCAACCCCCAGCTCCGTCATGGTCTGGTGTCTTTGTGCCATTCTCACCCATTGTGAACGATGTATTGGTGCTGAGCGTCTCTTACGTAACTATGCAAGAGCTTGCCCCGAATCATGTGGTTAGCAACAGTGTCTTTGGTCTGGAGAATTCACAGTTAAAATGTGCCAAGCATTCTGAGCAAGTCATTGTACCAGACGTTTTTCAAATGTAAATCCCAAAGGGTGTAGGTAACACGCAAATGGCTTATTGCGGTGGCTTTACAGCCAGTATTAAAAGAGTGCCCTTTTCAAAGAGGGCCCTTTTCAAAGAGTGCCCTTTTCAAAGAGTGCCATTTGTTTTGGACGATTGGCCTTTCTGATTTTGACTGGTGAAAAGAAGCCTGCCTACCTTTCAGTGCGCATGGACGAGTACACTTTTACACGTCCACATGTCCCCCCCCCCCCCTCCCCCACAATAAAAATGACCTTGCTACAGTCACTCTATTGTGATTGCGTTGCGCCAAAATAGCAGCATTGAACTGCATACTTCCCAGGTGCCCTTCTTGGACAAGTGCCCTTTTGATTTTTAGGGAATCAGGTGACCAGTTGAGAACAGTCCTGTTCACCTTTCAGCACGGATGCGCGAGTACCCTTTTTCACATCTAACCCAATAATGCCAATAATTCACAATAATGCCATTGTATTGTGATTGATTGTAGCTGCATTGTGCCAATATGCCAGCCAGTGGGGGGGGGGAGGACAATGAAAATAAAATCTTAAGCCTGTGTACGTGCGTGCATGCCCATTGTTAATGGTCCAGAAATAAGCCACTAGAGCAACTTAAAAGTGTAGCTGTTTTTGTAAATGGGAAATGTATCAAACCGCAAAATGGTGTATAACAAATGTATAACAAACGTACAAAGACGTTGGCTGCACACTATCTACGGCTGTATATAAATGCATGTGTGGCGTGTTTTATCTACCAAAGTACCAATGTACAGCGAAGAAAACAATTACAGTGTATATTTAATCTATTTGTTTAATAAAGTGTTGGGAGAAAACTGGGGGGGGGGGCAAGCTGGGGCAAAAAAATCTAATGAATAATGGAGTAACCTTGTGTTATCTTTTCTCGTGCTGTTTCTATTGCAGAGTTTATGCCTGTACAAGTCTCCATTCTGGTACCTGAAAGGAACGATACCACCTACGCCAACATGATGGCTACCAATCCTAGGACTCGTAGCTTTTTTTATTTGTGTATTTTGAATACAAAAATTCCAGTCGAGCTGCAGTCAATTGTGTCCTCAATTTGTTTGATAAATATAAATCCTGATTTATTCTCCGTGTTTCATTTTCTATCTTCTCTTGGCCATGCATAGTTGGCATAAACCCCAGGGTTTTTCTTGTTCTGATGGAAACATGAAATACAGTCAAATCTCATTAGTACAAACTCTGTTAATACAAAATTCTGGTTAAAACAAACATAAAGCCTTAGTCCAGGCTGTGCATTTATGTGCATAATGAATGGAACTGATGTTCCTCTTAATACAAAATTCTGATATAACAAACAATTTGGCTAGGTCCGAACGAGTTTGTATTAACAAGACTGGACTGTACTTGTAATAGCAGTCGTAAGGATGACCTTCCTAATTGGTCACATTATTTTATTACCCTCCAAGGAAACGGGACGCCTGCTGTTTTCTACTTATGTTTTCAAAAGGCCCATGAAATTGCTGTTTTATTTATTCAGGTTAGTCATTGACATACACCTGTGTATCTCACTTGCCAACCTTTTTAACCATTGTATGGACACTTGAAGAGTGTTTAAACAGACGCAGGCCTGTCGCCAGCCCTGAGCATCAAGGGGGGGGGGGGCATAGTACCAACTAGGGGGGCCCACTACCATAAAAAAATACAAAAATGTATGTATGGCTTTTTGCTGTTGGGGGCCAAGTGCTCGCCAAGGGGGGCCCGGCCCCACCAGGGCCCCCCACCCCCTTGGCAACGGGCCTGGCCGGACGTTTGGGGCATACAGTTCAGAAATATGGGGTTAATTGATTGGAAAAATCTGCAAACGACAACAGATCAGAGGGTTAGAGTTTATGTTCAGTCACTGCCTAGTTTACAGCAATATCAACGTTATATGACATTGCATGGACAATACAAGTGCACTTTCAGGCAAACCCTCTAAGGGCCGTCCATAATGTGTGTACATGTTCACACGAAACTGGTGGGGGAAGGGGGTAGCATTGCGCATGCGTACGGGGGTCCAAGCCAAAGGGTACATAGGCAGAGCGATAATTTGTGTTTAATACCTACCAGGACCAGTCTGAAAATCGTACCCTTCACTCCCGGCCCCACTATTTAGATTTATCTTCCTAGTTCCACCACCGGTAAACGCCTATAGAGATCATCAACGTTCAGAGACCATGCACACCACGTGTATCTTTTTGGTCTCGATTTATGCAATGCCTATGGTACAGGTGGAGGGGGATCTAAAAAGTCAGCATTTTGTGCGTGTGTACTTAATTGACAGCCCCTAAAAAGCAGGTCAATATTTTCAAAACAAGACTAGTCAAGTCTGGTCCCAGACCTCCAAAAACTTCTACCTAGTTGATTCAGAATGTCTATATATGTCACTGGAAGCATTTCCATGCATCCGGTCTTCATTCTTTGGCATCACAGGTTTCTCCTATACAATAGCACTGCCCAATTAGTCACGTGGGGAGTCAGCGAGTCAGCCAGTAAGTCAGTCATATCAGTGAGTCGGTCATATCAGTGAGATAGGCACAATGATGACAAAGCTGTCCTGAATGTTTGAAGTATTTTCACTTAAGGATTTTCAGTAAATTATGTCCTGGCATGGTAATACATGTACAGGGTGTCCCAAAATGACGAACCCTCAAAGCGCCCCCTTGTTTCACAGCTTTTTCAAAACATGCATCGCAAATATCGATACATATTTGGAGAGTATAGTTCATAAGCTTTTCAACATCGAAAAAATCTTTCCAATCGTATAAATATTTATTGAGTTCTGGCCAATTCAAAAGCGTTCAGCCGATTTTTCGTTTTGTCCACGGTCTTCATTGCCATTTATTATATATGGATTTGGGATGAGGGTTATTTTGCTAACTTTATTTTATAATCTTTCTTTATTTGGTTCTTTTTTTGTAACAATGGTCATTTCTCCTTCTGGAGGAAATGGTAGTCGCTGAAAGGATTTCTTAGATGTTTGCTGTTCTGCTCTGCCCTCTTCTTGGTAGCCTCTTTCTCTGGTGTAAGTGCCGGCCCGTGTTCTTATTGTGGCAGTCACGATATCACTCAGTTGCCGTGGACAAAATGAAATAGTGGCCCTAGTTTTCAATAGGCCATAACGCAATCAAATCTACCCGACTGAAAAAAAATTGAAATTGTTGAAAAGCTAATGAACTATCTCCAGATATGTATATCGATATTTGCGATGTACATGTAAATATGCCCTTTTTTAAAGCTGTGAAAAGAGTGCGCTATGAGGGTTAGGTATTGGGTGGGTTTTTTTTTTTTTGGGGGGGGGGGGGTTGAGACACCCTGTATACAGGAACAGATATGTTACATGTAATACAAGTATTGATTACTTCTGATAACGATCTCGCTTGTTTAATACACAACAAAACAGTCCAGCTCTGTAACAACTTAAAACAAGTTTGAATCAATAAAGCAAACAAACATGTATAGCCATAATTATAGAATCTTGTTGATTTCTTCATAGTTACAAATTGGTAAAAGCTATGGAAAGACGTATGAGGCATGAGAAAACATTTATGTAAGTAAATACTTTTGGAAGGGCAGTAATATAGGTTTTCCCGCCCAACTTCACCAAGTTTGTATTCAATTTAACGTCTGGTTCATTCAATTTAGATTGAAAGATCACGCATGTCGTGATTCGACAATCAAAAAGAATCATTCGATTTCACTATCCGAGCAATCTATCACCTTTTAGCTTCACTCGTCCCTGTAAAAGATGCATTCAAATTCAAAGTATCGCGTTGTGTATTCAATTTCGTCTGAGCCAGTAGTTAGGGGTTAATCGAGCGTTCCTTTTCATTAATGGGCAAACATATTTCACATTTTGTCAAGCATGTTTTAAGACTTTCTGCGTAAATCATACCTGATGTCTTCAACCCGTAATGCACATCTCTTTCTTTATTAAAGGGTCCGTGCAATGAATTTTTCTCAGGAATACATTTTGTGCAACTTTCTACTACTCTGAAATGTATGAAAAGTACACATTTGACATCCTCTTTTTGCTAGTCTTATTGCAAAGATGTTTCCATTCTTTTCCGTCCGGACTACTGAGCGCGCTTGTGCTGTAATGTGATTTCAGGAAGACACTATTCAGTTTAGGGATTTTCTTTCCAATTATTCAGCCAACATTTGCTAATTGGCATATACATACTGTCACAACCATGAATCACCAAAGAAAAATGAAATTTATGAAAGCAAAATATCCTACTTAACAACTTAACAACTTTTTTTGTGCTGAAATAGCCATGTAACATTAATCTGCCCGGAATGACATCAAACTTTTGCTCATGAATTAGCATAAAAACAGAGAAAGCGGAAACACCCTTCAAAATGGAAAAATTAAACTTGAAAGTAAGGTTAAATGTCACACAAAGATGTGTTTTCAAGGTTTACATTGACAAATTACTTTGCATGGGCCCTTTCAACAAGTGTTCGGTCAGACATACGCAAGAAAACATTTAAGAAATTACCAAATAATTTCAAACCGTTCATAATACGTTAGGCTCTGTTGCAGCTTGATTCCGCTCGATTATTGAGGATGCAATATAATGGGAATTGCATGTCTTGGGTCTCCATACTGGCGTGGTCCAGGGTGGGAATGAAAACCACCGGATCGTATCTGTTAGACCCCCTTTACAAAGGGCTAGGCTGCGACCTTTGTACCACCATTGAGCGACCAAAAAAATGGCCAGGACGCTCAATGGTCGCCTAAACCCAGAAAAGCCTGTTTCTATGTAACTGCAGCTCTGGCGATCCTTGTGCCTCCCTTGAACCACCAAAACTGCAATTTTCGGGCATTTTCATGTCGAGCTACGAGCGACCTGTGCGTCACCCACTTGCCTGCCTCCACTGTGCTTCCCCTGTGCAACCTACGGCCGCGGTGGCTTAAGGTTTGCTGTGGTCGCCGAATGGAGACACAGCGGTCGCCACAGTCATCGTTCCATGCACGCTAATGGTCGGCCAAAGGAGGCACAAGGGAGGCAGAAGCACCACCCAGATTGACGGTAAAATTTGCAACAGAACGGATCTATTACATGCCGACCATTGGCCGACCATTGTGCATCCATTCTGCAACCACGGCAAAGCTTGTGCCTCCCTTCTCAGTGCCTCATTTGAGCCACCTTTGAGCAACCAACCTCCTCGGCGACCAGCAAGCCCGCGGGAACGGGGGGTGCTGTGGGTGCTGCAGCACCTCCAACTTTTTGGATTGGGGTGCTGTAATATGCTTCAGCACCCCCTACTCCCGGGCAAAAATGTGTTCCAGCCAGCAGTGTTCTACGACGATGAAATTGCGCCGCTACGCTATACATTATGCTTGCTCTACAAATATCTCCTTCGTTTTGTTCGTTTCTAGTTTTGCCGCAGGTAAGCGCGGCGCGTCGAACGTCTTGCACAAACACTGCAAAATATCAAGAGGATGTATTGTCTAAATCTTCCGGCAGTGCAAAATCGATATTTCTATCAAGGTATCTAAATATTATGACATGTCTATGATATTTCCGTCATAATGGAAGCTTTGACCCGAAAGCAATAACCTCGGCCATGACAATGGTGGCAAAGTTGATTACGCTTGCCAGAATTTTTTTCATTCGATCTTTCAATAGGGGCACATGTTCATACCTTTCTCCTGAAGGTTTTTCTTTTCATTTAAAAGTTTCATTGACGTTGCTAGCATTCTGTACTCAACATTAACAAATAGCAAGGTTCACACACATCCCCATCCTAATTGGAGTGGGATGGGCTTTTATTGAAACTAGTCATGCTTTACGCCAATTCCAGTGTAGTTTCGTTTTAATAAAAAAAGCTATTCATGTTTTACCCTCTGCCAAAACCTTTTGTTGTGTCAACAGAATTCCAGAGTTTTCAGGAACAATGAAGTAAGGCTTAACCGACAAACATGTACACGTAGGCGGCGATGTGTACCGCCTATATACGCAGATGGGGTAGTACAGACTGACCTTGGCACGAAGGATCGGAATTTACGTATTGCCATAAAGCTTGTGTTTACTGGGTTATTCTGCATTACAGTTTGTTTTCGTAGTAGAGGCATATTGGTCGC